CTACTACCGAACAACGAGGCATGGGCGCTAAAATAGACATACCTAATTTGGCTTTCAGTATTCGGTACAATTTGATGGCACATTTTTGATCTGGAAGAAAAAAATAGGGGTTTCCATTTTGTAACATTCATATGGCGATAAGTTGAAATCAAATTGAGTAAGGCCGAAAGTTCAACCAGACCACTGGCAGTATTGTACAGTGACTCACATTCAACAGTTCGAACCGAACTTTGGTTTGGTCTACTGTCTTGGCTGAATGGGTTCAGACGCTGCACCAAACCGTCCCAAACCTCGAACTGATTTTATTTTCGACTTCAATAATTTACGGTTGATATGGTGTATCAGGAACAACCCCACAACCTCCTATGTCTTTGTAATCATCGTCGTACTTCAATTTGTCCCTGCGCTTTTCTAATGTTTTGTTGAAGTCCATTCAGAAATGCACGCCCACCCACATCACTGAAATTCATCAGCCCTCTTGAAGTTCAAGCCCACTATGATAAGTGTGCCATAGGTCACCGAATGATAGTCTAATTACTACTAAACTCGTCTTCAATCATTACAGGTGTTTTCTTTCGTTGTTCTTCGCTGTACTTGACTACATCAAGGACTGTCTGCCAGTCGGTACCTGTTTTCTCCCGGCGGACGGCACTTGACAGCTGGAGCATGATCCAAACTTGGAGATAGCAATATGTTCTCCTTGTCAGCGTGAGGCAGCTTCAAGTCAGGCGTCGACACTGTCGATTTTCTTCCTCTTGCGAATCTGATAAGTACTAGCCTGACCAGCCGCTGTGGTGTGAGAACTTGAAACTTCAAGTTGGGCCCAGCATGACTTCGCAACTTTCACACCGAGTCAGCTTCCTGATCTCATCCGAGTCAGTACAATGAAATCCACGGCTGCTACGATGAACCTACCGGCTTCCGAGTCAGAGTCGGAACTCAGGACTCAGAGGAGTTGTGACATCGGCAGCTCTTTCATCTTCCTTGACTCCCAAACTTGAACGGTGGGCAGGCGTGGACATGGGGCACAGTGATTGTATCCTGATTGACCCAAGAGGGACTCGGAGGGGTCACAGTTGCTGCCGCATCACCGTAACTGGCAAGAACATGACGCTCACGGTCATAGTTAAACATGTTACCAGTCCAAACCAGGCAGTTGTTAGGAAGCTGGGTTGAGGTTAACTAGTGAGTGACTGGTGAGCTCTTATAGTTGAGTGTGTGACTGGTGACAGTACAACACAGAGCATGACAACATGTAGGGTCCTGGGTCTAACACATAGAATCTATGTGCATATGCGCAGCCAGGCTTACTGGCCATGGTAGGGCCTCACCTAGTAGGCTACAGCAAGATCCATATGCATATGGGAAATATCCAATCAGTCCTTTTTTAGAAACACAAATTGATTCCCATTTTTGGTATGTGCTACGTTCCTGATCAAATCGCGAAATTCATCCGGACGCCTTGTCACAATAAGATTGCTCCTTGCCCTCCTCAGGCAACTGGCTGACAAGTTTTCGAACCACTTATCATTGTCCGAGGGGTCTGACAAGCACTGCCAGGTGGGAGTCAGTGTAAATGCAAATTATGGAATGTCATTCAGCGATGTTCCTTTCAAACTCCGATGACCTATTTACCAATCGCTTACAGAGTTACAGACCCAAAATTTCATCCCCAAGCCCACCATTGAACATGTTGCACTTCAGCTTGGCTCCATCCTGCAGTGACGAACTTGAATCTAAGTCTTCATCTTGCTTCAGCCATGGCATGGATGATAACTCGGAACATGGCATTTCAAGCTTCGTATCTACACGTCCTCAACAAATTGAACGCCCCCAGCAAGACCATACTAGTATTTCTGGTAGTTCCACCAGCAGCGCTCCCAGGAATGCTCCCAGCCTCTATTCAAGCTCTCCTCCAAGCTCTCCATCGTCAGCTATATTAGCAGGTATGGTTCATCATACATATGCCATTGTCGGATAAACTCAAATACAAAAATGATAGCTAATACTAGCAGCACCAATATGTCAGATGCAGAGGACGATGACTTCCCATTGACACCTCAATCCAAGCAATCCCGCGGTTCATGCTATGTCGCTAACCCCCCTGTTGGGATCGGTTCGCCGACTCCAAATCGGTCTCCCAATGTTGACGACTCCGACGCTTTCTCTCTTTATCCCACGATCACCTCTTTTGAAGAGCAACACTATTTCGACAAATTTCTAGGCAGACCCGCCAATGATGAGCATTCACTGGAGACGATTGGCCAGAGGGTAGGTCGTATTTTGCTCAATATATCACAGATCTCAACATGGGTGTCATTTATAGGTTCAGGATATCTATTGTAGCCATATAGATCGGCTTAGTTCAGACTCTGTCCGATATGCTGTTCATTACAAGGAAGCTGTTCGGGAACGCAAACGCATGCGCTGGTACACTGCACGCTGGGAGGTCGCGGAAACCCAAAGGCTGCACACCCTCCTCCGCTCCTTATGTGATGAATCAGAAACAGAGTTCATCATGGCAGAGCGGGAATCACGTTGGCTATTGGACGTCCTTGTTCAACGACAGACATTGCCTGCTACCACTGCAGAGTCCAAATATGTTGCTGCAACCTGCGACAACGACAAGAAATCGTTTCTTTTGGCTGATGCTGAACTCGCCATGGTCACCGATCATTCTACCAAGCAGTAGCAGCCCGCGAATGATTAGTATGTACGGCTTTTCTTGATAATGATCCCTAGTCACTATGTTTCCAGATGTTGTTGCCCTTAACGCAAATTATGTTGTGTTTCCATAGGAATCATGGACCATGGTGGATAAACTGGTTGCTGATCGATATGATGTATAACTACGCCCCAGGTTCACCTTGCAACTTTGAAGTAATATTGATTATGTGGTGCTATCTATTATGTCTGTCTTTCAAGAAATATAACTCTGTACGCTCGGTTTTGGATTGGTTTGTAGATGGCGGTCCAACCAGTGCCAAATGTTGCAACGAGAGATCAGATACCATGATCTTCCCATGATCGGCATAAGTTGTACATGGTCATTTGTCACGATGTAACTTAAACTGTGACTAGTACTAGTAAGTGCAACTATATCTTCACCGAAGCTTATAGTTGGTTAGCGCTAATTTTTCGCAGACATTCATGTTAGTACTCAAGGCGTCCCACTGCTAGCCAACTGCCATGCGCCCCGAAATACTTACAAGCTGTATCGGACTTTTCTTGCTTTTTCTGATGGTATCTTGCAATGCTCCGGGATGCTCCTGGGAGAGGCCAACAGACAGTCGCGGACTCAGCAGGCATCGACAAATTTGTTGTTTCTATAAGAGAGCGAGCAGTCTTGCAAGTCAGAGGAGACAAGATCGCGCGAAAGCGGTGCTTCTTTCCAACAGTCAGAGGCATTTGGTTCCAACCCCTTCAGCAAGCGGCTCCTCAGCAGTGAGTCACGGCAGTTGAACTGCCTACTTCGAAAGCTACTAAAATTATAAACATCAGAAAATCTCAGCCGTCCGATATGTGAGGGACCGTTCGAGTTTGAAACCAATTGTACCTCGCGGCCTCCTTGGTGCAATCTCTATGGCTCATGGGTCATGTACCAGTGCCTCCAGTCTTGCTGACGCACAACACACCCTCGACTTGGAGCAGCGACAAATTGATGTTGAGATGGCGAGTATTTCTGGAACTGTGCTGGACTACGATGAGGAGGATTCAGGTTCGTGTCCCTTTGGGCAACCATCATCTGCAATTTTTTCTTACAAATTGATCAAACCTTTCAGAGGAATTCGCACTCCCAATGGGACGCATTCCGAGAACTCTTGATTATATCGAGCCTTCGCGTGACGATCTAAATCATTCCGATAGTGCTGGCATCCCATCAGCCCGAACGGCTCCACTACCCGCCCAGTCTAGAATCCGACGCGTTCTCTTAACGCTAAGGGACACCCTCCAAACCGGCTTCAACTCATTTGGACTATGCAGGCTCTACCCTCATCGTCCTTCCTTTGAGCCAGATCAATTCATTCCATCCTCGCTACTGGCAAGAACAACTCCTACTAGTACAGCTACACATGGAGCTGGCCCTTCGTCGAATGTCTTCGTGCCGCCTTACCCCTTTGCCAACATGACTATCTATCGACTCATGTCCTGGATGAATTCAGGCAGTAGCATGTTATCCGAGACCAAAGTCTCGCATCTGGTGAGAGATGTCCTGCTGGCAGAAGATTTTGATCATAAGGACCTTGAGGACTTCTCAGTGAGGCGAAGCTTGCGAGAACTAGACAAGGATGAGAGTGGAAGTGGAGTTACTTTTCCGGACGACTGGGTTCAGACAAGTGTCACTATCAATATCCCAACGAAATCAAAGGAGGATGGCCCTCATCCTTTTACCATCACCGGATTCCATTATCGCCCTCTTGTTGAAGTCATACGCACGGCGTTCGCAGATATACAGGCGGGGGCATTCCATTTCTTACCTTTCCAACGGCTGTGGAAAGATCCGTTAGACGGCCATCAAGAGCGGATTTATGACGAGCTATACACTTCCGATGCCTGGCTGGACGCTCAGGACGGTATTCAGAGGATGCCAAAGGAGCCTGGGTGTTCACTGGAGCGCATCATTGCGGGTCTCATGTTTTTTTCCGATGCTACTCACTTAGCGAACTTTGGGACTGCGAAGGCCTGGCCACTCTACCTTTATTTTGGAAATCTCACAAAGTATACACGATCATCACCCTCATCAGGGGCATGCCACCTGGTGGGGTTTCTACCCTCAGTGAGTACTCCTCCGGCATGTCTACTGTTGTTGAACATGCAATGGCAGCTTCCTGACAGGGTTAAAGACGTTCTCAGTGGCCTATCTCGCATATCGAAGACAGGGCATGGCATCCCTTCATGCTCACTGCCTGCAGAGAACTGTTTCATTCCTGCTGGGAGATCCTATTGGATGAAGATTTTGTTTCTTCATACCACCATGGTATCATTCTAAAATGTACTAATGGAGTGGTGCGGAGAGTCTTTCCCATATCTTCACGCATTCCGCTGACTATCCTGAAAAGTATGTTCATCCATGGACCTTCTGATGAACGTTGGATGACTTATCAGTTACAGGGTTTTAATTGTGACTATCAAGGACATGGGCTTGTGTCCGTGTCCTCGCTGCTTGACACCAAAAATCTCATTTAGTTTTCTTGGACTCATGAGGGACATGAAAAGTCGCATCAACAACCTTCGGGTGTATGTCATGACCAAGGTTGTCAACGCTCGTAATTTTATCTACCGTGAGGGATACACAGTAGACGGTGTAAAGGTAGAGAATACCCTTGGGGAGGGCTCATGGGTACCTACTCTGGTAAGTGACTTTTTCCCATTTTATGATTGGCTCACAGTGTCTACTCGCAGAACCAATTTGTCGAGAAACTTGGATATCTCGGCCTTGACCCATTCTGCATGCTTGTCGTTGATTTCATGCACAAGTGCGAACTGGGTACTTGGAAGGCCCTGTTCACACATCTCATAAGGCTTCTCTATGCCCTTCCTTGCGGTAGTGAGCTCATTGCAAAACTGGACAAGAGGTACGAGGAAGCCAGAAAGGGTGTCATTGCTTGCTAACAGGTTCACGCGCCTCCATCCTACTGTAGATATCGACAGGTTCCAACCTTTGGTCATGGTGTAATTCGCAGATTTTCAAATAATACATCCAAGATGAAAAGATTGGCAACTCGTGATTTGAAGATATCTTACAGGTCATGTTACCCATTTTTCTGTATTCGACCTGCTGATGGCCCGTCATTAGTGTGCCATTCCAGTCTTTGAAGGGTTGTTCCCCAAAGGCCATGATGCAATGGTACAGTCTCTGTTGTATCAATTTGCGCAATGGCATGGGCTTGCGAAGCTCAGGCTTCACTCGGAGTCTACCGTCAGTTTTCTCAAAGAAATGTTCAAGAAGCTGTCGCAGAAGTTGCGGAAATTTCAAGCCTCTACCTGTGCCGCCTTCACCACCATTGAATTACCTAAGGAGAAAGCAGCTCGCCAACAAAAGGCTGCTCAATGCTCAGAAACAAATGGTACTCCTCCGGAATCCAGTGGGCCCAGGATGAAAAAGTTCAATTTAGGTACCTAGAAGTTTCATGTGATGGGGGACTATGTGAGAACAATCAAACTCTTTGGGATGACAGATTCCTTCACTACTCAGATTGTATGTACCGTCTACTTTCATACCATGCACCTGAAGTTAGGTTTTGCCAGGGAGAGCTCGCTCACAGAGCGCTAAAGGTGTTTTATCCACTAACCAACAAGTTAGACACCCCAGCGCAGTTGGCCAAGCACGAGTGTAGGCGCCGTGTACTACGGCGGGTGAGAGAGGTTGGAGATTCACCCTCCTCTAGCAGTTCACTGCTAGCCCATGCTCCCCCATTGGCATCCTATGACAACTTGAAGCATCACTATATTGCAACTACTCAGAACAACCTGGTCAACCTATTTACATTTCTCCAGTCACATGATGGTGATCTGGCCCTCAAGTTAGAAGTATCATTGCATTTTGGAGGCACCTGAGAACTTACCCGCTATCAGAATTTTATACTAAAATTAAGGGACCATATTCTATACAGGCTGCAGGACTTGGACATTAGTTATTGCGATCACACACATTCACCGACGAGGAACGGAACTCAGTCATCATTCTGAATAACACGATCTACTCGGTTCAAACCATGCAAGTTCACTATATGACCTATGACTTACGGCGCAAGTACGACACCATTAACCCCAGAACCCATGGGGACATTATGGTGCTTTCTGGGGAGACAAGGCCTAGTCACCCCTACTTGTATGCCCGCGTATTGGGTATATACCACATGGATGTATGGCTCAACCATGGGGGCCAACCAGTGAAGCGGCACCTCAAAGTTCTCTGGGTTAGATGGCTGGCAAGCTTGTGGGGCTATAAATCTGGCATGAATCATGCTCGTCTTCCAAAGATGGCATTTGTGGAGGAGTCGGATCAGGATGCTTTCGGGTTCCTCGATCCAGGACAGGTAATCTGAGGGTCACATTTAATTCCTGTGTTTGCCTCGGTACACGGTGTAAGCTCGCTTCGCCGTGGAGAGTCATTGGCACGCCCTGGGGGGGAGCTGGATGATTGGGAAGTGTATTACGTTGGGATGTAAGTGCAAGTACATACCTCTTTCTTTGCGCATCAAACCTGAAGCTTTGAGCTAGATTCATTGATCGAGATATGCTCATGCGCTATACTCACTTTGGCATTGGGCATTCTGCCATGCTGCGAAAGATCACTAGAGATTGCCTCGGTTCTGATTTGGTGGCCAGCCATGTCATAAATGGCGGTAACCAGGAGGATGCTGATGGTGAAGAGGCCAGCAATGGTGAGGGTCATGACGAACACCACGATGGACAGGAGGGCAGCGATGACGACAGCGATGAAGAATGTGATGACGAGCTTAGTGATGGGGAGCTGGACAAGGAAGCTGGGGAGGACAACACTGAAGAGTATGGAGATGAGGACAAGCTTCATGATATGATCTCTTTCTAGTTTCGACTCTCGAGTCAGTAGTAATTATGACTTCCATACGAATTTTTGTTAGAGTTTGGCATTCCACCCTTCATCATTGTCTCATTGTCCGGATAGTTCCACTACGTATATATACCTAGTACATCGTCGACTATCCTATCTTTGTCGTCTCCTACCATGTCGTAGACTCTCCAGCCTCAATAATTTTATCGCTGATCGCATTAGTCTCGCGGTGATTCCTATGGTCGACTCCATCACAAACCCCAATAACCTTGTACTTGCGCATGCGTGTGCATAGTCAGACAACCGTACTTCACGGTAACACTGCAAATATAACACGCGGCTAGTTGTACAGCATGATCTAGATTTGGAAGGTAGCATTAGAGCATTTTCAGATATACGGATGCTCCAACAGTTAACAGGCTGTATCATACTTACAACATAAACTGGTGGAGATATTAGAACAACATATATAACAATATATGGCACATAGTATCTTGAAGGCAGCGGCATACCGAAAGGAATAGTCACTCATTCCCGCACCGCAGACTGAACCAGAGGTCTCACTCTCAAAACCTATATTTTCACCAATTTCATGATGTTTTGAATCTGGTGATAGTTTTCAAAGCCATTTTCAAGGGAAAGCCTTAAATGACCTATACGTCCAAAACATAAATGGGGAAAATCAAGAACCCTCGACAAGATTGACCCAATTCCCCTTCTATCGTGCACACACTGTGATGGCACCATGTCACAACTTTGGCACAAATTCCTAGGCTGATTTCCGCCTGATGACCTGTGCTAACGCTACCTGTCACGAGAAAGTCTTGAATAGCAATATAATTCAAACATAAATGGGGAAAATCAAGAACCCTCAACAAGATTTGACCCCAATTCCCCTTCCATTGTGCACGCACTGTGACAGCGCTATGTCACAACTTTGGCACAAATTCCTAGGCTAATTTCCGCCTGATGACCTGTGCTAATGCTACCTGTCACGAGAAAGTCTTGAATAGCAATATAATTCAAAATATAAGTTTTAGGAAATGAGAACATTCAACAAGGGGAATACAATTACACTACCATACCCCGCTGGTTACCATTTGAAATATTAACGACATTGTCACGAACTCTTCATAGTAGTTTGAATTTGCCAGCATGCCATGCCTATGTACTAACATCTCAAATGTCTCACAGTATGAATTGACATATTTGGCTGACGCATAATTATATCCCACTATAGTTCCCATGGCCACATTATCGAGGGCTCATGAATTTACTGATGTAACTTGAACAGAATATAAGGTAAGGGCATGCAGTTGCATTGGAATAGCTCGGGACCGTCTCTGCAAATCTATTGCTTATTCAAAGCTTCAGGCATCGTAGTCATGGTCTATTATTGCGGATATCTCGTGCGAGACGATTGGTTGTTCCAGCGAGGCGTTGATTTGGGACAGCCGCTCCCCGTGACCACAGGAGACGCGATGGATATTATTTGCCTGGCTTCGACGGATGTCAGGACAGAGACGGGTGTTTACTGCTACACCAAGTTTCGTCAAGTAAAAACCGCCAAGGGCACCGCGTTTTGGTGCATTGCCTTCGCCTCGAACGACCCTTGCGAACACTTACCAACCAGCGCGCCTTCGGAGGAGAAATACAAGGCTTTGAAGGAGGTGCTGCAGAAGAAAGGCCCGCCTCGCTGGTACCGAGCTTATTGAAATAATGTCAGTCATTTTGCACATAGCCAATGAAAGCAACAAATGTTTATTTCGACACCACAGTTTCGTCGTGTTCATGATCCGCCACATACCTTCCAAGCCGTCAAATCCCAGGACGAGGTGGCACACACATTGTCACAACAACTTTCTTGGTGTTATTCTTCTATTTGTTCGATAAATGGAGATCCCCCAATCCTCTATTAGCCCTCCTCCCTTCTTGTCTTTTCCAGAGTAATACTTTGTTTAACCCATGTCGATATATCTCGTTGTAATTGTAAAGAGAAACACGGGGAGTGTCGCGAAAGGGGAACACTCGTCCACCCTGTAATGTTACAAGGAGCATCCACAATTTAAACGTACACACTCTTGCTCTTCTCTAAGAGAGATACTCAAGCTGACATGGGTATGGTTAGCTGTCCACAAGCTGTCTATGTATTTCTATGCTGTCGACGCGCTTCTGCAGCTCCTGCTTCTAACGCTGAAAATATCTTGCGGACCACACGTTAAAGTTTGAGCCAGTGTCCACCAAGTGTCCACGCGCTGCTTGATGGAAGCACGTGTTTTGTCACATGATGTGCCGTGTTCTCGCGACCCAGTGAAAAAGGATCCTGAGGCTGTGCACTAATCTTTGGCCGCTGTGACCTTGCTGTGACCCGTTCATAAAACGCTGAGACTCGCCGCAGGCCCCAGGGTAGTCCACAGCGTCGTGTCGTTTCTATTATTTCTTTCCACCACATGAGAGCGCTCGCTCTTCAACACCGGAGATTCAGGATAGCCTCGCGTGTGAACGCAGTCCAGGGCCCGGGAATCTCAGCTTTATTCTCAGCTGCACCTCTTTGTCGACAGTCGCACTAGGGACCTTTCTAAATTCTCAGCCTCAAATGAGACGTTTATGCGGAGGAAAATACAGCGCGAGTGTTCTTTCTGAGAATTGCACTCGCCCAGCTTCATCCGGGGTTCCTAGAACGTCTGTCAGAGCTACATAGATTTCTGAAGTTTCCTGAGTTACAGTGCCCGCTCGTAACGATTAATTTATTGTTCATCCAAGGTGGGTGCTTCAAGTTAGCATTTCAGATGTGATATTTGACATCCTGGTTCTGATACTCTAGGCACGTTCGACAGTCGACCACAAGGACGCGCTCGCTCACCAAAGACGAAAGAATTGTCACCACACCCCTTAGCTGATTTCACTTTGCTATTTCAAAATATTTCTAAAACACGCATAACTCAGATAACATTATTAAGGCGTGTTCACCGTGGTCCAGAACTGGCACAGCAAAGTCTGGAGACGCAGTTGATCTTATCCGCCAATGACAGGTGAGCGCTTTACGATCTGGTGTTACACAATCAATGGTGCAACCCTTAGGGACAATACAGGCGTCATGATCTGTTTAACATCGAAGTGGAGACCATAAATATCTGACGAACTATTTGCCTTTTGTATATCCGGGGCCCACAACTGTTTCCGCGTCGAAGATTTTCAATGTTGGGGAAAAGTCGTCACTCCGCAAAGGGCGGTACAGTTCCTGGCCCGATTCGAGTCTGCCTCTCACAAAAACAAAAAACAAATGAGCACCACACATGTATTTGCATAACGAGTTTGGAAAATAGAATCAACTTCGATGGTAGGTTTGGATGGTAAAGTTATGACAAAGATAAGCAACTGAAGATGGAGTACTCTAGCGTCGATCTTGCATGCGTGTGGATCTATATGAATGCATATAAGCGTGCTGTAAGATATCTTGCTCTGAGTCTGATGAAAGACGTTGAGTAACCGATCGTAAGACATTGAATCTCACTCAATGCATCAGATGTTTCCATCATACTTGCTATTAAACGCTCAAACGCTCAAACGGGTCACAAGGGCCTTGCGGTTATTTTTGTGCATTCTTAATTTGTCTCTTCAACAGTGGTATGTATGGACGCCCGCTTCGTCTCCTTCATCCAATCAGTTGTCTACAACCTGTCATTTGAACACTCATATCTTTACTTCGCAATGGGTGATAACCTCCCCGTAAGTCGATGTTACTTTTACATTGATGTCTGACTAATCGCAGTCACATTGGCAGGAGACCGAGGTCCATGTGGATTACAAAATCCAATCAGTTTACTGGTCGGTCAGCAGCGCGCTGGCCGAGAAAGGGCCCGCACACCCCCGACAGACCTAGCCATCTCGCGCAAGTTCTCGAATCTTGAATTTATGATCTATCTCTCTGCACTGTGCAGTTCGTGTACGTGTATTGAACACTGTGTGCGTGAACGAAAGACTCGACAGACTAAAGGGGATAAGAACAAGCGGATGAACACAACGCGGTCCTAGCACACGTGCGTGTTGTATCAATCATCGTCCATCGTTCGTTGCACTTGCCACCGGCGACCGTGATGTCTTTTTCCACGCTTAGTTCAACACTCTGAAGTAAGTGCATGTACGTGCGTCAAAACCATCTCTCATTCCTCTTCAAAGATTCAGGCATCGTAGTCATGTATTGCGGATATCTCGTGCGAGACGACTGTTTGTTCCAGCGTGGTGTTGATATGGGACATCCGCGCCCCGTGATCGTAGAAGACAGAATGGATATAATTTGTCTGGCTTCCAGTGATCTCAGGATAAAGACGGGCGTTTACCCCTACACCTCATTTCGTCGTGTGAAGACCGCCAAGGGGAACCCGTTTTGGTGCATTGCCTTCGCTTCGAACCATCCTCACGAAGGCTTACCAACCAGCGCGCCAGCAGAGGAAGAATACAAGGCTTTGAAGGAGGTCCTGCAGAAGAAAGGCCCGCCTGGCTGGTACCAAGCCTCTTGAAGCACAATGTCAGTGACTATGCACTTGCGTCGGAATAGTCTCTGTATACTAATTCTCTGCTTCAAACATCGTAGTTATTGTGAAGCTCTGGGTATCGGAATCAATCACTTACATGCCACAGAGATCAACCAACTCGTCAAAAGCAGTATTTTGCCATCAATTCAAGTTTTTATTTTACATAAATCCCAGTACACATGTGACACCGTCATTTTGTCAACAGATTACTTCTAGAAACGAGGGATGTCAAACACCCGCAGGTATTTCTAAAACACTCATTTCCTTTAAAGCGTTGTAAATTGTATGTAACCGGTCTCTAGAGCGTGCGAGATCAACGCGAAGAATTACATTCCAATTCAGCTTCGGGTCAGAGGGATGTTCCTTGGGGCGATAACTCGGGTCCTTTGCTCTGATAAGGTGCATAGCCTTCTTGACGTTGTTACGGTAAATTTTGACGCTGCACCAATATGGACCTGCAATATGACTGTCATGACATGCGCTGCAGATATCTGATATGGACAGCTTACCTGCAGCTGCCAGGGCCAGCACGGAATTCATGTTCTCATCCTGGATAAAGAGGTGTGCTGCTTGCTCGACGAGGTCGATGGTAGCTTCTGCAACCCGTACATGGATCCGATCATGCAGTTCCTGACCTGTCAGACTCCTGCTCACGAACCGTTTCACTTCGACGAGAAGGCCAATGTTCGCCTCAGTAATCCTCCACCCTCCGTAGCGAATCCTATACTTAGGCTGTGGCTGAGCCACCGCCTTGAGATGGACAATCGCAAAATCCACAATGACGCCCTCAGCATCTTTCTCTGGGATGGTGAATGCGACAGAAACATTTCCCGCCCCACCCCCTCCCTCTTCTTCATCGTCGCCGTCGGCTTGCCTTGGTGAAGCTTCCATCTCTTTCGAATCCGGATCTTTTCGTACTATCTCCTCAGGATCATCGCCATCTTCTTCATCCTCGTGGTCATCATCTTCCGGCACAAACCAAACAGGGAATTGAGGAACGACAATCAAATTTGACATGTCTGCCACTAGGTCGGATAGGGTTTGAGCCCACAGCGAGTACCAGTAATACTCGATATTCCTAGGATTGAAGGTGCGCGAGTACGCGAATGATGTCTCCAGGATCGTTTTATACCGCATCACTGGGTCATTTTCGCGCCCAGGGAGAATCCAAGAGGGCATCGCAAATCAGTGTGTGGCTGGTGAATATTAATCGATTAATCCGTCGACCAATTTGTTGTGTATATATACGTAGTACGGACTTCAAACTCTTACGGAGAACAATGAGGGTGTGTAATTCCGACTTGCGACGATGTTATTGTAGAGCATTTCGAGCGATAGGAAGGAAAATAGATTTTGATTCTTTCACCATTCTTGTCAAGTATTACCGGTCACGATAGTTTACTCGTAAGTCGTGACGTGGTGATCAATCCCAAAAGAAGGCACACAAAAGTATCAGTCTCTGACTCGACCAAAGGAGATAAGAACAGTGGGCGAGCACAATGGCGGTGATCGCCATGTATCTACGATTAAGCCACACGCTGCATATGGAAGCACGTGATTTGTCACGTGACATTCTGTATATAAGGGCAGACTTGATTCAAGGAATTATTCAATTAACACATCAACACCCTCTGCTAAATTCTAATCATCGCGAATCCAAGGTAAGCGCGTGCAACTGCATCGAAGCCGTCTCTGCAATTTAATACTTCTTCAAAGCTTCAGGCATCATAGTCATGGTCTATTATTGCGGATATCTCGTGCGAGACGACTGGTTGTTGCAGCGAGCCGTTGAGTTGGGACGTCCGCCCCCTGTGAACACATCAGACGAAATTGATGTTGTTTCCGTGTCTACGGGGGATGTCAGGATAGAGACGGGTGTTTACTGCTACACCAAGGTTCGTCAAGTAAAAACCGCCAAGGGCACCGCGTTTTGGTGTATTGCCTTCGCCTCGAACGATCCTGGCGAACGCTTACCAACTAGCGCGCCTTCGGAGGAGAAATACAAGGCTTTGAAGGAGGTGCTGCAGAAGAAAGGCCCGCCTCGCTGGTACCGAGCTTATTGAAATAACGTCAGTGATTTTGCACATCGCCAATGAAAGCAACTAATGTTTATTTCGACACCACAGTTTCGTCGTGTTCATAATCCGCCACATACCTTCCAAGCCGTCAAATCCCAGGACGGGGTGGCACATTGTCACAACAACTTTCTTGGTGTTATTCTTCTATTCGTTCGAGGAATGAAGATCCCACAATCCTCTATTAGCCCTCCTCCCTTCTTGTCTGTTCCAGAGTAATACTTTGTTTAACCCATGTCGATATATTTCGTTGTAATTGTAAAGAGAAACACGGGGAGTGTCGCGAAAGGGGAACACTCGTCCATCCTGTAATGTTACAAGGAGCATCCACAACGTACACTGGCCGTGCGCGTCTTTGTTCTCAAGCCAACATGGGTATGATTAACTGTGTATGTGGTTCTATGCTGTCGACGCCGTTCTGCAGCTCCTGCTGTAACACTAAAAATATCTATCATAAGTAATCGGACCACGGTTGAAGTTTGAACCACGCTGCTTAATGGAAGCACGTGCCTTGTCACATGATGAGCCGTGTTCTCGCGACTTCAAGCTCTCGAATCTCGTATTTTATGATCAATTTCTCTGCACTGTGCAGTTCGTGTACATGTTGTTATATTCAATAAATATACAAATACTCTATATGTATTGAACATTGCGCGCGCGAACGAAAGACTTGACAGACTAAAGGGATAAGAACAAGTGGATGAACACAACGCGGTGATCGCACACGTAGGTGTTGTATCAATCATCGTTCATCGTTGGTTCCACTTGCCACCCGCGACCTTGTTGTCTTATTCCACACTAAGTTTAACGCACACCGCTGCTAATCATCTCTAATCCTAATCCGAGGTAAGCGCATGCAGCTGCATCGAAACCGTCCCTACCACAAATCTAATACTTCTTTAAAGCTTCAGGCATCGTAGTCATGGTCTATTATTGCGGATATCTCGTGCGAAAGGACTGGTTGTTCCAGCGAGCCGTTGAGTTGGGACATTCGCCCACAACACCCACATCGGATATTGTCTCCCTGGCTTCAAGGGATCTCATGGTACAGACGGGTGTTTACTTCTACACCAGGCTTCGTCAAGTAAAAACCGCCAAGGGCACCACATTTTGGTGCATTGCCTTCGCCTCGAACGATCCTGGCGAACAGCTACCAACCAACGCGCCGTCGGAGGAAAAATACAAGGCTTTGAAGGAGGTGCTGCAGAAGAAAGGCCCGCCTCGCTGGTACCGAGCTTATTGAAACAATGTCAGTGATTTTGCACATCACCAATGGAAGCAACTGATGTTTATTTCGACACCACAGTTTCGTCGTGTTCATGATTTGCCACATAACTTCCAAGCCGTTGAATCCCAGGGATGGTACATTATCACATACAACTACTTTCTTGGTGTTATTCTTCTATTTGTTCGAGGAATGGAGGTCCCCCAGGATGCCGAGGATCCTTGATTAATCCTCCCTTCTTTTCTTGTACCAGAGTAATACTTTGTTGAACTCATGTCGGCATACCTCATTGTAATTGTAAAGAGAAACCCGGGGAGTGTCGTAAAAGGGGAACACTCGTGGTCCATCCTGTAATGTTACAAGGAGCCTGCACAACGTACACTGGCCGTGCACGTCTGTTTACTCAAGCCAACATGGGTATGATTAACTGTATATGTAGTTCTATGCTGTCGACGCGGTTCTGCAGCTCCTGCTGTAACGCTGAAAATATCTATCGGACCACCGTGGGTTGAAGTTTGAACCACGCTGCTTAATGGAAGCACGTGCCTTGTCACATGATGTGCCGCCGTGTTCTCGCGACTTCAAGTTCTTGAATCTCGTGTTTATGATCTATTTCTCTGCACTGTGCAGTTCGTGTACATGTTGTTACATTCAATAAATATACAAATAATCTATATGTATTGAACATTGTGTGCGCGAACGAAAGACTTGACAGACTAAAGGGATAAGAACAAGCAGATGAACACAACGCGGTGATCGCACACGTACGTGTTGTATCAATCATCGTTCGTTGTTCGTTGCACTTGCCACCGGCCACCGTTTCCACACTAAGTTTAACGCACGCCGCTGCTAATCATCTCTAATCCGAGGTAAGCGCATGCAGCTGCATCGGAACCGTCTCTGCAATCTAATACTTCTTCAAAGCTTCAGGCATCGTAGTCATGGTCTATTATTGCGGATATCTCATGCGAAAGGACTGGTTGTTGCAGCGAGCCGCTGATTGGGGAGAGCCGCCCACAACAGCCACAATAGATTTTATCGCCATGGCTTCAAGGCATGTCAGGGTACAGACGGGTGTTTACTGCTACACCAAGTTTCGTCGAGTCAAAACCGTCAAGGGCACCGTGTTTTGGTGCATTGCCTTCGCCTCGAATGATCCTGGCGAACAGTTACCAACCAGCGCGCCGTCGGAGGAAAAATACAAGGCTTTGAAGGAGGTGCTGCAGAGGGAAGGCCCGCCTCTCTGGTACCGAGCTTATTGAAACAACGTCAGTGACTATGCACATCGCCGATGAAAGCAACTAATGTTTATTTTGAAGCCAAGGTCTCGTCCTGTTCATGACCTTGCACATACTGTCCAAGCCCTGGAATCTCAGGACGGAGTGTCGGCGCAATCCCTTGTCGACCTGTTTCGATATATCTTAATTGTAACGAAAAAAACCATCGGGGAGCATTGCGAACGGGAGACATTTGTAGTCCGTTCAACTTTGTACATCTACTGTTACATTGAACTTGCACAGCGTGCACTGGCCATGCACGCCTTTCTACTAGACTGACATGGCCATGGTCATCCCTTAAACATAGACCAGCTTGTCCGTAGTACTAGTAGTCCAATGCGAAACATGTTGCATCCTTACTTGTCAGACTTGCGATTCTTCTAGCCTTGATTAAACGACCACTCCTTGGTCTCGCAAACGTTCATCTCGTGTAGGCCGATCGCAATTGGCCAGTTGTCCATCATCAGTCTCTGGCGATTTGTTCATGACAGTGTAGCAATATCAATTATGCATACAGTGTCTAGATAGTGACAGGGCAACGAGGAGAAATCCTGACATGGTGTTCTTAGGGGCAAGCAGGGTCGTGAAAACTCCGCTGGGACGCCGTGGGTCAATCTGGCCATCCAGTCATCGACATCACATACAGTATTTCCACAGTCTTGTATTAGAAAAGCGTGGTCGCCAAAAGGGAAACGAGCTGTATAACGAAGCGGTTAGTAGCTGTAGCCTGTTGTGTCTTGTCCGAGATGCCCACGTTTCAATTTATACCCGTAGTCATGGCTAGTGGCAAAGGCCATATCCTGAAAGCGCTTTATTCCCTCCTGTCGCGCTTAATTTTCGACGTTTGCTAATCCCGTATTGAGCTGGTGACACAAAACTCACGAAAACGTCGGACGTCGATAGGCTCCTTGCGAGATCGTCCATGCCCGCGGCAACGAGTTCTTGGAAGCTAGAGGGGTGATTGAGTATGCATAGTCAATGATGAAATCAGCTATTAAGATACCAGAATGTGAGCCATGCGCTTGCTGCCTTGAAGCGTGTTCAACTGCTGTCAAAGTATTGACCGTTTCAATGCTGCGGAACTGACTTGTAAACATTTGAACATCCTTATGCCAGCTTGCCGGAGCCGCCAGAGCTACCCTGATAAGACAAACACTTGTAACGCGTTCTTTCCATACGATATGAGCCGAACGTGGTGCACCGCAAGCCTTTGTATATTTAATCGAGTACTAAATGTATACTTGATGAAGAAATCAGCGATTAAAATCCAAGAATGTGAAATATGCACGTACCGCCTCTGGATGTTTCCAAGTCGTGCATCATCGATATGTTTGGGTCCGGGTGCCAGAGGCAGTATTGTGACATGCAGGCATTGAGATTGATGTCGGTGTCTGACCAACTGAAATGCTTGGCTAGATGCTGAAATTGACAACTCTCATTCTAGCTAAGAATGGCTTGCGACACATGAATGAATTCGTGTTTCTTTCTTTTCAGGAGATGATTGTCGATATATCGTCTCAGCGAAACATGGACAGTCCGAAGAGCTTAGTGAAGTGGCAACCATAGGTTACTTTGTGGTATAGCATCCCTACAAAGTTCGAACAAAGTTGAAGGTTGGGTGTGGCTGTGCATTACCGAAGTTAGTGTCTGCAACGTCCCGACTTCCGACTTCCGACTTCCCCAAAGTTTTCCAAGCCTCAGCTGCACTAGTACTAGTACTAAGATAGCTCCAGACATATGCCTCACAACACTCGTCCACCAACAAACCTCCAAAACCGCACCAAACCACTAAAATCAGCCTTACGACGCACCCAACCAAGGCCTGTCGTTCATGTAGGAAAAGACGAGCACCATCACCCAGCATCCGAGTCTGAAGCGGAACTTGAGTCAGATGGCTCAGAGAGCGTTTCTGACAAGAAAGCCGGTGATGCCCAGGACGATGACGACGACGACGATGACGATGCAGATGCGCCTCGAGTGGTACAGTGGGCAGACGAGCAAGATGAAGATAGCGAAGGACTTTTAGAAGAGGAAACAGACGACGAAGACACTAATGACATCCCCGCGAAACCTTCCCGAGAACTGGTTCGCTCTCGTTTTGCTTGCGAGCTGTGCAGACATGCATACTAATTTGCCCGTCCTTCGCTCAAGCGGTCCCTCGAGGGCGGTACGTCCGAGTTTCATTTCTTACATCTATATCTACAACTCGTCCATCTGGAACGTACTTATCCCGCTCATCTCTAGATCTATCTTCCCTACCTCTAGGAATGCTCCGCAAAGCCCAGCGCACCCTCTCTCAAACGCGCGCTCTGACCGATTCCGAATCAGAGTCCGAGTCAGACGCACCATCAGAAGATGCATATGCAACCGACGACGACGAGGAACGCCCACGATCGACTACAGCCACAGGCAAGGAAAAAGAACACCCTAGAGCACGCAAAGACCTCGCCAAAAGATCCAGCAAGCACGCGTAAGCACCCCTTCCCATCACGCACACCCATCTATATCCATCCACTCATCTCACTCCCAGGCCCACCGAAATAACCTCCAAACGACCCGTCACCCGTCGACGAACAGTGATTGAATCCACAGCACCCGTACGTCCCACCATCCCTTTCCCACTCACTAATAACCAACTCACACACTAACGAATCACTAGCAACCCCGAGACCCCCGCTTCCTCCACATAACAGGCTCCTACGACCCCCAAAAATTCAAACACCAATACACATTCCTCTCCACCCTATACACCGACGAACTCAAAACCCTCCGCTCCAACCTCTCCCGCGCCCGAAAGCTCCTATTAAACTCCCCCAAAGACCTGCGCCAAGAACGAGAGCGGGAAGTTGGGAGACTGGAGCTTGCTGTGAAGAGGGGCGAGAGTAGTGTTAATAGGGATAAGAGGGAGAAGGTGGAGATGGAGGCGCTGGAGAGGATTGGGAGGGAGGAGCGGGAGAAGCGGAAGAAAGGAAAGGCGGGGTGGTGGATGAAATCGGGTAAGAAGCTTCCTCTCTTTCTTTCCCTCCCTTCTTTCGTCTCGTTTCGTTTTCGTCAACTCAATCTGATCAAATATCACTCCCAATCCAGCCGAGAAAAAAGAGTTGCTGATAAAAGCTCGCTACGAGGATATCGCATCAAGTGGGGGAAAACGTGCCGTAAAGAAAGCGATAGAAAAGAAGCAGAAGAAACAGAGTCAGAAGGAGAAGAGATCGCGTCCGTTTCCGGCTCCAGGTCGCACCAACGCCAACGCCAACACCAGCTTTGGAAGCGCAAGTGGGCAGAAGCGACCCGCCCGATTTACTTTAGACGAAGAAAGAAGCTCTCCCTCAAAGAAACGCAGGAAATTCTGAATTCTGAAAACATCATCATCATCATTGTCATCATGTTCTAGTCAAAAAGTACATGTCATTGTTCGATCCGTTGGATCCTCGAATGATGAATTCGATTACCCTTGGCACGAATGGGGGTATTATCCATTGCTATTTGGTAAGGTATGCCACGTCTTGCTCGTTTTCGTCAACTTTCGTCAGAATCATGTATGGTAGGTCTTTCAAAAAAAAAAAGACCAAATGCCTGGGAGATCAAAAATGTGGAAAAAGAGGGAAGGATGAGGGTGGTATAATGTACAACACAAGACGATCAGCTACAGGAAAAGACGGAAGTAGAGAAATCATCCTGTTCATACAAGGGAAGATACACGCCCAGATGGATATGCGCCAACCTCGACAGTCGTTCTGACAGCAAGCGAATCTCATCAACAAGAGGCTCCATACCCGACGCCAACGCAGAAGGAGGCGCGACCGACGCGAAATCCAAAGGCTTGCCTGGGCTCATGATAGAATCGCGTAATGGAAAAGTGAGCGCCACAACTTGATTGAAGACGACGTCGCGGATCCTCTTGCGCAGGAGCGTGCTTAGCGGCGAGTTTGGACGCATGTTCGAATCTGACCAGCGCTCGGCTAGTTTCAGCATGCGCTCATCTGGTGCGGAAGCGAGCACCCTGGATTGAGGATCTGATGATGAGTTCTGTGTAGACGACGTTCGAGCCTCTTTTGCGCGCATGGCGATCTGTAAGACGATGTCCTGTCTGATCTTGGCCCACTTCTCATTGTCAGAGTCCGAATTCGACCCTTGAGTGAAACAATGGCCGAGATGGGACGATGAGATATCTCGTATTTCCTTTTTCAGGGAAGCGAGTTGGGCATCGGTGACTTTAAGGGTTGGTTCGCAAGGGTCGGAAAACACGAGCTGGCGGAACAAAAGAAGGAACATATACATAGCAGTGGCGTCCGCAGCTTCCCCAGAGAGAACGAGAAGACGAGCGCCGTCCAGGTAAGTTGTTTCGGGGTATAAAGGGAGATATGGTATTGTAGATTTCGACACACGTAGTAAGGGTACGGGCGATGGGCCACAAGGTGGATCAAAAACGAGGTCCGTGAGAGCCTTGAGGACGCTCAAATAAATTTGCTGCGTTTGGGGAAGTTGGCGATAATTTATGGAGTTGGAAGGTAGTGACGGATGGGGAAGTGTATGCGAGGACATGAGGTGGTGGTATGCTGTTTGCATCCATTTCCGGGTGAGGTCGAGCGAGGCACCTGCCCCCTTTCGGCCCTTGAACGCCTTGAGCTCGTATTGTCCCGCGGTTTCTATGAGGAATGGGCGGAGGGTTTGCAATTGATGGTTCGCAATATCCTAAAGCAGAAGACTTGAGAACAAGGAAACAAGGACGATTGGGAGAGACTTGCCAGTTTCATGAGTTCCAATATATCGAGGCACACACGAACGGCCTTGACCGCGTCCGCTTTACTGCCACCGCATCCTGGAGCGCATGCTTTGGCTGCTTCTACCATAGCGTCGACAAGGCGATCACGCATGGGGGCACAGTGGCTTTTGAGAGTCTGGCCAATGACGATGAAAAGACCTGATGGATCGAAGAGTTCATGGTGAAGCTCTTGCTGAATAAGCTCCGGATCAAAGAGGGATCTGAGATGGGCGGCCTGAGCAGCGTGTTGCTCGATCTGCGTCTGGAGAGTGGCAGGATTGGCGTATGTACCACATATACTCGTAAGCGGCTGGATGACAAACAGCAAGACTTCGAGAAACTCTGTGAGAAGGGGACGGATGCGAGAGGGCATGCGAAGGGTGAGAGCACGGCGAGGGGAGCAATAAGTGAGGCTAGGTACTTGAGGTATAGGGCCTTGGGCGCAAACACAAAGGAGGTCGTGGGGTTTCCACTGGAGGTCAAAGGAAACGCAGGTGCAGCCTGTTTCGAGCTCTTGGGCGATAGCGGACCAATACTTGTCGGATAATTCGCGTTTCCGTCGCCCAGAAGTAGGACGAAACTGGAGACCAGCATCAAAGAGCAGATCATGTCCTAGGGAATATATGAGATATATTGAAAGACAAAAGGAAACAAAGACTGACGAAGTTGGGGATTACGGAGGATAGAGTCAAGATCTAGCTCTTTCAGGGTCTGACGATTGATGAGGGGATGCATTGCAGGGATATGGGGAGATGAGAGGTCGACGGGAGGGTGTACGGGGAGAGGCGAGTTACTGGGGCAATCGATAGCAGTACAGTGAGGGTCTATATTGAGTACATTAGGGCGTGAGTCTGTCTTTCTGAAAGAACGCCAGGGAGTAAGAGGGGAAGAGGGAGTCCTTGCAGATGAGATTGGACGCCTATGAGTTTTGAAAGATGGGAGATTGTCTGTATCGACCCTTGGGCGCTTGTGAGCCCGCTCAGTGGGGGTGGGAGTCACGGGAGATACGGGAGAAGAGTCTGTGGGAGATGGCCATACAGCACGTGCGGCATCTGTTGAAATCCAAGGACTAGAGGGTGGTTGACGAGGAGCATTAGATGGAGGGTCTAAGAGCATATCATCGTTTGATGTCGAAGTTGAATCCCTTGATGGCTCATCTTCATTGTCAGACGTGAGCTTTCGTTTCCTACAGTTGAGTGGGGGATGACCCAAATCGCCCATATGAGAAACGAAGTTGGTGGTCAAAGATAAAGAAAAAAAAGGGGAGAGGGTGGTGAAAAAGATGGATCGTTATATAAGTCTATAAAGAAAAACGCAACTCAGGGCGAACACATGGAATGACGGCTACTGCCATTTAAATGACGGCTACTTACCTGACGTACACCGCGCGGTACAAGTTTTGCAGCAAGTATACCACGCTGTCCGGTAGAGAATACGATCTTGAGGATACCTTGCCAGCGGGTGCATTCACATGAGATACAACGTGTCCGACTAAATTATCATCCAACTTAGCACAGAGTCTAAGGTACATCACTGAAATTCACAAACATACAAAGTCAGCTCATCAAGCTAACCCACGACGGTGACGCTAACGGGTCACCCTTGCAACCTCCCACTCCCTCGTCGATCCTAATGTAAACTCATGATCGAACCGGAAAACTCGTGCTATCAACGTTGATTGGCAGCTTTGGCTCTCTCATTCCGTACACCACGGATTTATTTCGTATTCTCAGCCTCGTTCCATCTCATAATACAAGTAATCTTGCCGTTCGTCGATCCCTTGCGGACTTTGTTTCCCTACTCACACCCGGGGACGGAAACATCCGTTATCAACGTTCCTCATACCTCTTGTAAGTAACAGTGCCTCCGTGTCCACTACATATCAATTAATTTCTCCTCCCCTTCTTCCTCTTCCTCACTAGCCTTCTTCGTAGCTTTCCTCCCATAGAACTCTCCAATAATCTTCGGATTTATACGGTTAAGCTGTTCCTTCGGGAAAATCCGAAGCAGAGACCAAGCCAAGTCGAGCGAATCAAAGATAGTACGAGACTCATAGGGTCCTGTATAGCCTTCAGCATAAACTCAACCCGGTCCGAAATCAATCACAAACCTTGGCCTACGAACTGCCGCTCAAACTTGTCCAAGAACTCTAGGGCCAGCTTATCTTCTGCTGACAGCGCCTCCTCTCCAACAACAGCCTTCATCGCTGCTGCATCACGACCGATCGCGTATTTAGCATACTGCACGAGTCCAAAAGGCAGTGAGATCTTCACTTCGGCTAATATGAAGGCACAACTCACCAATTGGTTCGAAACGTCACCATGATCCTTCCTCGTAAGCTTCTCGCCAATCGCGCTTTTCATCAACCGTGATAGAGATGGCAAAACATTGATGGGCGGGTATATCTGTCTGTTATGCAATTGACGGTCCACAAAGATCTGGCCCTCCGTAATGTACCCAGTCAGATCGGGAATAGGGTGTGTAATATCTGGCATCGTGGGTCAGCCCACAAACATTGAAGAAGAAAAAGGACCTATGACGTCACCATCGTTTGGCATGGTCAGAATGGGAATTTGAGTAATAGAACCATTACGACCCTCTACTCGCCCAGCTCGTTCGTAAATTGTCGACAAGTCTGTGTACATGTAACCGGGGTAGCCACGACGTCCAGGCACTTCTTCCCGAGCCGCAGAAACCTGCACATGAACCGCACTGCGGTAAGCGTCTTTCCAGAAAGACTCGACAGAAACCAAGAACGCACTTCACGCAAGGCATCCGCATAAGACGACATATCAGTCAAGATGACCAACACGTGTTTCTCCAGCTGGTATGCATAGTATTCTGCCGTAGTGAGCGCAAGACGGGGCGTAATAATACGCTCGATGGTGGGGTCGTTTGCAAGATTAAGGAACAACGTCACGCGATCGAGACTACCGTTTGACTCAAAGTCTTCTTTGAAGAACCGTGCGGTTTCCATGTTGACACCCATTGCCGCGAACACGACAGAGAAATTGTCTTCATGACCATCGTGAACGTCCTTTGTTGGCCGTTTCACCAGACCTGCTTGACGTACAATCTGGGCAGCGATCTACAAATTTCAATTAGCTCCTTTAAGAATTCCTTCGTGCGCTTCATACGCACCTCGTTGTGTGGCAAACCAGCAGCGGAGAATATGGGAATCTTTTGTCCACGAGCGATTGAGTTCATCGTATCAATCGTAGAAATCCCAGTTTGGATCATTTCCTCAGGATATATGCGCGAGTATGGGTTGATTGGGCATCCTGAGCTCCACTTAATACCAATGGTGGCCGAGTGAAGAACTGACCCACCATTAATGTCCAAGTAATCCTCAGCAAACACTTTTGGACCCTGATCAATGGGATTTCCAGAACCATTGAAGATACGACCAAGCATGTCCTCGGCCACAGGTAGTTTCATGCTGCTTCCTGTGAATTCGACATGCGTTGCTTTGACGTCCACCCCTGAAGTGCCTTCAAACACCTGAACAATCGCCTTCTTTCCTTGAACTTCCAAAACCTGGCCGCCTCGCTTCGATCCATCGGGCAAGGTTAGCTGTACGATCTCATTGTATGAAGGGAACTGCGCGGAAAGTAGTGAGCACAAGCCAATCCAAGTTAAAACTAAAACGCCGAGTACCTTGACATTGTCAAGCACGACAAGTGGGCTGTAGGGACCCGGTCAGATCAGTTATTAGCTATGACATGGTCCACTCACCCATTGATCGCAGAAACGGTGCGGTAGTCTTAAGGACTCGTCAATAAGTGCTCGGCGTCTTGCAATGCTTTGGGACGCACCAAGGTGTGGTTGGACGCGGTATTCCCGCGTCACTGCAGCTGCATTGATTGCGGCTAGCTCTCCGTCACTCATGCGAGGGTCTGCAGCCATGATGCACAGGTGAGGCTGGCGTTGGCGGGCGCAGGAGATTGTGCTTTCGGACCCAGTTTATTGAACAAGGCTATAGCAAACCGACTTTCCCACGCATCCCACATTAACACGCCCCCCGTATTCGACTACATTTCAGCTAAGGGTACGATATGATCTACATGCGACTGATCATGCGTACAGCTTGTACACTGGACAACGTTTTCATCGTTCGGTAATTGCTGAATACAGTAGCTCCGCGACGCGAGTGGCTGCCACCTTCGCTTCCATGCTTTCTGAGGACCTGTGATAATGTCAGCTATTTGAGGGAGAAAGGGGACACGGTTAAAACCATTCTGTTTCGAGAAGTAGTTCTTCGACTGCTTCATCTGCCTCCCAGCCGAGATCCCTGCTTTGAATGAACGTGTAAAGGTACTCAGCCGTACTGGTCCGGATCTAGTTTACGGTCAGTATCGTCGACCCGTGATGTAAAAATACGACCTTTGGATAAGGGTGAGAAAGGAAGTCGATGATTCGCTCCGAGGATGATTTCGAAACCGAGGAAACGACCAAGAGATTTACGACGCTACATATGGCTCAGTTGAGATGCTATCGTGGAATTAATAAACCCACATTTTCATGGACTCCTGCACTCGTTGTACATTCTTCAATCGCAAAACATTTCTCGTCGCAATGTCCAATAATTTCGCCAGTCTAAAAACATCGTCAGTTCGTTCGTTTCGACAGATACAGGAAACGACGACGACTTTGACGGGCCATTGTCAACGCTAGATAGGTGAGATAACACGTCTGCCTCCAAAAGCATGTTGAACGTTTGCAAGATAGGGACCACCACCGCATTCGACGTCGCTCTGCCTTGTGCACACTCAATGAGGTCGTCGCACAGCTCAAACAAACTATAGCCAGAATCGCCGGGGGACAATGGAAGACCTTGCGCAAAGGAAACTAGACTCGAAGAGGCTGGTCGATGCTAGTGACGCCATCAGAGAAACGAAATAAAGGTGCAAAGGAGACGGACCGTGCTTCCAGTTCTAGCCCCTACACTATGTATAAGGCCTGTCAGTAGAGGTTGTCGGTACTCCTGTACGCGGAGCAGCTCTACGGCTTTCGGAAATAACCATTCCCCAACACTCCAGCTGGTCATAGCGTCTGAGGTGTCACTGTTCGCAATGAGATGAATAGGTGCGAGCAACATAATCTTTAGCGATTCACTTAAGAAATAGCTTCATCATGAGTTCTGAGCCCTTAATACGCCATTCCTCTTGATGAGGAACGCTCGGGAGAGGGATGCGAAACAATCGCAATAAACAGTGTCCCGCGATTTGTCGTACGTTGTCCAATCTTTCGACACCCTGACGGAGAATTCTGGCTATCACACTGTGATACCTCTGAGCAGGCAAGTAGCTTGCGAATCCAGGCGTGCTTCCTGAAACACGAAACAGATCTTCGAAAATCGATGCTAGACCTTGAATGCACGCCATCCGTACCCACGAGCCAACGTCGCCACGCTCGTCCATCGTGTAATCATCCAGCCCGCTGTCAAGGGCATCAAGAACTCCACATATACTTTCTCCAATTAGATCTGAGGAAAGATGTTTCATTTACATCCGCCGCCGAACAGAAAATAAAAACACGAACACTCGGTGAGGCGAGGCAGTACATTCGCGATGATCTTGGGTAATGCTTGGAAGCAATTTCGACGTGCTTCAATGCTCAACATTCTTCTGGAGGACTGCGATCGCCGCTTGAATCGGCATAAAACCCTGAACAAGGGAAAATCTTACGTTGGGATCGACACTCTCCAACAAGCACTTGACTACCTCAGAGAAACCATGCGGATGCGCGTTGTAATTGAGAACCCCTAGAGTATAGCCAAGACTTTGCTGCAAGGACTGAGGGCCATGACGAAAGTCCTTGATTAATGTGCTGAGGGGGAATGTTAGTCAATGTGTTTGAAATGTAAGCGACAATTAATCTTATCTGTGTACGTCTGATGAGCAATCTATCAAGGAACTTGTTGTGGCCATGGCAGTGGCGGCAGCCTGTTGAACGGAAGAGCTTCTGTGTCGCAGTCCCTGGTCTACGATCTTTTTCCAATGGGGCACGGACGATTTTTCTTGAAGCTCAACCTCCTGTAATGTCAAGCTGCTTGCAATGAGATCGCACGCTGCCGCAAGTACTAGGGCGTTTCGTGGTGCCAACACGACATCTTGCGGAACAATCGCGATATGGGCAAATATCTGATAGGTGATCAACACGAGGGACACATTGAGAACTTCATACTCACCTTTCGCCGATTGATTGCATTTTCTTCACTCTCCTGAGCTCGGTACGCCTCAGAGATACCTGTTAGTGCTGCAAGTGCTCCATGCACATCGGATACATCAACGGAATTTAAAAATCCCGCCTACAGCAAAATGAGAAACGTCCTCCGTTGAATAGTCAGGAATTTCACCATCTTCGAAGCGCACTCTAGCCCTAGTGTATTCAAGTCGAGCTCGCATATCCGGCGCAAGGCCAGAGCACCCAACTCCCTCATCGCAACATCCCAGTGACGCAAAGTGATCGAAATGATGTGATCGATCAGGAATGATCTGTACTCCAGGTGCCTAGGAGGGTTATTAACAGTCCTTCCTTGTGAAGAAGCGACTTACTCAGCGACCTGCGGAGCAGCGACTGTGAATGCGTTCCGTCGCACGCTGACTGCATAGAAGTCGGTTTTTCTAAGGACGTCGATACCATGTGGGAACAGCGCCTGAAACACATTGCATGAACTTTCAACGTAATTTACCTGAGACAAGCACATCAAGGTGTACCATTCTGCCAACATGTTCTTGGAAGGCGGCACTAGCCGCTCTTCGAATGTGAATTTCCCTGTCGAACAACGCCACAGAAACGAGCCATTGCGCGAGTTCACGAGCATAGGGAGAGAAGGATTCCGGATCTTGTGCTCTCGCTAAAGCCCAGATCACATAGGCCGCAGCGTCCCGTACGTTTGATCCAATGGAATGGGCCCCCTTACGTATATCGAAGTAGAGGGCCTAATGTGCATTATCAACATATGAAACCAATTAATTCATATCTGACTTTTCTCACTTTTGAGAGCCAGCCCAAGAGGCTTCCTAGTGCAGCAGTTTGAACAAGACCTCTGCGTGCCATCTCTGCTGACGCAAGAGAGGCGCCATGCCAAGTGGCCTTGGCAATAGCAGGGGTGTCATAAACACTCGCTCCGGCTACAGAATGGATCGAAAAAAGACCGAGAATCGTCTCTAATACCTGAGAGGAGAAATCCGACGGAAGGCGTTCTGAAAGACGAGCAATGCCTTTGGCTGCTGACCATCGTACCACTGTGTCCTATACTTTGTGTAATCGATGGTCACACGTGACATATGGAAAAAATACCTTGTCCTGCAGGCTCTTGAACAGAGACTCCAAAATTGTGTCGATTTCTTCAGGGACGTCGATATCCTCATCGTCGTCTAAGTTCCCGTTCTCAGTCTCGTTGATGATATTACCATCCAGGCTGCGGACTGTGAAATTACGGATTAAATCGTTGACCACGTTGACATGTGAGTTAACATTACACGTTAACTTGGATTTAGACACCTTCGGGGGTATCAAACGTAATGCGACGCGCGAGAGCAGTTTCGTGCGATATTTTCGAACCAGCGTGTTGCTGGCCAATGTGGTACTCTGTTCTAAGGTATCCGTAATTTCCAAGAACTGTTGCGTAAAGGCCTGCAGATGTTCAGAGGAACTAGATTTGACCAATTCACAAAGGACTTGCAATACTCCTATAGACTACTTCAAGTGAGCCGCATTTCAGAGAGCACCAAGTCATCGTACCAGGATGATATCCGAAGAGCGAAATACTGTTATTGACCACTCAACGAAAGAGGCAAATCGCTGCCTGGTGTCCTTTCTTAAAGAAGTTCAGGAAATGCAGGGCATCGTGTGCATTGAGCTCACCGTGCGTAGAAGCGTGCCAAAAGGGTGGCCGCTCCTTCACGCTCTAAACCAGCCATATTCAGGCGATCTTTTCCAACAAGCTCGATTGCATCTGCTGTTTCGCCGGATCGAGTAGCATCATCGAATTTCTGTAAGTCGAAAGGTATCCGACAAATGAGAGATAGCCAAAGCAGCACGGCATATCGCAGTCCCCATTGACTGAGCTCCTTCACTGGCCCTGACGGTAACCGAATGAAATCCAAAGCAATTGAGAGATCGGCCACCTCATGAGGGAAGAATCGAGCTGCTTGGAATGAATATAAGGGGAAGATGTCACAAAGGGCCACTGACTTATTGTCTTAAACCCGCGGAACTTGATATAGTTATGAAGAAGATCTGCTAGGCGTTCCACACGGCTACGAGAAGACTGAGAGCCTCGTGCATTAACGCATGTCATTGCATATTTTCTAAGGCATCCTGCGACGGGAGACACGAGGCTTTCAAGATACGGGTCCAACAGATACGATTGCTCTTGGTATTCTCCAAACTTTCTCGACCACATCAAGGTACGTCAACCCTGGATATGAGGGATGACTTACAATCATCATTAATTTTCGACTGCAATCAAGTTCTACATCTTCCTCTTCGCGACTGGGTTCTACGAACAAATCAACTGCCAGCAGGGTGTTTTGAGCTGCTACGAACTCGTCACGGCGCTCGAAAGCTGCGAATAGTCTGGTTTCCTGTGAATCCTCGTCCATGACCACCGTGTCATTGACAAAGTGAACAGCGAAAGTCGACAGTACTAACACGATGCTTGATCGTCAGTAGTCCATTTACGTCAGCGGCTTCAATATGTGCCAAGCGCCTAAAAGTCATACAGGACTTTTACAGTGCTACATGAACCTGCTATATAATACTCTACCGACCTCTCAATCCCATCACACGAACTCTAGCTCAGTGGAGACATAGAAAATATTGATGTCACCTGCTGAGGCGTCAGTAACAACGACGAAGAGAAAGAGGCAACATCCGAGTCAAGCTGATGAGACGGTGCGCATCACAAACGGGATTTCGCACAATGGTTTACTCATTTGTACTGGTCATCCTAGCACATCGGGACCACGTTAGAGAAGAAACTGGCACGTCTCGTCCTCAATCTATAGCCCCCAGATCTTAATATTTGATTGTTCATCAAGTATCATGACGCAAAGGAGGTCAGGAAGGCCGCGAAGAAGGCAAAGACCTTCGAGATGCAGAAGATTTTGAAGAAAATGAAAGACGCGAGGTGTGTATTCAGTTCCGTCATGATTATAGTAGAGCGTTTTTTTTGATAATTCATTTCCCAGACTCAAAGGCGACGATAATACGGTGAAGGATATTGAAGCACAACATATGGCTCTCAAGGTGAGTGTACACAACGCGACCGATATACGTCCTTATCGAACAATTTACTAGCGGCTCGACCCTGAGCCTATCGCCGACTCAGCTCTCTCAACGAAAATAAAGAAAGATAAATTCCTTTCACAAGATCCCAACTTGCAATTTGCGATGACAAAGTCATTGTCTTCCAGCTCGATTGCACCTGCTATACCTGGATCCGCAGCAGGCATAGTCCAAAGCAGGCTACTTAGTTCCAAGGTCCTGGCGGCTGATGTTTCACGTATAATCGAGGGACTTCGGCGCTTACTGAACCCTGTGGAGCGGGCCCACCACGCAACAGATGACAACGCCGAAGTATCGCCGCCTCGAAAGAAGAAACAGAAGACACAACAAAAAGAGGGTTTACCCAAGGTCCCTCCAGCAGATGTTCCTTCTGAGGATGAGCCAAACTCAAATATTGAACACGATGGCTGGGAGTCAGGCACGGTTAGCGACGGCGATCATTCTGTCCAGGGAGATTCGGGGGTTGTGGAGATGTTTGATGAAGAAGACAACTCCGTCTCGGAGGGTGGCGATGATGACCCCCCTGCCCCTCGCGAACGACCAAGTCAGGGGAAATCAAAGGCAACGCAATCTACTTTCCTACCTTCCCTTTCGGTGGGTTTTGTTCGCGGAGACTCGGACACCGATTTTAGCGACAGCGAGGACAAAGCAGCTGACACAGCAAAGAAGAACAGACGAGGTCAGCGGGCACGTAGGGCGTAAGTTTGTGCCGTTTGATTTTAGAATTATTAAACTTAATTTCTTCTTCAGAATATGGGAGAAGAAATTTGGAAGACATGCCAATCATGTGATGAAGCAAAAAGCTTCTGACCGTCACGACGCCCCTTCCGGCATTACTATGGTTCGCAAAGATCAGCGCCAACACAGGAATAGCAATCACGATTCCGATGGCGCGCCGTTCTCCGGTCGCAGGCAGAATATCCGAATACCAGACAAGAACAGAGACAACGCCTCAGCTCACCTCGTGCCAGGTAGCCGTAAGGAAGAGAAATCACTTCATCCATCTTGGGAGGCTAAGAAAAAACAACAAAATGTCGCAATCGTGCCTGCACAGGGCACAAGAATTGTATTCAGTTAGTCTTAAGACGTTATTCTGACGAAGACATGACATCATATGAATACAATATATACATAATCCAATTCTCTAGTTGTCGTTGCACGAGTATAAAGGAAAACTGTTGGAGTATGACGCTTGCGTAAAAGAACGGTCAAACTTGCCTAGAAGCATGACGCGTGCGTAAGACAAAGTGTCTAGAAGCGTGATGCGTGCGTAAAATATCGCTATGGAACTTGTCTTGACATACGACCAGCAAAAGTTGTGGAAATGAAATTTGAATAGTGAGGGTGTTTCATCGCAAACGGCCATATACAAGATGAAATTCACGTTTTGCAAACGTGTCTCTTCCCCCCCTGCATCCTACATTCCCTAGAGCACCACATATCTCCACACCGGGGGCAGCGCGGGAAGTCCCTACCTGTTTTCAAACAGGCGACGCATATAGTACGACACGATAGTTTTGAGGCATTCTCGATAGCTTCAAGAATAGGACAGAGTGTAGAGACATTGTCCCCAAGAGGTGATGCAGGCGGGGAATCATGTGAGGATGAAACACCGATGGGGTGTGAACCCAAGCTTGAGTTCATAGATGAAGTGCGACTTATAGATGGGCGATGAGGTGAACGAGACCGTGATCGAGGTAGATCGGGGGGTTCAAAGTTGTATTCGTTTGCCCACTCCGTGTCCGGTTGCTTCCCGCGTGATTTGGAAGGGACAGAGAAAGACGAGCGGAGCCATAAGACCGCTGGTACGGTAGTGGTAAATGAACCATAAGCTTGGAGGTCGCCTTGAACGGCCTCAGCAGAGGATGGTTCGTAGAGCTTTTTGGGAAACCTTGATGAAGTAGACGACTGGGAGTTCATGGAAGAGCGCGAGATACTCCATGTCCGTTTGCGACTATGAACAAATGAAGCATATTTCTGATGCTGTGACAAAGCCGGACATATAAGGATGGTGTCGACGTTGAGCGTAGTAACATACCTCAGAGTTGCTGTGCAATGCATGATGTGAAGAGTTCATTGTGAGGTATAGAGTTGGGCTTTCCTACACACTCTTTTGAGGCTAAATAAATATGCCAACAGATAATCCTAGTTATCGGCCAATGGAGGGTCTCTGTTGAGACTCGTCAATGATCTCAAAAGCGGGAACCGTGGAGATAAGCATTGCCGGAAAAGATAAAAAGAGATGACGACTTACTGGGACCTCCGCACGACTTGCGTGGCAAATGAGCACGGCAGAGGAAGGAGGAAAAGTGGTCGTGTGCCAGGCCGTTTTTTTAGCGGGAACTGTGTGGCCAAATACGAAGCACTTTTTACGGCATAGAATGGATAAACCGAGAAGCAACTTGCCGTTTGCCCAGGCCCTGTACACATTTAGAAGGTGATATCGTATCAGTGCGCTGTCACCTGTGAGCAAACTTGAAAGTGCGACCTGAAATTTCGATAATCGTTCATTCTTATCCCAAGGTGGAAAACTCTGGACTGGGCCACTGGGTCGCTTCATAGTTCACGTGCTTTGCGATAGCTTCCAGCGAGCGTTTTGCGACACGCACTGGCTACCATTATTATGTCGGCAGATGTATATGCCAAGACAACGTTAGGACTATGATCCCAATCACCTTACCCGAGTTCGAGCGGGTCACATGATAGAGAATGTGCGGTCCGGGCGGTCGCACTTTGGTGGTACATAGACTGGCGCGCCAAAACAACTGCTCAACGAAACAACGGACTAATGGGCCAACGCGACGCCTTCATCCTATACCAAGGGTTGGGGCCTAGAGCGTGTGCGTTGCTTTAGTCAAGTTCTTACACGTCGCGGTATGCGAGCGGACAAAACTGACAACTTACTTGGTGACAAGACATGTGCAAAGATTTGAAAGTTTGAAACAAGATGTTCAAAGGGATGGCCTGAAATCCGGGATGTCATGACAGAGGATGTTATCGACCTTGGGGCCTAGACACTTTTCCCTGGAAATAGAACATATGCACGCTTGCGGCAGTTACGGTGCTGCCGCACTGGTCAATATTATAGCACAATCAAGAACCTGATTTAATTGTGATTCAAGCGCGATGCTCTGCTACTACGTACCCTGCTGCTGCTTGCTGTCCTATCCCGGATTCGCCAGTGTACGTACTAGGGCTACGAAGTACCCACTCGGCAAGGGTTGTTCAGCGAAGTTGAAAATTTGTACCTATTTGTACTTGATTACTTAACTTTTTTGAACTTTATATTGTGCTGAACACCCTTGCCGAGTGGGTATAGGAGTCTGCGAAGCAGCAGTCAGCATCAACTCCGATCTTTTGAAAACCCTAGACAAACAAGGCAAAATAGGAATGACTTGCGTGCTTGCTGTGCTTATCATGATTGACCAGCATAGAGGAGTCTGACCATGGTAAGCTTGACACATCTCATCAGTATATAGCCAGTCTCATTATTCGGCCATTCATTAGAATCGACCAGGTATGAAGCCCTCGTGCAGCCTTTTGGACGACGTTTTTGCTTCAAGAAACACACTCATGACCTATCCCTATCTCTATAGATACAAGGAAGTACTCAGAGACGGGAGAAGATGATCGATATCTATTTGCAGTTTCTGAGATGCAAGGATGGAGATTTAGTGCGTAACCGGTTTTTCGGCCGCGGTTCTGATGTGATCTCACACATCTCGCGTATCTGTGTCCTAATTGCAGCTATGGAGGATACTCATGTGACCATGCCAACCCTTGCAGAGGGGCCAGAGGGCACAACAGATAAAAACTCATTCTTTGCTGTTTATGATGGGCACGGTGGTAATTGCCTCCTAATCCTTTTTGCGGATCCAAGCCTCGAGCTCAGTCTGATTCTTCACAGGAAGTGCCGTTGCGAGGTTTGCGAAGAACAACGTTCACAAGCGACTGATTTCAGATGAGGCATATCGTGAAAAGCGTTATGAGGAAGCGTTTAAGAAAGCGTTCCTCGGCACCGATGAAGATCTCCTCGCTGGTATGCTATATCGTCTTATTGTCTCTGCACACACTCCACTCATTTCAACACAGATTCGTTGCGTGATTACGGTTCTACAGGTTGTACTGCTGTGGCTGCTTTGATAACGGACGATAACAAGATTTATGTGGTACACCAATTTTTCCTTCTATATTTCATTGTCCTTTTGCCAATGCTTGCCTGACAGGCCAATGCTGGCGATTGCCGGGCTGTTCTTAGCGTGAAAGGTATAGCCAGGCCTTTGAGTTTTGACCATAAACCAGTAATGGAGAGTACGTTGGCTATTCAAATATTGAGTCATTATCTTTGTTCACCGGTCTCTTCAGCTGAACGGAGACGGATCGAGGAAGCTGGAGGATACATAGACGACTCACGTGTTAATGGTGAGTCATCCGGTCACTCTCTGGGGTTGTACTTACTATGGATTTTTAGGAAATCTTTCGTTGTCTCGGGCTATGGGAGATTTCGAGTTCAAGAGAAACCACGCACTCAGTCCTCAAAAACAAATGATTACAGCCGATCCTGATGTCACCGTTCACGATGTTACAGACGAGGATGAGTTCCTAGTCCTGGCCTGTGATGGTAAGACGGCAAGTCCTAAGCACGACGTGATTCCAACTTTTCGTCAGGTATCTGGGATCCTACAACTTCACAAGAGGTCGTTGACTTCGTCCGGCAAAGAGTTTCACATGACTGGGAACTCGAGGAGATCGGAGAGAAGATGTGCGACCATTGTCTTGCTCCATATAGATCACCTTATCATGGTATCGGATGCGATAACATGACTATCATCATTGTGGCTCTTCTTCGCGGAAGGACAAAACAAGAATGGTACGACTGGATCAAAGACTCGGAAGTACGATGATTACGGGCCAACGAGCAATAGTATTCAATCATATAGGTACTGCATTGAAATGTAATGGTCACAAGGACTTCCTTCGGTCGGCAGTCGCAGCATGTCATTGTGTTCATAATAGTAACTCGGAAAATACAATCATCAGCAAACTACTGATTTTCCCCTGGAAATAGAACGGGCCTGCAGTCACGGTGCCGCACTGGTCAATACACAATTAAGAACCTGATTTAATTGTGATTCAAGGTCATTACGCGATGCTCTGCTACTACGTACCCTGCTGCGGCTGCTTGTTGCCCTATCCCGGATTCGCCAGTGTACGTACTAGGGCTAGGAAGTAGCATGCACAGCCAGCATCAACTCGGATCATATCACAAGTTCTTGCCAGCTGAAAACCCTAGCAGACAAACAAGACAAAATAGGAATGACTTGCGTGCTTGCTGTGCTCATTGACCAGCATAGACCATATCTGTGTCCTCTTGAAAAATTTACCCTCTCCCTTCATTTCCATCCTTTCGATTCACGAAACTACAGGAGTCTGACCCATTCTGATTCGGTTCATTGGCTAAGCGATTACTTTCTGCTTTTTTACGTCTTTCTCCATCAATAGCGAGGCATGGTAAGCTTGACACATCTCATCAGTATATGGCCAGTCTCATTATTCGGTCATTCATTAGGGTCAAACACTCTCAGCGCCAGGTATGAAGCCCTCGTGCAGCCTTCTGGACGACGTTTTACTCCAAGAAACACACTCATGACCTATCCCTGTTTGTTTCTACAGCTACAGAGAAGAAATCAGAGACGGGAGAAGATGATCGATATCTATTTGCAGTTTCTGAGATGCAAGGATGGAGAATTAGTGCGTAACCGGTTTTTCGGCCGCGGTTCTGATGTGATCTCACACATCTCGCGTATCTGTGTCCTTATTGCAGCTATGGAGGATGCTCATGTGACCATGCTAACCCTTGCAGAGAGCACAACAGATAAAAACACATTCTTTGCTGTTTATGATGGGCACGGTGGTAATTGTTTCCTAATTCTTTTTGCGGGTCCAAGCCTCGAGCTGATTCTTCACAGGAAGTACCGTTGCGAGGTTTGCGGGGAAGAACGTTCACAAGCGACTAATTTCAGAAGAGGCATATCGTGAAAAACGTTATGATGAAGCGCTTAAGAAAGCGTTCCTCGGCACCGATGAAGATCTCCTCGCTGGTACGCTATATCGTCTTATTGTCTCTGCACACACTCCACTCATTTCAACACAGATCCGTCGCATACCCGCGACCCATCAGGCTGTACTGCTGTGGCTGCTTTGATAACGGACGATAACAAGATTTATGTGGTACACCAATTTTTCCTTCTATATTTCATTGTCCTTTTGCCAATGCTTGCCTGACAGGCCAATGCTGGCGATTCCCGGTCTGTTCTTAGCGTGCAAGGTACAGCCAAACCTTTGAGTTTTGACCATAAACCATCAAGCGAGAGTACGTTGACTATCCAAATATGAATCATTTTTGTTCAACGGTCTCTTCAGCTGAACGGAAACGAATTACGGAAGCTGGAGGATACGTAGAATATGGACGTGTTAATGGTGAGTCATCCGGTCACTCTCTGGGGTTGTACTTACTATGGATGTTTAGGAAATCTTGCGTTGTCTCGGGCTTTGGGAGATTTCGAGTTCAAGAAAAACTACGCACTCGGTCCTCAAAAACAAATTATTACTGCCGATCCTGATATCACCGTTCACGATGTTACAGACGAGGATGAGTTCCTGATCCTGGCCTGTGATGGTAAGATGACAAGTCCTAAGCACGACGTGGTTCTAACTTTTCGTCAGGTATCTGGGATTGTCTATCTTCACAAGCTGTCGTCGACTTCGTCCGGCTAAAAGTGTCAGAGGGCTTGGAACTCAAGGAGATCGGAGAGATGATGTGCGAGCACTGTCTTGCTCCAGATACCTCATCGGGGTCTGGTATCGGATGCGATAACATGACTGTCCTCATTGTGGCTCTTCTTCATGGAAGGACAAAGCAAGAATGGTACGACTGGGTCAAAGATCGTGTCAAGAACCGCTTCGGTTACGCAACACCTGACACTATTCCGCCAATCTATTCATCAGACCGACTGTCATCATACAGAGCGCGAAGAGAGGCACAGCAAGAGAGGGACAGGTTGAGGAGGGAGCGAGGCGAGGACAACTCGACAAGCAGTTTGTTTGGTGGAAACAGTCCATTTGCTCGTGTCTTGGGAAGCACTGGTGGCATCTCTTTCCACCCGGGTTCGGGGATCCTGAGCGACACTGGTCGCCTCATGTTCGCCAATAATGACGATGAGGACGACAGTGGCGATGATATGGACACGTCATTTAGCGGGCGCTCATTTTTCAGCGACACATTCGGGCTTCCCCGAGCACAGCCACCGGACGCTGGAGCTGGTTTGCGGGCACGTCTTGCCTCCTTTGAGGTCGACGATGACTTTGACGATGAAGAGACTGGCGGGCACTTTGATGGTGTTGCACGGATTGAAGAGGTTCAGGATGATGAAGGGACTAGCCCCTTTGATGAAGTGAATGACGCCCCGAAATCCCCCAGTCCATCACCTAGTCCGCCAAATCCTAGAATCAACGGAGACGTCACTCCCGTTCAGCAATTCAAGGTGCCTCTTCAAAGCGACGGCGATCCCGCGATGAACGTTGACGGCTTAATGGCCTCCAGTGATGACCCTTTGAAGGCATAGCTGTATTTCTCAATATGTTGTAACTTTCCTTTCACCTGTCAGTGTTGTGTATTGGGCTACCTTGTGCTTCCTCTCTAACTATTTTCTTCCTACCCGTCGCCTTCAAAGCTTGACGATTCATGATTCCCTCCTGTGGCATCACAAGTATTATATGTACTCTTCGAGCTACAGGCTGTCCACTGTACTTTCCTCCAATTTTATTCAAAAGATGTTGTCCATCACTACTAGCTCGTTCTCGCATAGACAGACGATAGTGTGCCCCTGCACCGTTTTGAACGTACCGACACCTAACAGAGAACCAGCGCCTCCATCACCAACTTTCAATACACTTTGTTTGGCCCAAATTTGACCCGGAAGCCCACCACGGTAAATGTATACGTTCCCTCCTCGATCCCTACTGCCGTTCTCGAACGCCAAAACTGCTTTTGATGAGACATGATATGTGAAGCGTGTGTCACGCTTGGAGGCGAGCACGAAGGCGAGCGCCGAGAAAGTTGCACTGTGCGTCCAAGTGGGCAGAGAACCCACCGTCTGTGCCTCATCCAGCGTGAACAGGGTGCCATCGATTCCATTCTTCACAACCATAGACGCTCCTGGACCTGAACCAGGAAGATCGATCGACAGAACGTTGCATACAGAATCACCAAAGCCAGATGACCACACAGGGATCCCTCCATCCTCACCCACCCACGTCAAGAAGGCCACTCGTCCGACTGAAGAGTCAACTTCCTCATCGACCTCTCCCTGAGCAAGTGTTGGCACCCCTCGGCCCAATCCAAGCCCGCTCATATCCTCTCCACTTTGGAGTGCAGCTGTATACTTCTCCAACGACTCTCGGATGAGGTAGAGCTCTGAAGGGTCGAGGGTTTCTGGAACTTCCTCCTCTCCACCCGGAGTACCCGCAGATGCAAATATATGCATCCACCGACTATCTTCACGCTGCTTGTCCAGATGCAACGTGAGCAATCCAAATGAGTGCTCTCCCTCGCGATCCCAGGTCCAGAAACTGGTGGAGGTTTGAATACCGTCCCAGAGCTGTTTGGCAGAATAGCGGGGAAGAGGGACGCCTTCGACATGTGACGTGCTCTGGACGTGCACCGTCAAGGTCTTTTGGGAAAATGTCACCTTGATGCTTGATGTTGGAGTTGTGGCTGGGAGGGGGAAGGCCACTGTCACGGAATCAGATGTCTGTGTCCAGGAATATGGTGGGGGTCTGGGGGGAGTCTCCACATCTAACTTTTCATCCAGACGCGGAATAGGGGCCATTTCATCTGGCGAGGGTTCGTATGAAAGTGGGGCTGGTTGGTTGAGCTCGCGATAGACGGAGCTACCAGCCAGAAGATAACATTTTCGAGAGTTATCGTACTCCATGAATATAGGTACATCCTGTCCCCGCCTCCTCCAAAGAATGTCAAGAGGAGCGAGATCGCCCTTCTGGGTTGGAAGAGGCAGCAAGAATCTCGCAGCCCAGACGTCAAATTCAGAAGTGTGACTTGTCGTCGATTGCATTGGAGAGGCTTCGGGGCCTCCGTAGAAGCGAGAAGACAGAAGCGCTATAGCTGCGCCATCAGATGTCTTAGCGACAGAGTGGATGCGAAATGGAGCCGGAGCTGAATGAAGAGTTTGCGTAACATTAGAGAGCTCAAAGCAGCCTAGGTTAGTAGCAGCTCCTTCTACAGGAAGTGCGAGGATGTAGAGAGCCCCTTGGCCATCGGCGACGAATGCAGTCCTTGCGTCAAGAAACACTGCTGATGGATACTCGCGATGGACCTGTACAGCTGCGGGAGCGCTGATTGGAGCGGGAAGTTCATAAACCACAGTAAATGATGGCATGTGACTGTCCTACTTGTGCACGATGTGAGACTCTTGATGGAACAAGGGATGGTATCGCAAAAGCGTACATTCATGAAGTCGACGAGGATAACATGATGTTCCGAGTCAATATATAGACACCTGCCGCTGTCATTTGCCATGGCCAGATGATTATGTGTGATCCTGCTCTGGACCTCCTTGAAAGATAGTGGAGACCGCCCAGAATTAGCGACTTGTGTGGGTCTGTATTCAAGGCCGAAGCGCGTCACAGCGTCTTCTTGTGAGATTACCGCCAATTTGTAACCCTCAAACTTTGGGTTCAGGAGGGCATGGTTTGGCGTGAAACTTGACATCACGATGATGTGGAATGACACAGGAGAGATGTGATAACTAAAACTCTTATAAGCACGCCGGCTGGTTCCACTCCTTTTTCGGGCTCATCAATGTTTTGTGAGCAGCGCAGCGTTTTTACCTGTGCCCCAAATAGACCCAAACAGCTCCTGACTTCGCGCTACATTGCATACATTGGAAGTCCCATATACGAGTTCAATTAACCATCAACCTTTCAAGATTCAACGAGTCGACGTTCAACAACCCTACCCCAACCATCCATCCAATACCCGTCGATCCTCACCCCAACGATACGCGTCTTCGTTCTCATTTTCATCTGACGCGTCGTCGCTCTCCATGGCTTGCATCTTTTGATCCCCTGCTTCCATGTTCAACTCGCAAGGCAGCTGAGTGGGTCTCGAAGAACGAAAGCTACCACTTTTTGGGAGGAGCATACTTACCTGCTGATTCAGCTGCTGCGTGCGCCGCTGTATCATGATGCGCTGGTGGGTGGAACAGCCGGAAAGAAAATGTGGTGAGTGTTATTTCAGATGGTGCCAACAGTTTTGTCTTCCCGGCTTGCACCTTTTTCATCCTCCGCCCCTCTACGTTCTTATTATGAAGGCGTTACAATCAACGCTTCCCTTTCAAAACTTTAAGCAAGGGATATTTATTCTTGCGGTGTAGCACGAGCTCAACTACAAACCAACACACTCACTGTTAAACAGCAGCACGGTCACGCCCTGCAACGGATTGACGATATCTATGTCTTCCACCGCACGCCGGGATCCTGACACTCAGTGATGAACATCATTAATATTGTTATTGGTCGCTGCAAGCTCACAGACACAGGACTTCGTCGTTAAACGGATCGGACAGGCGACTGTTTCAGGCTTATAACCTCACTCGTACATTTGTAAGGCACGCATGTAGCGGTCATTGCACTGGTATCCACCAGAAACCATGGCATAGATGACACCCAGCGCCGCATGTTTGTTTACATCATCCCTCGGTCCTTTGGGATGATGCATCCAGAGTCAGTTTATGATCAACACGGTCCATACACTTATCTGAATCATATTTAGTGGAAATGAGAACGATGGGACTCTGACTGTGGCATGCATAGAGCGGTAGCCAAACGGTTGACGCACGAGAGATATCTACTCTTGATAACCTGCACACTGTCCCTTAAAAAATGAACGTTGGAATTTTTCAAGGTGCATCCGCTGCTTCAATGCCATCCAGTTCGAAGGCTATTAACTGCCGACAGCCAAGTCTTCTTAGAAATTTTATACAGCATCCACTAGCTAGAGCGACTAGCATTGTCATATACGTCCCATGTGTCTACATAGAGTGTAATTCTGAAATCATAATAAACGGGATTTTATTTCTTTTCTGAAAGAGACATCGAGAAAAGTTGTGGACTAGAATGGTACACATACAAGACCTCAATCCACTTGCAATCAGACCACGGGTAATTGGGAGGTACAACTGACAATCAAGCCCAATCGGTCTCGCTACCGTCTCGGCTGAGGGTGACCGACATCATTCAAAGACGTATACCCCATACCAAAAAAAAAACGCCAGATTGTATGATCATACAGATATTTCGTACAGATCCACCTCCTGAAACTACTTCGACAAACCGCATTCAAGAAGCCCGCATTCACCGCCGAAACACCTCAACTCCACTTCGAACCGGAACAACATTGACGCTATGTTGCATTGCCTTGAGGTCTTGCTACAAAGGGGTCAGCAAAATCGCTACAATCCTCAAGAGTTGAAACATACGCAGGCGATACTGTAAAGTGATTTGAATAATTTTTTCGAGTAACTCCACCCTCGCCTGAGAGCAAATAGACACACGTTTGTATGAGCACCACTGAGAATGAAATAAACAACGAACAAGACGTTTGACTTCCTCCTGAGAACGTTGTTCAAACTCTTGTTCCAGTTTCTCTCGAGAACGTTCAAAAGCTTGTTTCAGTTTCTCCTGAGAGCTTTCAAAAGCTTGTTTCGCTTGCTCCCGAGAACACCCAAAAGCCTGTTTCGCTTCCTCCTGAGAACGTTCGAAATCTTGTTTCATCTTCAAGTTCGCTTGAGAGCGTTCAAAAGATTCTTTTTCCCTCCTCTCCTTCCTGCGCTCGAAGGGTAACTTCGCCATCCAAGTAGACCGGTTTCCTTGATATTGATGGAGGGTAGCGCTCACAGCTTCTTCATATTCGTGGACGGCAGCGGTCTCAGCTTCTTCATAAGCGTGGAAGGCAGCACTCTCAGCTTCTTCATATGCATGGAAGGCAGTCCGCTTAGCTTCTTCGTATGTGAGGACAGCAGTGCTCTCAGCTTCTTCATATGTGAGAACGGCAGCGCTCACAGCTTCTCTGACAGCAGGAGCGTGTGGAGATGCCATGTACTGCTCGAGGGCGTCAAGAACACAGTGAACAGACTGCTTCTGGTCCTGAAGATAACGCCGCTTGTCGAAAATGTAGTAAGAATGTTCGAAAATGATGAGAACAGCTAAATGATCAATGATAAGCAGGTTCATTGCAATTTCGCCTGAAAATTCACCAGAGCTAAGCTGAACAATTGTCTCCAATGATGATGAGCCAGAGGCCTGGCAAATTTTCAACATGCGAATGTGTGTAGTCTGTGACCAATTGGACATACCATAGAGAGTAATCTAGACTCCATCTCTGCACATTGACGGTGCCAAAGCTGATAAAAATTCGATGGAAATTTGAAAATCGTCCCCCTCTTCTAAGGATCAATGCACTTACACCCTGTTGATAAATGATATCTTCGGTCAGCATAGCCCAAGGTCATAGGGGGATGAACAAACTTACTTCCTATTGATGGATCAGTGATATCGTTCGTGAGCAAGGTTCAAGGATCAAATACTCACTTGCTGTTAAGAGATGCGCAATGTCAGTGATAAGTCGAGCTCCCCGACGGAGAATAAACACACTGACATCCTGTCAATGGATGAGGAATGCCATTGGTGAGTAAAGCTCGAAGATCAAACACTCACAGTCTGTGAAGGGATGCGCAATGTCAGTGATAAGTCGAGCTCCCCGACGGAGAATAAATACACTGACATCCTGTCAATGGATGAGGAATGCCATTGGTGAGTAAAGCTCGAAGATCAAACACTCACAGTCTGTGAAGGGATGTGTGCAACGTCAGTGATAAGCATGGCTAGACCCAAACAGCAAAGCAACCCACTCACAATCTGTCAACGGATCAGCAATGTCTTCGGTCAGCACAGTGACACGAGGACGACGGAGAATGAACTCACACCCTGAAAACACGTGAATGGGCAAGGTGATAGGTTGACAGAGGATGAACACACTCACAAGCTATCAATAGATAAGCAATAGCAATTTGTTGGTGAGTATGGCAAAGGTCTGTGGGAGATTAATATACTGACATTCTGCCAATGGATCAAGAATTTCTTCAGTCAGCAAGCCTCGAACTCGACAAAGGATCACCACACTCACTAACTGTCAACGGATGGACAATGTTTCAGTTACCAAGGCTCGAAAGCGAACGAGGATCACTACACTCACAGCCTGCGAACAGTGGGCAATGGCTTGGATCAGCATGGCTCGAAATCGAACGAGGATCACTACACTCACAGCCTGCGAACAGTGGGCAATGGCTTGGATCAGCATGGCTCGAAATCGAACGAGGATCAAGACACTCACACCCTGCGAACAGTGGGCAATGACTTGGATCAGCATGGCTCGAGATCGAACGAGGATCAAGACACTCACATACTGCGAACAGTGGGCAATGGCTTGGATCAGTATGGCTCAAGATCGAACGAGGATCAAGACACTCACAGCCTGCGAACAGTGGGCAATGGCTTGGATCAGCATGGCTCGAGCTCGAACGAGGATAAAGACACTCACAGCCTGCGAACAGTGGGCGATGGCTTGGATCAGCATGGCTCGATCTCGAACGAGGATCAAGACACTCACATCCTGCGAACAGTGGTCGATGGCTTGGATCAGCATGGTTCGATCTCGAACGAGGATCAAGACACTCACAGCCTGCGAACAGTGGGCAATGGTGTGGATCAGCATGGCTCGAGATCGAACGAGGATCAAGACACTCACAGTCTGTGAACAGTGGTCGATGGCTTGGATCAGCATGACTCGAGATCGAACGAGGATCAAGACACTTACAGCCTGCGAACAGTGGGCAATGGCTTGGATCAGCATGGCTCGAGATCGAACGAGGATCAAGACACTCACATACTGCGAACAGTGGGCAATGACTTGGATCAGCGTGGCTCGAGATCGAACGAGGATCAAGACACTCACAATCTGCGAACAGCGGGCAATGGCTTGGATCAGCATGGCTCGAGCTCGAACGAGGATCAAGACACTCACATACTGCGAACAGTGGGCAATGGCTTCGATCAGCATGGCTCGAGATCAAACGAGGATCAAGACACTCACACCCTGCGAACAGTGGGCTTGGATCAGCATGGCTCGAGCTCGAACGAGGATAAAGACACTCACAGCCTGCGAACAGTCACGGCAATGGCTTGGATCAGCATGGCTCGATCTCGAACGAGGATCAAGACACTCACATCCTGCGAACAGTGGGCAATGGTTTGAATCAGCATGGCTCGAGCTCGAACGAGGATCAAGACACTCACATACTGCGAATAGTGGTCAATGGCTTGGATCAGCATGGCTCGAGCTCCGACGAGGATTAACGGACGTACTCCCTGCAAGCAACACCCAACATGAATGAGAGCAACTTTCAAACATTCATGTGATCTTACCAAAATATGTGGAAACCAGCTACCCAACCTCAATATTGCATTCTTAGGTGGGATTTTCTCATGAGAGACAACAAAACCTTCAAGTGCGCTGAACAATGGTCAACAACATTCGCGGCAGTTAAATGAGCTTATGAGCAATTACAGTACTACTGCATATTTCATGCAGATCTCCAAGTTGGTTTGCTGAGTTGAGACGAACAATTGCTGAAGCACTTCACTGTCCAGAGTTTCAGCCGTGCGCTTGATGAGTAGTCCACAGTCTGCATCATCCTCGTTCATGTCTGATGGATCAACAGTCATCATGTCTCGCAATCCAACAACTCACAGCTTACCAGGGAGGCATACATGGCATTTTGGTGGCCGTCGAATGTCCTTGGAATGGTATAGAAACTCCAATTGCGACCAGTTCGCAAATGTCTCCTCGGCGTGCTTCGGAGCCAGTTTCTTGGCTTCCTTCCTCGTCTTTCCTTCCTTCCTTAGTCGCGCGAATTCAACGTCGTAAAGGGCGTCGAATTTCGTAAATATTACGATTACCGGGACTGAAGAACGAAGTTGTAAATCAGTCAATCAACAGGCAGATGCGAAAGCTTACTGCTTCCGGTATCACAGTGGGAGAAAAATTTGAGTTCGGCTTCGGTGAACGCCCTGCTTGCTTGGTCCATTGGGATACAGTACCTATGTCAAAGAAATGAGCCAGTGCATATCACCAACTTGACCGATTACCAAATTGTGTGAATACGATCCTTCATGTTTCCTTTCTTCGAACGGGCTGCAATAAATGCATTCACCTTGTCGTACTCGGATTCGCCGCCTGCTTCAAAACCACGTGAATCGTGAAAGACGAAGCCTCGGTTTTTTCGAAACACCATTTCGTCCTCGATGTCGTGCTCTCCACGCTGAGAACACGTTAGTTCATGTTGCTAACTGACGATAGTAGACGTTACCCCTCTGGATTCCTTCAAAACGACGTCTATCTGATGTCGACGGACAGTCATCACTATCAGTATCGTACTAGCATCACGATGCGCACCTTTTCCCCAGCACTATTAAATATCTCTGGGTTCTCTTTGGTATTGCAAACCCTCTTTAGGATGGTGGTTTTTCCTGCGTTCGCTCTTCCTATGATGAGGATTCGAAAGCGAACGATTTTCCTCTCTATCTGTGAAGGATGCATGGATGACGGTAGATGATACTGGGACTGAGCAATGAGGATGGTTCAGCACTGCGAGTAGGTTTATAACCACTGGTACTATTGTGGAGAGCGCCCTAATCCAGTGGGCAACGCGCACACCGACTCACCAGGACCTCGATGACGGCACGGCTTCCATTCTAAGCCAGCTCACATAATATTAAAGACAGATAACGAACCATGCCCATGATGGCCCATTGGCGCTGGCCATAAACAGCCAGGTGCAAGTTGCTGGCTGGGCCCATAGCCTACTTGAATATAATATGCTCTGACATCATCAAGGGCTCTGATTCATCTGTTAAGAAAACATGTGAGTTGCGAGTGAGTCCTGACTGTTCCAAATCTTGGCCCATGTACTTCACCGTGTTTTTTTGGCAGAGGACAGTACTCAAGATCACTGCACGTGCCATTTCTCATAATTTCCTGAGTATCCGCCTTCACAATAAATTGTCCATCGTTTCCAGGACTCATCTCATCTAGGTTCTAATGGTTTGATTCGTGAGCTCCCTCGAGCTGAGGGTGCTACTTGATCCTCTTGTCATTGCAAGAACTCGCAAACCAAGGGGTGCGATCGATTAATGATTCTGAAAAAATAGAGTTCAATCCCTCACACCTAATGCCAAATAGTCTAAAAGCAAGTGAGTTCGGAGAGAATCTCGCAAGAAGTAAGTTACAAGCCAATGTACCATGATCTAACATTCTGTATACTGCCTGAAATCGCGTTGCTAGCCATAGGTACCTTAGGTTGCATCGTCATGCAAAAGGACATATTCCCGATTTGATAATCCAAATTTTATGACTGCAACAAATTCTGTAGGTGAATCATGGCGCGCGTGTGGAATGGGAGGCACTCACCATCGCCCGCTCTGAGTTCGTAGAACCGTGATGTCGGAATGGCCTCATCGTTGACATGTGTGCTATTTGTCGACTCGAGGTCGATAATGAAAGGCCTACATTCTCAGTTGCAAAAGATGGACGCAAGAACAAACATGATACCGCGCACTTGTTCTTCGGTTTTGAGGCGCCGAATTCATCTTTCTCCGTTACCTGGCGATCTAAAGGTTGTTGTTCATAAGATACTAAGACTTATGTTAGATAACGACGACTACTCACGCTGGATCACAGCATGCTGCTTCGAGCAGGAAGGATGTTCAATGAAAATATCAGTGACAGTACGATCACGTCCTATTAGATACGCGCTTTGGCGATGTATATGGAGCAATTCTGCCTGAAAGTCAGTGGTGGGCATGAGAAGAGAAACATACGACGCTGACCAACTTGCTCGCTTCCTTTGAACACATACAGCCTCCAACCCAGAGTGGGCTTTCTTGCTTCCGGAGGTTCGTTATATTTTAGGATTGTGCTCGTACCATCAGTCAACTTGACAGCATTTGTTTCTGCAGCTAGCAACCCGGAATTAGCGAAGTTGGGTTTGGCCTTGTCGACAGGCGGACGGGACTGGGACCGAGAACTAGAGCGTGGGCGAGCGGCGGGTTGGATAGAAGATGGAGGTTTCGGGGATGCAGAGCGACGAGATGAGACTGCAAGGTCTCTACTTCGATGCCTGCTGGGCCGGTCGTGGTCATCTTGGCCTTCTCTGTCCCGTCCGCGGTCAGGCCTTCTAGAATCGCGATCACGGTCGCGACGATCGTCTCTTCTACGGTAATTGTCATGTCTGGCACGTCTATCGTCGTCATCTTTATCCCTTCGCCTGCCTGAATCACGCTCATGGTCGTAGTCATGCTCACGGTCAGGTCTGGGGTAGTCTTTCTTTCCTCTTCTTCCAGAACGGTCTTCTTCTCTGTTGTGGGACCGCCTTCTCGGTGAGGCTGAGGTGTCGCGAGGCATATTAGGTAGTTCTGGAATCTGCAGTACTTACAAAGGCTCGGAACAAAAGTTGAATTGAAAGCAGCGCTCTCTTGCTGAGTCATCGGCTTGTATACTTACCACTACAGTGCACTCCCGCCCATTCAAGTTGACATAGTCACTGTGCAGTGTACGGACAGATTCATCAAGACCATTTTACATGTCGACAAGTACGTAGAAAATGAAATAATCACATAAACGAACATTTGCTGATCGACTGGTGTCCCGGATGGGACCCGCCAATTTCTTGACTCCTCATTGGCATTCGGAACACCTCCTGAACGTTACCCTTTGCATTCGCCGGATGCTCCGAGTTCTTTGCACCAGTGGCTGTCTAGATCGCTTTGTTGGCGTACTCCATGACACGCCGTTGAATTCGAGATAGAATGGGTCATAGGGCATACCTTCCCCGTTCTTGTCTTCCTGGAGCCAAGCTGGAGCAACAGGTTCAGGTGTCTGTGCGAACGCAGACGCTGAAGGCATTGTAGGCGTTGTCTCTGAGTGGGAAACTGGGGAGGTCGGGTCAGGGAATGCATCTTGTGGTGTCAATGCAATGGGCGCGCGTGTAGGGTGCGTGATGTGCTCAGAAACCCCGACTGGGTAGCCCGCGTGAGTGTCACTCGCAAGCAGCTGGTTCATGAGGGGAGTGGCTTCACCTATGTCACTTCCTTGCGATGTATCTGGAGGCCCGCTGGTTGCTTTCGCTGGGCGACTGACATGTTGCTCTACTTTCCCCCCGATACCGAGAAGTGCATGAAGGAAGGGGAAGAGAGCGAAAATAAACATGAACATGACGACTTGATCCCATTTGCGCTTGGGTAGGTTCTCCAGACATATGCTTAGGAGCCAACGGAACGTATTGCGACGGTTATAGCGACGTCTTGAGGAATGGACCCTGTATCTGTTTCCTGTCCGGAAGCTTGATCTCCGCAACATTTTGAGAAGCAAGTCGTGAGTGTTACGGCGGGCGCGTGTCGGACGGTAAGTGACTCAAAGAAACCCATGTCCACGTCATGTTCATTCAGAATTCCAATAGCTGGTATCCATTGCCGCGAATTTCGAAATGTGAATTAAATTAATATTTGCGTTATTCGGCTTATAAATGCGATGTGCGCGATTGTATAGGTGATGTCGATCCGGATCCTCGACAGGCCTCCAGGCTGCTAGCTACTATTTTGTTTTTTCTAATTTTCCCTTCCCTGATCTAGTCTTCGATGATTGCAACTCCGTGACGTATGTGGCACCTCCATCGTCCGACAAAACTTATCATCCGCATCAGACCTTCTCCCTTGCCAAACGTGTTTGCGGCTGTTCTCCTTTAACAACTTGAACTGACCGTGTTGTTTAGCAATACTGTGTTGGTGGACTGCGATGGCATCCTGCATGCTGGAGATCGCATTAACATAGCGACATCCCACTCTCATACTCTTGCGCCGCTCTCTGGCTTCTGTGCTTCCAGTAATATTTTGATGGTTTCATTGCTTTGTGTTTGACTGCTTGTTTCTGATCTGTCACCCTCGGTGAAAGAGGTAGCCATTGGGTACCGAAATTCGAGTTTCTTTGCCTTGCCGCGTATTACATTACTTTGCACCCTCGTGACAGTAGACTATTATGCCTGAATAATGTCTGAGTGCGGCTTCAACTTCACGGTGCAAGCTGGCCTGGTTTTTGGTGTTTCCGCTTTGCTTCTGCACGAGCATGGTGGGTTAACTGAGCAGCGAAATGGCTCTTTGGCGATGTGATGCCTGTATGAAATATTATCTGTTTCCTCGCGGTTTCAATATACACCTGGAGCCTGAAGATGTGAGCTTGAATGTCTGCAATGTGAGAAGGGGGTCGATGAATTTGAGTGGGAAGATCGCTGAAGGGCAGTACTTAGTGACACCCACGGAAACAAGTGACGGAACTTAATGACTCGACAATCAATGAATCGCCTAAAAACGTGTGGACTTCAATGGGTGTACTACCTGACATCTTCACAGACATCCATACACTGGCTTCCCATGAAGTTCAGTGATGCAACAATTGAATACAGCCTTCGGGGCGCTGCATCATACAGCTCACAGGCTACCATCCCATCTACTGCTGAACAGCAGTCCTCAGCCGCAGCCGAGGAAAATATATCATCTGAAATTAAAAACAGCGACTACAATGTCGCCGTTGAGAGCCGTAGTGATTATGTCGATCGTGCCTCCAATGCTTGCATTTCTCTTGCCGACGCCGAGTGTGCGCGTTCTGAGTGATGCGCACGTGTGTGTTAATTTGGAAACGATGCCGCATATGCACCAACGCCTGCGGTTATTCATGTGATTTATGAAGACCAATCAAATGTCCTACTTTCAGTTGATATAATACAAGTCCATGCTAATCATGTGCAATAGATTGTGCCGATATAAATCCCCTGGTATGGACCCAAGTGGTCCAAGATATCGCCCTCCAAGACATTGGGCACACTCTGTATTGTGCACAGAGCGTCCGTGGCATCATCATCACCTATACAAGTGAGAGATATGAGCGGTCATGTCCGAAAGGGGGAGAATTTGAACTCACCTGGGCACTCGTATGCGTCTCCAGGCGATACGATGTGGACTTCCCCTTGAACATGTGAGAAGCCCATGAAGCGCCCCGGAACAATCGGGACAATGTCTTTCTTGTTGTTGATACGTTGGAAGTCCGAGATCTGTCCCGTGATTTTAGTAGTTCACCGCATGGCTCAATACGGGGAAGGCACAACGAGGCTCGAAGGGGAAAATAGAGCTTACCAGGGAATCGAAGAGAGCGGCCCATGCTGGATTTCCTACGCGGGGCGTACCATATGTCACACCTAAAAATTCCGGCTGTGAAAATCCCGCGCCCGTAATATTACTGGCGTGGACACACCCTTGATAGCGATGCTAGAGGGAAGGTTCAAGGCCATAAACACACAATCAAGCTCCGCAAGGGCGCCCCCCAGGGAGTGCCCTATCTTTCCTCAAGTGGTCAAAAGCCATTTTAGAGTGCCGACAAAATGCTCAATGCTTACCAGTGTGACGCTGCTGGCATCATACTGAGAGATCAGGCTCTTCACCTCCTCCAAGATGATGCTCGCAGTTAGCGCGTGCTCGTCAGCAAATCCGCTGTGAACCTCGACGCTGGTATCAACACCAGGGAAAAGCGTGGAGTTCAGACGTTCCATCAATACATCGGCATCAGTGAGATCAGATAGGCTGTGTGGATCAATGAGTTTTCTCAAGTTGTATGCTGTGAAGTTTGCACACTTACAGTTGGATTGGGTCTGTACCTTCATGAGCAACTACCACGGTGTTTTCGGCTGGCCAGTAACCAACGTAGTCTGCAAAATGTCTGGGAAGGCGCGCAATATTTTGATTGGAACGTACAATATTGGATACTGTTGTCGTTACCCCCTGTGAGAGAAACCTCGAAGTCAGGCACCGCCTCACAAGCTTCTGAGAGTTTAATTATTGAGCACCGACAAGCCAAATGAAGTAAGGTGGGATTGCGTACGACCACACTGCCAGCCGGTGACGATGGTAGGTGAACAGTAAGCAGCACGAGCAAATTCAGTATATGGTGCCAGATCAGCCAGCTGGGTGGACGTCATCTGAGTAAGAACTGAGACGTCCGCCCGACGCATTGTAGGAGGGGCGGGATGGGGGACCGCCGCAACTTGCAATATGCATGCGAGCATAAAGCTAGAAAGGGAAGCAAGGAATAACATGTTATACTGCGGAGCACAGCTGACGGAAAGCTGGAGTGTCTGATCCCAGGGAAGGGGTGTGGTTAGCAGCCCTGCTGAACATGTTGCAAAGGAAGGATGATCTTATTTATGCTGAGGGCTTTGGGCTGCTAACTGTGCTATGATCATCATCGGGATGGATACGGTTGCATGCGCGCAAACGGACACGAGTGAGTCGGTGCCATGCAGTACAACCATTCCTAGTAACCGCAAGAATGGAATTAGACCGATGCATGAACCGATCAGACGTAGTACGTCCTCGTTCCTTTGTGGATTAGACATATTCTTGGATTCAAGGAGCTCGAAATAACATTGCCCGTCTAAATGCGTCTGGTCAGTTGACCGCATATTGCATGTGCTGTCTCCTTGAAGGTTTCGACTGGGTTAAGTACCGGTAGCAGGACCAAGGGATACAGAGAAAGGGAACTTCCGAACCACGAAAAAGACAGACAATCATCATGGAGCATCATGGTCTTCCTGAACCCATGATCAAGCGAACCTACTTACTTACGTAACGCCAAGTAGCTGCCGTTCTTGGCCGCATTACTAAGGTGGGAAGAAGTGCAGAAGTGCTTGAACAACAAGCCGGCATTGAGTGGGACGGTCCGACGTTCAGTGCAAGCTTTAACTGACAGCACCCGTATATTCCGTTCTTCTGCTGCTAATGATTTGACTGACTTCAGTCTCGTAGATATTCCTCTTTTCCTGTCAATTGTCGTTCTGTCTTTTCGGTCGTCGCGGCGGTCGCGCGAAACAGAACTCCGAGCCGATCTGACAACCCATGTTCAGCGCCATTCCCACCCAACAAAACACATATCAACAGGTGGAGGTTATTCCCCTTTGTAGGAACATCTCCCCATCTTTCTTCCTTACACTCACCATCCTGACAAGGCGTTCGCTCGTCCTTGCAAGTGTCACCCCGTGAATCATGTATCACACCCAGCAGACCACCTCCGAGACCCGGAATACACTGCATTCGGATCCTTCCAATTCACAGCCATATCAGTTGAAGGATGCATTAAACCCGGAATCACTTCCCTCAATCACCAGCATGTCTCTTCCCGGCATCCCCCCTTCCAGGCATTCACCAGACTCCAGAGCTACTATGAACCCAACTTTCATTTCCCCTGCGCCAGGATCTTATGGTCATTCCCACACATATGCATCTGAGCTGGATTCATCTAGCCGTTCTCAATATGGAACGAACTCTGGCATGCTTAACTATGCAACCCGAGATCCCCGACTAGCTTCCGAGCCCGACTCTTATTATCGTTCTAACATGATGTCGCGCCCACCGGTCGCTGCGGTAGACTTTGTGTCCCAGCTCAACTCCGCTTTGATGCATGACCCTCCCGGTCCGTCAAACGCAGAATCTCGATCCTCGCGATCACCTGAGCAGCTAGATGAAGATATGGATGATACTGCAGAGGCTCGCAGAACTCGCCGTGAAAAGCCGCGAATTGAGCTTGCTCCAGATCAACCACTTACCACACAGGGAAAGCCCCGTGCTCGAGTTTATGTTGCTTGCCTTCAGTGGTTCGCCCATTTTTTTATCCTCACTGGGTTGACCGTTGATTCATCACAATTGCAGTCGGACACGCAAAATCCGTTGTGATGGGGCGAAACCCCAGTGCCATAATTGCAGTCGTCGTTCCAAGAGTGGAGATGACTGTTCATACGACGCAGTACCAAAACGTCGGGGTCCTGACAAGACACCTGGCGCCCGACAACGAATGGCTCGGGATGCTCATGTTGGAAGCGAGGGCGACGTTGCTGCGTCCCATCGGCGGCGCAGAAAAAGGCGCGAGGTGTCCGCGACCAATACCCTTTCGGACCAAACGGCTAATACCGACTTAGAGAATGATCAACTCCAACCCGAATCCCTCATATCCTTTCCTAACATTCCCCCACCAGTCATCGACCCACAGTTAACCGCTATGTCTCCTTTTCCAACCGAGGCTTCAGCAGGGTCGAATTCGTTTCAGCCTTTACCCCTGAATATCCTCACTGATGCGGTCACATTGGTCACTCCCTCAGATAATGAGGCTCTATATCGTACCATGACGAGCAATGAGGTACCGACTTAATTACTTGTTGGACGAAGTCCGCTCATATTACCTGTGAATCAAGGACACAAACAATGATTTCGGTTTTTCGACTCAGTTGGATTTTCAGTTATTTGAGTCATATGGTCACAGCCCACCTCGAGCATTCATCACTTCACTGGACAATGAGACCAGTGAGACTTCAGACAAATCATCAAATATCACACCCGAACCCTCTCTTGATTTCACCCGTAAAACATGGTGGGATTCACTTCTTGCTATGTATACTTCCTCATCATCATACCTTCCTTCCCTTACTGCGACACAACGCCACCGCGCGACGGACTTAGTTACTGCAGACATTCAATTTCTACTCCGTGGATCTAGCTATTGGTTTACTTTTATTAACGTCCCTCAGTTCCTTGGGAGATACTTTGATCCCGTAAAGAGGGAACGGATGCAACCCGCGCTACTTCCGGCTGCTCTCGCTATTGCTGCATTTTTCCAGAGTTCAGAAGCGGGCAACGGGAGGGAAGGAAGAGACAGAGCCATTAGGTTACGAGATGTTGCGCAAGGTCATCTTGAGGCAAGTCTTAACGCTCGGTGGATAGATGATTCACTCGCTCAAGCTGCCTGGGTCAGTGCATATATCTGCAATGTTGTATATGTGCTCATGTGTCACCATCGCCTTTTAGCTTCTGGCGTTTTTCGAGATCTGTCCTCATTCCCAACACACCAAGGAGCGGGCCTCGTCGTCGATACTCATGCTTGACATGATCATACGCAGCCTGGGACTGACCTTTCTTGATGTTGACAATCCACATTCTGCCAAGTTCTCACCTCGATCTGTGCCTACGATTGCACCCCAAACGTGGAGTACTCCTCGGCAGGTCGTATATCCTGCCGACCACTTACCTGCCACTCCTAATGACACTCAGCCACAATATCCTTTGCAAGGTTGCTCCTGCTCTTCTATGACGCTTGGGCAACATTGGCCAGCCGCCCATGAGTTCACGCCACTTTGGGTCAGCACCCCTGCGTGGAATGACAATTGGTCAGAAGCTGAGGTCCGAAAAGAGGGGTGCCGTCGGTTATGCTGGAGCGCGCTCAGCTTGATCGCCGGCCATACATCATATGTCACTGCTGAACAACGTATCCCTACAGAACTTTTCCTCAGGGAGCCCGCGAATGTGAGTATCGGCAATCCGTGTCAGTCAGGGTGCTCAAATTCTGTGTAGTTTGCGCTGCTCTTCCCTGGAGAGGCGCTAGGATTGTCGAACATGACGTCCAATCACTCGGGTAAAGACACCGTGTGGGCCTTAATTCAACGAACGATGCTTCTCTGGCACAGTTGCCTGCAAGTCAGACACACACCGAGTGCAAACGAGGCTGAGATGGCTCGTTTTGGGGTGAACGCCTGGCTAGAGGCAGACGCGCTGGAGAAAGCGTTTGACGCGCATACCTGTGGCTTGGAGAGGACTTTCTTGTTTCAAGGTCGGGAGTTTTTATTCAAGTAAGATTGGAACTCACTTTGATTTTCTATGCAATGACTGGTTTTTACAGTGTTCGCATGACGGTATCTCATGAATTCAAACGGTTCATCCCTCTCGCTACTGCGTGAGTCTTGAAATGTGACCAAATGTTGTTGTCTATGATTGATTTGTCTCGTGTCATACAGCGATGCTAATGGGCTGTTCCACCGGACCAAAGCCGAGGAATGGCGTCAGTCACTTGATCAATTGTGTTATTCCTTTATTGACTACCTGTGAATAGTATCCCACCAGGCGAATGTTGCTCAGCGCGTGGTGCTTGGAATGGGTGCGGTGACCGGTTATGCTGCTCACTCCCTCATGCACAGGCCATTCTTCATTTTCTGGTTCATGAGTCAGATCAGCCGGTAAGTGTGTCATTTTACTCCTACGGATGGCTTCTCAACGAGGCTTGTTCAGGGCACTTACTCTGTGGGATTGTGACAATACACTAACCCTTGCTCTTGACGTTTGCACGGCATTTTTCAAGCCTGTAGATTACCTAAACGCCCTCTGGCCGTGCGAAGGTATGGTTTGACTTGCACAAGCTTTTTGTTCTCATTGTTGCTCTTCAGATTTACGACGCAGGGTCGTTCAGCTTCGCGAACAGCTTACGCGTGCATGCAAGAGAACAGGTCGACCGCCTCCCTCCCCGCCTCCTGCCGAGTTCGGCATGGTACAGTACTAATTACAAATGATTTTTTTATCTCCTAATATCAGTCTTGCGTGTTGCTACATGTCTACCACGCTATGCTATCGAAATCATTATATGTTTTGTTGTTGAATCATCAAAAGCCACTGAGTGATGTTACATGTAGTGAATGAGACCCAAAAATAGACAGTAATTGTTTGGTCAGTGACTTAAGTACTAGAGACCTTGAGGCTCTTCACAACATTCACATCTTTCTTTTCCAAACTCTCAAGGATGACAGAAGAACCGCAACCCTCGTCTTCAGATACATCAGACCCCATGATGGGGCTGTCATTGTCTCGCAGTGGAGCCGCATCCAGCTCAGCCCTCAAGCGCGGACCTCCTTCCTCATTCGAAGGACTCGAGGAAGAGACGAGCAAGAAACGATTCAAAGAGGACTTGGGAAACGAGCCAGATAACGAGAAGTCTGTCGCTAAACCTCATTATGAGGCCCTCGCAGATGATCTTGCTCAAGAACTTCAATGCGGTTGCTGCGCTGAGTTGGTGTACCGACCGGTGGTCGTGACCCCTTGCCAGCACTTCTTCTGTGGCAGGTATGGCTCTTTCAGAATGTAGTCATATGTCAATGCTGACTTCTGTCAAGCTGTTGTGTTCTGTGGATTCGTGTGAGTTTTTGGTCTCCTGTTGACAGTTGTTCGTGGCACGCCATGCGCTTTGTCGACACATCGGGTATGCATGCTAGCTGCACGCGTTCATTCTTTTCCCGTTTTGGTGTCGTCACGGAGCTATTGATCTAACGAGTACCGACTCCAGAATGGAGGTACGAACTGTCCTGCATGTCGAGGGGTATCTACTATCGTAACACCATCCCGCCCGCTGCAATCGATCGTCGATATTCTTTTGCGTGCGGATCCGTCACGAGAACGCGCTGAGCGAGAACGCATTCAGGCGGATGAGGTATACAAAGCTGGATGTTCTATGAGGGTACGTAGTTCAGGAATCAGATCATTTGCGAATACGTTTCTGAAGCACGTGTTTCCTAGATCCCAACCCCACGAGAAGCGTCGCCGGAACCCAACCTGAATCAAAATGCGGATTATGTTCGTCCTTGTCCTCATTGCATGCCTGATAATGCATTCGGTTGGAGGTGCCCTCAACCCGTCATTGACTATGGCGTCGACCCAGAGCGTGCGTGGCACTTGGATGACGGTAGGTTGCCTTATTTTCATCACTAAAGATTTATCTCAGTTGTCTGTACTCTAGGTAATCCTCCTGGACATGCGTTTTGCGGAAATTGGTATGTGAATGTCGCTACCCCTCAACTGTCTCTTACCTGGCCGTCAGCGAGAATCTTCTCGCCTTGCGCGCTCCGTCCACAACAAAATGTGACCTATGCCAGGTCTCATTTTGCGGTGTTGGTGTACCAGGGCGGTGTTTGGCAGCACCTCTGCTGTCTCAGCACCCTCATAATATGTCTGATCTTGGTGATCTCATCCAATCATCCGAAGTTTATGGATGCTTCGATCACAATACCGTCGAGGTCGATATTATGCTTGATTACCTGACCGCTCAAGAACTCTCACCTCGGCATATTTATCGCGAGGTTAGTGATGTTCCTTTTTGATCATGACCCTACGTATTTTGACGCGGTGTAGGTTGCATCACACATCAACTCCCAACCTAATGGTTTCCGCCCCCTGATAGAGCTCGACTTGTTTGTGGATATCCACAGCGTTACCGCTGGGAGTGATGAGAATCCGGATGCGCCGAGGAACAGGATATGTAGGCAGTGTGCTACGGAAGTCATGCTCTGGGGTATTAAAGACTGGTGGATACGAGAAAGGCAGAAGGGTTTTCTTGAGGAAACTGTGACTCGCCGGCCTGATTGCAAGGAAGGCACGTCCTGCAGCAGACAGAAAGATCTCGGTGAGCAAACTGTTTTTGGAAAAAACATTTTCAAAGTTCACTAAACGCTGGCCACAGCGCATGCAAGGGAATGTAAGTTCTAGATTATCCCCTATGTATTCTCTTTGATTGTGTTAATTTGCTTATATTTTGGACTCGCAGATAATCACATCATTGCCCCCCGTTTTTCGGGAGATTCGGTCCTTTCCACCGATCCATCAATGACAAGCGTTCTGGGCAGCCCACCTGTATTTGCTGCAATAACCGCTGGCGCTGATGCCGCTAGGCAACCAGAGCCAGAGATGGCGGAAAGTCAGGGCAATGCAGCAGTGACAGATCTCCCAACAAACCCCCTTCTGACAGATCGAACATGAGGAATGCTCTTTCCCCCTTCATCTTAGCAACTACAACGAGCTTAATGCTGTGTCGGAGTTCAGGTTGCACGTGGAAAAGTTTTACCGTGGTTATGACTAGCTCAGATGTCATTCGCACCACGGTTTCATGTCTCCTTTTCTCTTTCCATTCTAATGGTCATTTTATCGTTATCTTCACCTCATAACCACTTGGAATGTGATTCCAACAGGTTTGAGACTAATCCGGCACATCGCGTGGTACATTAATGACAGATAGGACAACAATGTAAATGTATGCAAAATGAACATGATATATATACGATGAATTCTAGGAACAAGCAAGAATAGTAGACAGCAAATGAAGACAAAAAAGGACGGCGATCAGAGGGCGCCCAACCCGTCATACATAGCAATATCAGCATCCCAATGCCGCCGTGGAACACGACCAAATGACCGATGGGAGTGCACTGACTGCCTATCGAACGTAGCAGCTTTCCGTCGTTGGCGCTCCTTCAGTTCCTCCGCCAATCTCTCCACTTTAGCCTTGGCCTCAGCTTTGGCCTCCGCCTTCTGTCGCTTCTTTTCCTCCGACTTCCGCGCCTTCTCTGCTTTGTTGTCTTCCTTGCGAGCTGTTTTTGCTGTTACGACGCTCGCCGTTGGAGACGCCGACCACGCGCTTTCAAGCACGCTCGGAGGCTTGCTACTGCTCGAGCTCGAAGAGATGTAACGGTTCAGAGTGGAGGACTTCGTGGTGCGAGGGCTGGTCATCTGTGTATAGGCACTTGTCGGGGAAAAGTTATTGCTCATGGGTGAGCTGAAGGACGAAGAAGGTGAAGGTGATATGGATGGAAAATGGTGGGTGGGTGTGGGTTGAACACTGAGTTGCAAGTTCTTTACATTGAACACGCGACCTTTTGGTCGCGCCTCAGGGGTTCGCGTGACAAATGGCTTCCGCAGCGACGATGGTGTATAATCGGGAGAAAAGATGATGCTTCCGGAGTCAGAATAGCGGCGTCCAGTTATATCTTGGTTTTCCGCTGATCGCTCCTCAATGATGGTAAGGTGTTGGTTAGCAACAGCGGGATAATCAATGGGAGTCCTGAGGGTGTCAGGGCTGACAGGAGGCGAAGTTGAGTATAATTGTGAGATACTGCCACTCGAGCTGATAGACGTCGTTGAAGACGACAAGGAGGGTGTATCGCTGTCGCTGGCACTTACGTGCCTGTTGCTAGCACGTGACCGCGTCCGCGTGCGGCGAGGAAGGTGGAAAGAAGGGAAGGAGGAGACGGAGGGAGTGTGGGGGCCAGAATAATCATCTGATGATATGTCGAAATCAGATTCTGAATGAGTGGTTGAGTGGGTCATGGAATGCGATCCGAAGAAAGGCGAAAGTGGTTCTTCGTGCTCTAGAAGAAGATATGGAGCTATAGGAGCCTTTCCAGCAGTATGAATACCGTTGCTGGGATCAAGGAAGTCATCGGTATCATCTATTGCGACCCCAACGCGTTCTTGCTCTTCGGCGTAGCTCCGTGGATGCGATACTGAAGGCGAAAGCAGGTCGGCTACGGCGCATATCTCAAAATCCGTATGTGCCGAAATGATGCTGTACGTTCTGTGGTGGTGCGCCATGGATCTTTTCCTTCGTGGCGTTAACGTACATTCAGAAAGTGTGTTCTTATGTGAGGGAGGTGTTATTTGAGAATCTGTCGCAGTTACGGTGGCAGCCGAAATCTGACGTGCCCCATCATGAGTGGGAAAATCTACATGATCACAAATCACGGGGTTAGATTGGTTTATCTTTACTCACGGTCTCTAGAGCGCATCACTTACTGTGATTAGCTGTGAATCCTCTTGTCGTTGAGCCTGTACTGCTCTGCTGGTCCAGAGAGCCAGGGAAATTTGTGTCAGAAACGCCGCCGCCACCACCACCACGGCTACGACTTGATGTTGGGACATTGTCACTCGAACGACCAGGGTTATCGCTGTCGCTGGGGTCAGGATTACGACCACCGCCTCCGGTTTTACTGTCAGCGCGGGAACGACCAGTCCTCTTCTGGCTATAAGACTAGGAGTTGAGAACTAAGTCAGCTCGTGACAAGAGACCCTAACGTGTTTGAAATATTTACCATCACTGTCTTGAGTGCCCTGAACGGAAAAAAGTCAAAATATGCCGTGAAGAGGGACTTGAAAACAAACCTAATTTGAAGGCTCCGACAGCTACACAGTGTTGCGACTTCGTACACACCGACAGAAGTTGAATTCGAAAGAGCCCGATGCATTGCATGCTTTACAAGGGATTCGAGGTGGTGGATTTGATAAGTACTTGAGAGGATCAACAATTGGCTCAACACCGCAGGCGCATGTTGAAGGGGAGTGATAAGCGCCAATGAGTAAAAATACTGCAATAGTGCGAGTGTGATTGGATAAGGCTCGGACAGGTTGAAGGCGCGTGGCGTGAGACGTGGGTCTGGACGCGCTTCCGAAGAACCTGGCGTGCCAGGGAGATCCGGAAGCCCAACATCCATGGAAGATGATGGCAAGATCTCTATTGCCTGTCGTGCCCGCGCCAAGAACTTGTTCCTTTGGTCTTTGAACCAAGGCCAACGTTCCTCGAGAGTCTTCCTTGAACATTTGACTTTGCGCCCATCGTCACAGATGATTTCAAAATCAGCAAGAATACCCTCTTCTAGGGCAGATAATCCAAACTCCTGCATTGGTATATCAATCTGCAGAGGCGGAGGTTGATAGATTCCAAACGACTCCAAATCTATCACAGCAACGTGATCCCAACTGAGAAGCCGGCGGTTGTAGTCTTCGATGAGGTTGCCATTCCGGTTACCGAAGATCATGAATTTATTCGCCTCTGCCCATAAACAGGAACGAAACCAGGACCCAGTCGCCACGGCGCTCCCCGGATCAATACGAGACCAAGTCATGGTCAACATATCTAACGCCCAGATAGAATAAGATTGGTATGTATGCGCCAGGTACGTGCCAGCAATGATAAAGTGGTTGCCCAGGATAGCACCTGAAGGAAAACGGAGTCCTGGGGGGAATGACGTGCCTGTCATATCGGTGGAACGATCTGTGATTGTGAAATCTGTGTCTGGTAGTGGCGAAAAGACCTCGAACTCGCGCTTGACATCTGTGAACTTCATGACAGATATCTCATCAGGGTTGAACGAGCGATCACGACAGTTGACAGCTTACGTTATAGTTACTGTACAGGTAGATGTCATTCGGAAAGTCGTCAGTTGGGGGTGCTGAGTACGGCATGTGAACGAACGAATCGGACGAAGTGAAGGCTTGGGCTGAAGGGGGGGACTTGTCGGGCCGGAATCGTGCTCCAGGGGGACCTAGCATGGTGGTCGTATCCGTTGGGTGGACTTCTTCCTGCGGTAATCGGACACGTTGGTTTGCGGAGACGGCTACGCTACGGTAGGTACCACAATGGTGGGGAAAACTTCGGCGCTGAACCCAAGCTCTACCCAATAAATCGTACACATAGATGTCATCTAGCCAAACATTCGACAGGTCTTGACCACCGATGATGAAAAGACGATCAGCTGAAACAGATGATAGGTGGGCATATCGAGGCTTTGGAATCACGGTCTCCGCGCCAGACTCCGCAGAGGTGCTATTAGTAGCTGTTGCGGGAAGCCAGTGCATTATTGATAAGTCGAAGAAACGGACGTCATTGAGTACACAAAGATCTTCAGGATTATTGGAGTTCGGGGTGCTGCCCATACCACCGAAAATAATCAGTTGATTGTTCCCTTGTGATAAGTGGAGTTTGCATGAGAGCGAGGCGGCAATTAAGGATGTCGGGAAACTCACAAGTCTCCGTGCAGTGAAAATATCTTGCTTCAGGGATATCATCCTCTGGAGATGGTGTGATCCTCTCCCAGACGAAGGTCTCCATATCGAACACATATAGATCCGACACCATGCGGCGCTCTGTGACCAGGCGCCCACCCTATTACACGGAAGGTTGTATGAGAAAGGACTGTGGAGAGCAAGAAAGCAACGCACGAAAAGATACATCTTTGATCCTACAACTGTGGTTGACGCGCCCTACAAAAAGTGTCGAGCTCTGGATGGTTGACAGGGCGAAATGTATACAACATACCACAAGCTTCGGAGGGACGTCACCGGTCGTCTTCCGACAGAACGTCGTCAAGTCGGATATGGAGTGCATTTTGAAGATGGAATGCGCTCGCTGGGCAACGAGGCAAGTTGTATACGGGACTAGGGCGTTGAGGAGGAAAGAGAAGAGTGAAAAGTAGGATATGAAGAGTTGATGAAGACCATTTCACTGCATGCATGGTTGCAATCTCAGATCCTACTCGGAACATGCCGGCAGCTGTCAGGCACGTGGGGCTGTTCTTGAAATCCTATTTTCAGTTTTGTAGCTTAGAATTTTCCAAAGTTTATACTTAGTAAACCTCCTTCAAGTTGACTAGCGCCGTATTTTTACGTCGACGGAGGAGGGCTGCTTGCACTATTCCAATCGAAGGTCGCCACACCAAAGTTTCGATCCATACGGTCATCTCTGTTCGTCCAGCGTTTGTCAACAAAGTAAGCTTCAAAACCGGAAATGCGTTGACCGCCCTCAGTGTAGCTGCGCATAATCATTTGCCAGCGCACACAGAGCCACACAGTCGCCAAGATATCAATCATGAAACCAGCGGTCGATGGCACGTCACCCTTGTTCCATCCAGACCTGTTCCAGAGCCTCTGCAGCGGCACAATACTTCAAGCCTTCAGTGCCTGTCCCGCCATCGATTTCAAATTCAGTGGTACTCCTAGACCGTCCAAGGAGCGATGTCAGCGGCAGGACTACTTGCATTGACAGCTCTCTATCTACCTGATACTTGGGGTACCTGGTTGAGAAGTACCTAGTGGTATGTTATCGTGTGTTATCGTAGGCACTTTACTAAATGTTGGTCCAGACTATTTCTGGGGAGTCCCTCGGCAAAAAGGCGCCGGCCCAACTCAGATCAGTACCTCGTTACTGCTTTAGTCAAACACTTGCTCGAAGAACTCAATTTATTTCATTCTGGTCCTTCGATTGGCCCAGTCGAAAACAAAAAGATCGAGGGTCAGGGCTGGGCACTATAAGGCAAGATTCCCCTTGCTTACGGCCCGATGACTCAGTTATCGAAATCCTATCTTGCGCATGTTGAGGGGATCATCCTTCACATTTCCGCTTTCGCGGGCCGACTAACAGCTTGCAGACTGAGTAATTTGCGCTGACGCCCATACAGGACGGGAGATGGCAACTGAAGGGCCATATAGATTAGTTACTGTTCCTGCCCCTACTGGTACTGTTAGGTAAAATGGTTGAAACAAGCTGAGAGCTCCAGCAAATCTCTGTCACTTCCCACTGACAGCAAGCTTAGATTCTCAAAGACGAACACCCCTGTGAAACTCGTGTTCGTGTAAGCGTCCGGTCGTTCTATCCAGCTGCCAGACTTGACATGGATACTGCGCCAAGCGAGTATCGCCACCTTCATCAATCCGTTGCTGTGCCCGAGGTAATCCTATCTGTGTTCTCATCATAATTAACTCACAAACTTGCAGCCTGATTTGATCAAACGCCAAGTTAGCGAGCCTCGGCTCGAGTTGGGTTTGTGTACACCCGGTGGCATCAGCCTAAGTGCACCCTCACACGACTCGTAAGTTAAGCTACTCCTTATTGAGAGTAGCAAAGCGTCTACTGACGTGCCAGACGACCTATCTTTATACATAGATAGGCGGGCTGAACGTAAACAGAATGGAAGCTCATCTAGTAAAATCGTTCAAACACCAACAACGTACGAATATAATTTTATATGCAAATGAGTTATTTGGGCCGACCACATTGCAGACCCTAGGTCGATGAGACTATAACAGAAAGAAAGCTAAGTGAGTTATGAGCGTAGATCATCACCCAGTCTGAGAGGATCCTTTCACGTTTCGCCTCGAGAGAGATCGCAACTGATTGTGGGATACACCTGCCCATCGATAAGATGGATATGCCGTACATGGAGCACTCGCTTACGGGGTTCGCGATGTTGGTGAATGTTAAAGTTTATTCATCTATCTCTTCTCGCGCTTGCCTGGTGTTCGTCAGAATATGATCGTAGAGAGCTTCTGGCATGACGCCGGATAGCATGTCACTGATCCGCGGTCGCTACAAACAACAAGACGGTACGTGAAGCGGAAATTCGGGGAGCTTCGAATTCCGTGTAGCTTGTTGATTTTACCATTGGAGTCTGCAAGCCCGTGAGGGCGATTTTTAGATCACAGAGGCGCCTGAAGATTGATAGAATAACATATTGTGTGGGATGTAATTCACAGAATTGGGGAACTTCGTCAGATAGCCCAGTCCTGTTGATCGCCAGTGGCCAGTCTGGTCAGTTGTACGTGTCGCTGACGATGTACGAGGTCAACACCAATGAATTGAATCCCCGAAGCGATCAGCCGGCAACTTCACTTTATCCTTGACGACGTTAGTCAAGTTCATGCTCTTACTAACCCGTACCATCACCTCCATCATACCTCGCACATTTATCCTGACGGCATCATCGCCTTCTTTTTGTGCCCCTTCATTGACTTCGATCCGCAGTAGCTTCTATCGATCATTCATGTCCTCAGTCTCCGTTACAGAATCAGCAGATTGCCTCCAAGTCCAAGGACACGTTCAATATGATACCCCAGATCATATAACCCCGTCAAATGTCCACACATCTCCCCTAGAGCAATTTCACATCTGGTTCAACGAAGCCCTCAAAGCCAATGTCCGCGAACCAGATGCCATCTCTCTCTCTACAGCGACGGCGTCTGGCATACCTTCTTCGCGCATGGTGCTCTTCAAACAACTAGACAAGCGGGGCTTTGTCTTCTATACTAACTATACTTCTCGCAAGTCTCGAGAAATGGAAGAGAACCCTCAAGCTGCCCTGCTTTTCTTCTGGCGTGAGATGTCCAGGCAGGTCAGGGTGCTTGGTAGGGTCGAGAAGATGTCGAAAGAGGAGAGCGAAGAGTACTTTAAGTCCCGCCCTGTCGGCACCCGATTGGGTGCGTGGGCAAGCCATCAGAGCAGTGTGATCGGGGAAGAAGACCTGCCCAACCGATTGGCGGAGGTTCAGGAACGATTTGGAGTACAGGCATCCGACAAAGAAGGCGATGTCCCATTGCCTGACTTCTGGGGTGGATGGAGGGTTATCCCGAGGTAGGGGTTTTCCCTATTCTCGCCCGCAGATCAATCTTACACGTTGAAATTACACAGCGAAGTAGAATTTTGGCTCGGAAAACCATCACGGCTTCATGACCGTGTCCGATATCTTCGTGTGGAAGGTTCACCCGATGATCAACCGCGGTGGACGATAGATAGATTATCCCCGTAATCTGCAGCATTGTGGATAATAGCCCGGACCGATACCACTCGTGTGGGCAGCACATGAATTCATCCACAGTTCCAAATTTCGCGGCGAGCTGCGCATAGCGGACTCTCCAAGTGGGATTCGAAATTACCTTCTGACACGATATTTTCAACAAAAACCTATCGGCACTTTTAACTGAGTCCAGGATAAGCAACTACAGTTCTCAGAAATCTTAGCGTCAACTGCGACTGTACAAATTCGTGCTGCAGAGAACGCCTAGGCCAACTTCTCTTGGTTGGATCATGAGGCTACCTGCCGGAATCAAGAGGTTCTAAAGCTCACGAGATGCATATGGTGGGACAGTGACAACTTCGACCAGTACGAGGCTATACCTGTAACGGGATTGTTGTGTCGCTGTGCTTAGTCTGCAGGATCTATCAGAGTTCAGAGCAACATGGCACCAACTTATCACCAAAATATCGGGTGATCGCATCGATCACTGATAATCTTGATAAAGCGCGGGGCATTCCTCGGTAAACTTGGCACTAGTGTTCTATCACCACTATACGAGGGTGCACACCGCCGAAACAACGTGAAGCAGTGGCCCACAATGTGATTCAACCATATGCAATTCGGATTGGACCTTGGCAACTTCGGCACATGACAGCACGTCATGATAAAAAATGCAAGTCACAACTAATTGCCAATCAACAAAATTTCACTGATATGAAATACAATTGTAACAAAATTGGAACTGCTGTGTTTAGGAATTAATGCTTAGTCCTTTGACGGTCTAATCGGTTCGACGCGCGGGACCTTCTCGAAATGAGCGGTGTGAGAGAGAAGCATGGTAGGAGATGACCCATCGCCCTGCGAGATGCGTCAGCTTGGTGTATACGACTGAGACAGACACTACGCACAATCATGGTGGTCGGGAAACCTGGATCAAACGGGATAATGCTTTCCAAATACCTGATCTGTTCGGGGGACAAAGATATGTCAAGCGCCTCGATATTCCCATATAGTTGCTCGACTTTGCGCCCCCCAACGAGGGGGAAAACGTACGGCGTTTTCTGCATAAGGTATGCGATGGCCACTGCATCCCCCCTCATTGATTTATTTTTATGATGGATGCAATAAAACTTACCAGCGGTGATGTGAGTGGCCCCGACCTCCTTGGCTACCTTTTCTAGCGCCTGAGACACCTTCTTTTCATTTTCGCTACGTTCCCAAGATTGGGCCATGAAATCCCTTCCCTTCTCTCCCGTCTCACGGCGCCTCTGCTCCTCTTCATCTGTACGGAATTTACCGCTGGCGAGAACGTTCCAGGGTGCGAGCGCCATGCCTATTGAATCATACGATTGATTAATGAGGACCACTCAGCCCACGCAACTGCGGCTGTACCTTCGGCGCGGGCCATGGGAATTATGTCGCGCTCGAATGAGCGCTCCAAGACGTTCCACATGCCTTGATAGATCACGAAGGGAGTTTTCCCGTAATCCCGAGCATATTGGTTCGCCTTGGACACAATCCAGGCAGGTGTGTCAGAGATACCCTGATACAGCGGGTTTAAATAACTCAATAAAATGACAGGGGCTTTTGATATGCTTTACCAGGTAGAGAACTTTGCCCTGCTGAATAAGGATGTGCAGTCCATTCATGACCTCCTCGATACTGGTATCGAAATCCCACCAGTGGAGATAAAAGATGTCGATGTAGGATGTTCGGAGTTTCTTCAGGCTCGCCTCCACACTGATACGCATCGATTTGACATTGTTTCCAGTATAGTTGACCTTCTGTGCTTCATCGGAGCCTCGTTTGAAGTTCGTAGTGTACTGTTCGAGAGATAGCCCTCAACTCACAAGATATGTCGTGAATTGTTGGTAACAACTAACCTTTGTAGCAATGACAAGTTGGTCACGAATACCACGCGTTTCAGCCCACTCGCCGATGATCTCCTCTGAGCTTTCGTCTTGGCTATAATACTCCACTTAGGGAGGCTCACAGCACGGCAACATGATGCTCACTAATTGTTCGCAGTATCAATGAAATTCCCGCCTGCATCGAAATAGGCGTTAAGCAGCTTCACTGAGGAGTCCTTGTCCATTGCACCCATTCCGTATTGGTGCCATTTGTCCCCAATGGACATAGCTCCCAATGCGAGTGGGGAAACGTGCACGCCCGCAGAGGGGGCCAGGGCACGATAAATGCCGAGCTTGGTGGGCGGTTTGGGAGCAAGTTCATAGATACTCATGATGATAAGAAAGAGAATAAATCGTTCATGCCCCTGTCACATCCTGGCTTATAACCCCCTCGCAGGCGTCGATGCACGATGACACTCGATGATGCAACACGACGATCAAGACAGAATATCCATATATAGACAGTCAAGTTAATGCAAGTCCAGCCACCGACTCTAACACAATGAACAGGTGAGTACTGTGAACGACTGTACAGTAAAAGAAATCCAAAATCCAAATACACATAAGAGCAGCGGTAGAAGAAGCAAACCGGTGAGACGAAAGGTCCGTAATGTAAGCTAAGAATACTTCAAACTTCAAACTTCAAGATATTCTGGTGACAAGTACACTCCTACTTCAAAGTAAGCTTTTGTTCGCGTTGGCACAGACGGATTGTAAAACGACTTGCCTTTCTTTACATGCCACAGAAGCTTGTGGCTACCTGGGTGGCGGTAGCAGAGACCTTGCCCGAAGCGACACCAGTGTTGTCCGTCAACTTGTTAAATGCCTCCAACGACAGGTTGTATGTGTACGCTGCATCAACAGCGGTGATATAGATGCTCTCATGTTTCCCAGTGGGAGTGGTGTACTTCAAATTCCAGCAGGTACCGCACAGAGCCGAATTCCAAGTGAGGTTGGGAATACCCCCAATGTTGGGGAAAGACGGAAGAGAGCCGAAAGTGGTGTAGCCCTTTGTCAAGAGGCCATTGGCACCGTTAGAGCAGGCGACTTGGGATAGAGAGGTAGCCGAATTGTCATAGAAGTTGTCGTAGGTCACATATACCTGCGTCGCAAAAGCGGGCAGGGCAAAGACAGAGAGAAGAGCGACAACAGAGGAAAGCTTCATTGTGCAGAGAAGTTGTTTGAAGATTGACTTGTTTGGGGACTGTATTGTTAATGACTGACCTCTGGAAGTTGACCAGACTTTATAGTCCATGGCCATCGAGAAACGGAGCGCGCATAGCCAGAATTTGGACTGGGGATACGCAGCTAGACCGCAAAGGACGAAAGACAGTAATGGACTCAATTACCGGATGACAGTTGTCAGTGCTTGTGCCTGCAAACCTATGGGACGAGGCAGGACACGTAGCGGGATATTGTGACCGTTTAACACTCAAATACGGTGACCTGGGTGCTGGAGACGACGTTGTTGTGTATTGAACTCGCTATAGGGGCGTTTACATAACTCCATGATTGGCTGCCATGGCGCCTTCGACCACCGACAGCACTGTCTCTTGTCTTGGCAGTATGATGCCATGTACTCTTCACGAATATGGGCGCGAAATCAGGAGCGATCAGGAGAGAATGGCCATATGACCCCGCGCCGAGAGTATGACCAACTACATGCAGCCTTTAGCAGGTTACAGTGCATAAATGTAGTTTACGTACGGTGGACTTTCGCCATGCCTGCATTGATATATGCTATTCAGCCGTCCCTGGATATGTCAATGAACCGACTGCACTGTAAGTCTGCAGCCCTTTCCTACAAATGGACATCACCAATTAACTGTGCCATGGACAAATAGCGCTGTGCTGGTCGGACCATGCGGCGTGTTTCAAGGCCGTGTTTGTCCATTTCAGTTATTGCCCCTGACGAAAGGAAGACAGCACAAGAAATGTAAATAAATTGCTCAAAAGCATCTGGCAGTAGATTGATGAGCTTAGGATTCGAGAGGGTCGAGTGCTTGTTGATGAACATGCATTATGAGTTCAAATGTGCCTCTTCTATGCTTCCTCATCGTGATTTTGCGGCAAGTATGTCTCATACCGAGGCGATGGCGACGGACATGAGTCATAGACATCTATTATTTTGAAAGTTGACTGAAAACGGATGAGATCCAATATTTAGGGCTTCAAGCCTCGCCTTTCGCTGCGAGCCAGCAAGCCTTAGCCCTGGCCTCAAACGCAGATTGTGCACCAGTTTCATCACCCTTCACCCACTTCTGCATAGCATCGCCCTGCAGACCGCGTCCAAATGAGAACGTCAGATGAGGTAGACGAGACAGAGGAGAGTTAGCGGGAGCCTTATTGGCGACAACATTGACCGCGTTGAGGTACTTCACTGTATCAGAGTCAGAAAGACCACCTGCATGGCAAACAATATCACTTTAGGGTGTGCGAGTAGAAGAGTATAGTGAAGGTCTTGCCTGAGAGGAAGACGACACCTGCAACTGCGACAGGGACTGAACGAGCAAGGATTGTAGCTGTGGCCAGGCCAATCTCCTCAACTGACGTGGTAGAACGCGAAGGGTGCTTGAGGCCAGGTTGCGCGAAGGAAGGCTTAATCAAAGAACCTGTGTGAACAAGTTAGTTACTCGTGACCAAACTCCTCAAAGACCGCCCTTACCCTCCAGCAGCACACCATATGCAGCGCATCTCGCGTAAATCATACTGATGATCTTCACGTGGACCTCGATGCTCTTCTTGAGGTCTGCATCTTCAGCAAAGTCAACATCAGGTTCCACGATAGGAACTAGACCAGCTTGTTGACTGATAGCAGCAAAGCGAGCAAGGTTTTCAGCCTGGACTTCGAGACCAGCCTGAGTGGGTAGGGATGACGAATTGCAGAGGATCGGGGCACGCCATTTGCTGAAACGGGCTCCAGCTGCTGCTGCTGCCTGTAGGCGAGGTAGAAGGTCGTCAAGACCCTGAGTAGCAGGTTCTGAGGGAGAAATTGGAAGAGGATGCGCGTCCGTGTCAGCACGAATGCCGGGAATAATGCCCCTGTTCGACAGCACAGGGCCCAGCTGGAAGTCGAGAAGGGTCTCATGGTACAAGATGACACCCGAAATATATTCTACGTAGAGCCAAGATTAGATCTGTCTGATGGGCTGGGAATTTTGTGATAGGCGCCAATACTTGCCAGTGGGAAGTGATTCGTACAGGCACTCCCTCCACCGCCGTCTGCGCTGTTGCTTTTGAGCATCTGTATAGACTTTCAATTCTCCTTCTGCGGCGACTAGTCTGGCCTCAATGCCATCAATAGTCTCATCAGTGGCATAGATGCCCTTTCCTCGTGGATTGACGAGAGCCTGAGCGGTCTGAATCAGGGACTTTGCGACTGCAGTAGAGTGATGAGGATAAAGGTAAGAGATAGGGTCAGCCACGTCGGATGCACCGGCAGCTCCTCCGCTGGCAGCGAAAGTGTATCCGGGTGTGCTTGTTGTATTGAGAGACATGTTTCTGATCAAGAGATGGTGGGATACAGCATAGGCCGCCACTCCCAGCATGAGCATTTAAGAGCATCATGTCTCCAAAGGTCAGGTGCTCAGCGGAAACGGGGCGAAGGCTCCACGAACCGCGCCGGAGAATTGATTCAGAAGAACTGTGATGAACATGAGTTTCGATCCCATCATTATTCTGCGAAAGTATGAGACAAACCGATTCGCCAGCTGCAGACACGAGCCTTGTATAAAGAACTGGTATATCTTTAGTCTCCTAGTAGATCTAGTCTTCCCTAGGCAGAAGAAATAGAAGGAAGACAGCCGTTCCTCCGAGATTTTGCCATCTAGTCCGCAAACTACTTGCGAGTGGCTCCAAGGAGTGTATGTGCTAGCATGATACATAATCGACAGCTCTCCGCTTCCAGAATTTCATACCCAACAACTCTGTCACAGAACGCCTGTTTTTCTTTCATCAAGGTGCTCCCGGGTATGCAAAGTAACACAGAATAAGATATTTTGGCCATTCCGAGTGTCGTTGAACTTTGAAAAGCGGAAGTTGTGCACGAGGAATTCAATGTGTGATGACCGTGAGGATGAAGGGCAGTCGCTTGAAGCATGCTTGAAGATGCGGCTGTGGCCGCTTGCACCTCAGCCTACATCTCACTTCATGTTCAAAATCAACCACTTCCGACCAACTGCACTGGCCCGCAGTCTCAGAACACCGTGTATACGTTTCTACTCGAAAAAGCCTCCAGTAATTCGACCAACTCCGAGTCAAAATCAGAGCGCTGAGCAAGATTCAGATGATGGAGACTTCCGTCCACCATGGGTGTACTCCGCGTCCCACATCCTCACCTATACCCTAATACCCAGTGAGTTTACACGCTATCACGGTTGGCTGATGTGGCAAACATATTCATAATGATTAGCCGCTATAGTCTATTGCGTCTTCCTTGCTGATTGGGGAGAGCGGGAACATGTCTTCTCGCCCGTATGTGTCTCATCCAAATTTTATTTTTAGCTCGTGTCTGACCTGTGATCTTCCAGGTGCGCAGATGGACAATGAAATACAAGGAATCTTTTTTCTCTCTTTCTCCAGACGAAGCCTCCTTGATTGAAGGGTCGCAACCGCCGACAACAATAGAACTACCGGTTACAACAGGAAGTCAGGAAGAAGGCCGTCCTTCCAGTTGAGGAACGACGTGTCTTGAACCTGCTGAAGGGTGCGGTCTGTTGACCTTTGGGTTTTTGTATCCTTCACCTACGGGAGAGAATCATGTGTTCAGAAGCCACTGAACCAACCCTGTGTAGTATCTTCGGTAGACAGTAGACAGACAAAGATAAAACGATCACTCTTTCTGGGAAAGCACATACTTAGAAAGTTGGCGGGAGGAATAAAGAATAAATGACTGGGTCTTCCTCTGGCTAGGGGACGAGGATGAAATCATTGCTCGGTAGTTTAATGGATGAATTTAGTGTTGTCACGGTGCGGTGGCTGAATTTACTTGCAAACCTTGATGCGAAAAACTGTGCAGCACACGGAACCATGCAAACGGCGAGCACTCCAGCTCCCTACCCTCCAACACATCCTCCAATACAAAATGGATACCAGCCCCTCACAGGTGCGGACAGATGTGCTGGATCATAAACTGTGTATTCATGTACGGCCTTGATGACAGAATCTGAAATTTATGCCATCAAACGACAGTACTTGGGACTGCTTCCTCCACTACAGATAATAGATATCTGTCTTACATTTGAGGCCCATGCACCACTCCATGTAAAAAGTACTGTGTGGCCGTATGACATTCGAGCTGCAATTGCAGCGATTCAGGCTCAAAATGCTCAGATCTCTCAGCATGCACAAGCTCAACAGTCGAGCCCTTCATTGGACTCTGGGGATCAACCTAAATCAACATCACCGCCAAACGATTCACCTTCGGACACAGGAGACAAAATTGCTTCATCCTCTTCTGAGCAGCTGTCAGGTCCCACTGTAACGCATGGCCCAGTCTCTGGTAGTGTAACACCGTCTGCAGCAGCTCACCCACCTCCACCGCCGCAATCCCTTCCGCACTATCCGCACCAACCCTATTACCATCCTTCGTATCCACATGCTCCGTACTACCCCGCGCCGCCCCAAGCACACTACAGTTTCCCCCATCCATATCCCCCTTACCCTCACCCACCTCCGGCCCAATACCAATCAAATCCGCCTCCACCGCCTCCGCCAAGTCACCCACCACCGTTATTCACGAGTTCACCTTTAGCTCATCCCTCTCATCCTTCTGAACAACCCCCGCCATCAAGTACTGTCGATGACCTCCCTAGTTATGAAGAAATGATTGTAGAGGCCCTGATAGATTTTGGTGACCCAGAGGGGTGTGCACCAAAGGCCCTCTTTAGTTGGATGGCATCACATTACCCGTTACAGTCAAATTTTAGGCCTTCAGCTAGCCAGGCCCTCCAAAAAGCCTTCAAACGTGGACGCCTAGAAAAGGGGAATAATGGGAAATACAGATTAAATAGCAACTGGGAAGGTGGGAATGTAAGCACCACACTTGGATCTTTGTTGCAACTTCTGACGATGTCATCTACCAGACTTCCAAAAGAACTACTCGTCGTCCGCAGACTCACGCTCAAACCGCACTGTCTGCCCATCAGGGACATGTATCGTCATCACCTTTCACTCATATTCCCCTTGTCCATGACGCAGATGCCGGTGCTTCGTCGTCCCAGCCACATGTTTCCGCACAAGGACAACCTGGTCATCCTTATGGCTTTGGTTATCCAGGACCGTCCGCGTCTACGGCAAATCATCGCCCTCAACCTGCTCCGTCGGAAACACAAACTGCCGAAAGCCAGGTTCGAGAAGGCGGCGATGCTTGGGAAGCGGCCCAAAACATTCTCAAAGCCATAAATTTTGGACAATTGTTCCAAATCTCGAACGAGGACGGATCAACACATGCAGATACCGCGATGGTGGCTCAAGCGCCTCCGGTGTTTGCCGGTTCCGTCGAGGTATCGTCGACATTCGATAACCAAGCGGTTTCGACAACTCTGGGCACGTCTCTGCCATCTCATAATACCGAGACCCTATTACGCACTGAGTTGAGCAGCGACGAGAGGGCGGCACTGCAGGCTGAGCTTGCCCTCTTAGCCGCGCAGCTGGCAGAGTTTGCAGATGTGAGCGAGGACGAGCTAGCCCAAGACCTCAACCCTCCCAGAAGCATCGACATCGAAGAGGGTTATGTTTCCGCTGCGACTACAAAATCTCAAGATTCTCATAATTCTGTCCAACCTCTGGTAGACCAGATGAACAGTGAAGATGACGATGATGACGATATGGACATGGTTGAAGTACACGTACCGATGGCTTCGCTAATAGCGTAATTATTCTTTGCGTTTTTTGATGTAGCTGATGGAAATATTAATGATACTGTAGTTTTGAATGATCCAATTATTTCCCTTCAGCGCTGTGTTGCCAGTATTTCGCCAAGACCCCTTCCTTCGATGCTCTGAAAGGATGTCATGTCCCAGTCGGGGTTCTCCGATACCTCAACCATAAGGAGCCTGCGGTGCGAGATTTCCCCGCTAGATGAACATGTAATTGAGCTTGGCTTGCGATCTATAGATGATACCATCTAACATCACATGTTACGCACTGACACATTTTTGTGTGACCCGGAGAAAGCCCTTGCCGTTTAGCAGCGCGATGCCGTTCCTCGAGTTCCTGAGTCGTTCTTGGAAAACTTAAACCGACTGATACTTATGTGAAGTGTCCAGCCGAACATCCTCATTATTTAACCTTGCCCTTTCGTCAGTCCGGAAAGGTCCGCATTTGATAGATCTTGATCAATGTCACTGAGTTGTAATTGCGCCCAGGTGTGTTACTGCTTACGTGCAAGGTGTAATTCAACATTGAAGGGCCATGCCCTGCTCCCAATGACTTAATGACCCCTGTAGTCGCGCTATGGGTTGGTCGCTTGTGCTGTGACATCATTCTCGCTTGTGAGTATTCTTTAATCCCTCAGCGAGACATTCAAGACCTGATTATGAACAGCGCTTCTAGATATTAGTAAAGTCGGTAGAGCCGTTCATCCAACTTGGGGTGTGAGTAGTTTCACTATCCAAACTCCACAAACTTACACCACCCTCCGATCGCGTCGCTGGATTGGAGCTTAATTTGTTTTATTAGATTCCGTGCTTCATCCGACACGGGCCACGGCTCCCAGCCTGCTCTTACACGCGTTTTAAGGGACCGATAGCATCGATCATCTTTCAGGATCACGCTTATCCCGTGAATCGTGACGTTTTGCTGTGGGGTCTGCTTTACGATTGGTCGCGGCATTCACGCATATTCACCACGGTTTTCTCCATATGATGCTCTACGTCTTGACCAGGCAATCAAGATCTACTTTCAACGGCCAAGTCCTTTCGTAATTCTTGTAAGCTCCGGAAAGTCTTAGAAACGCTAACCTGCCATTGCAGGCGTTGACCTCATGACATTGTAGAAGGGCGCAGGGATGTAATTGTGCAGTGCCAGCTACTGTGAATGATTTGACCATTCGTGTCGTTCCAAAAGAATACTCGATTTATGCCATCAGCTGAGAGCCATAGAATTCATTGGGCCCGGAGTGCCTACAATGTGCAACACGCTCTGAAAGATCGATAGCACCATACCTCCGGGCAGGATGTATAAAATATCCAATGCTACCGGCAACGTGGCGCAGTGTTGTCACAAGGGGCTGCAGTCGATAAGAAGTGTTTCGACCGATCATGAGGTGAACTCCTTCTAGACTTCGGAGCTTGTGCCTCCGTTTTCTGCAACCCATCACCCTGCCGGTCATCGGGGACTGACGAGATCCAACACCAGTGGCAAGCAGTATTTTTTCATGAGCGCGTCATCTAACACGAACGATCCCCTGCGAGCTGAGCTAGATAGGCTGCAGCAGATGCTCACAGAAAATCGGGCGAACTGCGCTGAAGCTAAAATGCGACAGGAAGCGAGAGCTGTCGCTGAAAAGGATGAAGCAGGATGGGACCAGTTCTTCACGGAGATCCGTGGAAAACTTCATAGCCTGATGGATGATTCGCGCGAGAATAGGACATCAGGTAAGCTGAAACGTTTTAGTCTCCTGGATCTTTCGCTTTATCTCTGATATCAAGTAGATACGTCGATGGAAGTTCTCCTAGAAGCATCTCGGCAAGTTCATCACGAGTCGCTGGCTGCTATCGGGGCTTTCGCCGAAGGTAAAGCAAGCGCACAAGGTTTAAGCCGCTTAATGCTGATCATCAGAACTATGCGATAATCAGAGCACCGGGCGCAACGAGAAGCCCAATATGAGGAATTGTTGCGTTTGATAGGGGAGTACAATCAAAGCAAATGATACTATGATCGCAATCACCATACCAAAGATCCTGGACCGCCTCGCAATTTCGCAGTGGAAATGTCAAAATGCATGAACATACAATTGAGTGGATTGGTACAGAAAGACAGTCACAAATGCTGACAGTAAACTCGCTCCCAACATACACGCCGCGTCATTTAAAAGTCATTAATTGATCTTCAACAATTCAACCTCAAATTTCAAGGTCGAGTGCGGTGGAATGACGGGTGGAAATCCGCGTGAACCGTACGCCTGAAATGATGTCAGACCGGAACTCGATCTTCATGAAATATTCACCCACGTAATCAGAAGAGGCTGTGAGGATGGCCTTCTGGCCGAGCGATAGTTGCGGCACGCCTAACGAAACACTGAATATTGGACAGAAGAAGATGCGAGAAGTCACATACCTTCATCCCATCCCTTGATCACCTTCCCGACGCCTATTTGTGTCACGAAGGGGTCTTTGCTATGGAACAACGATCGTCAGCTTTTATCATGGACAAGAGGTGCGATGCTTGCCGATCTCTGCTCGAATCAAACACGGTTCCATTGTCTAGTGTGCCCACGTAGTGAATCGTGACCGAGTCTGTTGCGATATTGAGGCGATCTTAGTTTAAACACGATCGGAGATACTGTACTTACCACCCCGTTTGGGGAACGTTTTACCGTCACCAGGAATGATTGTCTCAATACTGACGCCCTGTTTCGAGTCGTTAGCAATAGAGGAGATTGATGGTGGACACGCCACGCGCTCACCATTGTACACGGTGACACGTACCAGGTGCGGGGAGATAGATATGATAGGGATTTGTGGCAACACTTATAGTGGCGGGGAGGCGGAGTGCGGATCTTGATCCGAATCTGGTAATCCGCTATGGTCGATAACATTGAACCCAATACAAGCGTTGCAGGAACGTTATCGATATCGGTTCAATATCAAGACCCTATGATCCAAATGATCAGCGCTCAGCTCCCGGCGGTACACGGAGCCTGATTTCCAGCGTGAGTCTCCCATGATTTTTTGCTCGCATCTCCCATTGAAGCTCATCAGCTGTGCACAGCTGGTTGAAGGCTATCGAAGCCATCGATGGATGACAATCATCAAAGCTGACGGTCTTAAGTTCAACATTGGAAGAAGTACGAACTAAGAAACAATTTGAATTCCATGAAGCCAAGGCATCGATCGAGAGTCGAGACCGCCGTACCTGTGCATAGGCCCCGACTTGTCTTATGCGGGGACAGATAAACGTTCAGAGATATTGCCTTTACGCAGGGGGGAAGGAAATCTCTTTTTCTGTTCGCGGAAACTCCTCGATTTATAGGTACGACAAACTACCCCGAAGGCAACGAGGTGGAACGATGGTTCCGATATCCGGGTTGCATGCACAAATCAAGATGAGGGCGGAAAAACATTATTTCTGTTGAGCATAGGTGATCATCTCGTGACGGAGGACAGGACAAATCATGTTCGCAATGAACTTTCGAAAGCCGATCCTTCCCGAGATACATCCTCTTCAGCTGGGTCGAACGGCGAAGAAGCTGGATGATGGCATTGTCTCTAACTTGTCGCAAGGCCAGCCAGTCATAGAACAAAGTGGAAATGGCACATGAACCAAGAACTTTATGCAAAGTATGAGACTTTGTTATAAGACCTTTCATGGCATTGAAAGCAACCGTTGACGTTACAGCCACCGACAATATGAACAAAAAAACATCTTCTAGCCAACCGCGAATGTGGCTGAGAAGTGCGGATGCTTGCATGCAGACAGTCGCAGATCATGAGTTGTCGGAATCCGGTCCGGCAAGTGGTGCTCGACAGAGATGACGCGCCGATTGAAAACAAGTGAAGAGAGTGAAGGGTAGGTATGATGAGGGTAAGGACTCAGATCTGAGCCAGTATACGTAGTAGTGCCACATCACCGTGACTGGCTCGCACGAAAGATTAATCTGCGCATGGGAAGTTACCAGGCTTGTGCAAGTTGTGCCAGGTCGAGGGTCAACCAGTCACATCCTGCGGCAGACTCGCTGTAATAATTGAGAACTTCAACCCGTACAGTCCTAAAATTTAAACCGAGTCTCACAGAGTCACAGGAAGCTTTTGATAGCAGGCGTGGGAAAGCCCGCGTGGACTAGCCGAAGTTGTACAGTTGCTTATTGGTTGCTTATGCAGTTGATTTTTCTCAGTGAATAGCTGCAGTCACAGTGGATGTGCCATGTGCAAAGATAACTGCAGTGCAGGTACCTGCAAGTACTGCAGGATGCTTGCATCGTCACCACTGAGCTGCGAGCGGCTGTTGCCCTCGAGGGTTGGTGAGAACAAACATTGCTGAATCTCTCGCAATCACAATAAGTATATTGACTTGAGAGGAAGCACGAAATTTTGATAGAATGAATCATACTATGCATGCATAGAGAAAGCAGGCACCATGACACACTCGTTCTAATACGGGAGACCACGGGTCGTCCGTCGCCCTCACGCGTCGCTCGGTTACCTGTAAGTAGGTTTTCACTGGGATTATATATTAAGATTCGGAGACTAACGCCTACTATTGTCCAGCGCTTAATACTTTTCTCGTGCGTGCTCACGCAGCCATCAGGTACTTCCGACTGTGCTACCGTGTCGCAGTGTTCCCTAGTTTCAGGCACCTCGAGCTCATATTTAAACTAACCATTCATGATCGATCCGACCTTTCTGGCAAATTTCGACTATGTAGCAAGGGATTTTCCGCCCACGGCTACATGAGAATTAACCGCACATGCGTTGTCATAGGCTGTCATCTGGTCGGCTTCCGGTGCCCTGTGACGCAACGCCGGCGGTAAAGCTTTGTTCCTACTCTTTGCATCTTCCCTGACCTCGTAATATGCAGGTACTACTATCCGCTCAAGCTCACTTGCATGTGTTGCCTGAAGCTTTCCTGAGCACTGCCATGCATTAGTGAAAGGACTCGGAAACGGCAATCTCGTTGGACTGGCTTCCCAAAAAAAAACGCTTGGACGTTGCGCGACGTCTGAGCATTCCGATTTTGAAGCACTAATCATTCACCGTAATTCACGGTCTTATTCATCCTGTCCATTAATGTCGCGTCTAGATAGCCTATCAGCTGTACTGATAATCTTGCTGTTACAGCATGCTTCCAGTGCCGGGCGACGTCGTGTCGCATCTGATAAATCCGCTCAAGGTAAGTACCGCCTTAACTATCCCTGTGACGCTCTAATGCAATAGGACGGTGTTTCCGGTCGCCGGAAAGTACCGCATTTCATATTCTCAGTATCATTACCTCAAACCATCAACCCCACGCTGAAAGAGGTTTTGTTCGGCGATCACCGCAGCTATGGGCGAGTCATCGCCTCATAATGTATCATTGGCCCCTCGTCCATGCACCACGCATCATAGCAGGTAGTCATCCTCACGATCACCGGACACCTCATGCTATGTGGTGTCATCCCGTGACGTAGCAAACGCAAGGAGACCGGTCCTTAAATTTTGTCTTCCGACTTAGTGCTGGACAGTAATTTTGGAAGCGTCTCTTACTTGTCGTGCTGCTTGTAAGTACACACCAAGGGCTGGGCAGGACGCATGTGCCTTCTCGTCACATTATCTCAACGGAAGTTTCCCGCTAATATTGGGCCTCCCCTCAGCCCGGATCTCAAATAGGCCTCAGAGACGCAACCATACATGTATATGTATATGCATATCCCCATGGTCACTTCCTACAGTCACTATGCCATTAGTCTGTGCCCGATAGCGTTTTAGGTTGTGCACTTCCTTACCCACAGTACGCACAGCAAGGTGGGACTGTGAATTCCTTACGTGCTAACTGATGACTTATTCTAAGAGTCACACGTTACGATACTCCTTACGGACAAGTCAAGCACCATGGGATAAACAATCGAACTGTTTAAGCCTTGGGCAGTAGAGTTGAGTTTCTTCAGGCTAGCTAAGATGCCGGGATGGAAGTACGTTAGAGTATGTCCCACACAAAGAAGCAACGTTATGTAAAGAGGGAGACCCTTCATCCGAGTCGGTGCGGCGTAAACTTGCTGATTCTAAACTTTTCCCCGCATCCGCACAGCAATCATTGGCGTGCACGTCAAGAGTCACAACATAGTGCTTCTCCCATTTTGTACACCTGGGCTCAACTCCTCGCTCCCCCACTTATTCACGTCAGGCACTTGTGACAATATCCGGCGCTCTTGCATTATACAATCTTGGACATGCAGCAGCAGGTCACTACCATACGCGAAATGAGAGAGCTACCATATGACGCAGCCCCCAAGTAATAATCACCGCGACATGCTGGTATCGCGGGCTTCCGTTATGGTATCCGCGGTTTTCTGCGTCCCTGTGTCAAGTATCTCGCAGCCGCGCGATTGACGCTGACGCGAGGAATATGTTTTTGGAAAAAGTGACGTGGACAGGGAAAGGGCGGAAGCCGCGAACTACGTTACCCCACATCAACTGTCGTATCGGGCCGCCAGGTGCGCGTTCCATGCCCCAGAGAGGTAAAAATTGCGCAGGTTTGCGGATCGTTAAACGTCGGCGGTATATTGTGTCAGAATAAATAAATTTTATTCGTGAGGCCACTGGGTGCAGTTTCTGAGGGTGTGCTTGATAATTGGGCGAGAACGTTGGGCAGCCCTGACTGGTGGGATCCCGGACATTATTTGACGAGGGGCAGTAATCGTGGGGACGCATATTAGACGCGTGGATTTACGGAGACTTGTAGAAGTGTTATAATGTGGCTCACACGGGCACACGCGTTCGACGCCCATCGACCTGAGTGCATTTATTGGTTGAGACCGGGTTCGAAAAGCCTCTGTGTATTCATGGATCGAAATACCTTCTATTACAGTCAGCACATTGGTGGCATGACGAGCCTCCCGAGAGTATATTTGGTCGTGGGCATTCCCCCACATGCCCATCCGAGGTAAGTGCAACCGCCCAGTTCCGATATCAATGAGAGCGGAAGTGCCTCACGCACAATCTCAGCGAAGCGTTTTCCCCCCATCCATTTCCGGAGAGGGGCGATTCCTCCCAAGCCAGGAGAGACGGGGCTGTTTCAATATATGATCAGGGCCCCAGATGGAACGTAAATTTCGTCACATAAATCACGCTGGAGTATGTACTTACAAGGGAACGAGTGCTGTAACGTATTATGTGCTGCTCATCGCGCGCGTTACCCCCCCTCATTTCCCACATCCGGGATAATAAGCTCCAGCATCAACGTGGCCTCCAGTTGCAAATATCCGGACTCCGGAGATCCGGTCAAACTGGCAAAAGTAAAAGTTTTGTTTTCAAGCCTTGCGTTCCGTTGATCGCAGAAAATGGATACAAGTACCCACACAGTGAGCCCGTGTCCGTGACCATCCGATTGAGTCAGAGGCTTGCTGCGGAGCCAAACCGTTGAGCGCTGTTGCGGCAGGCACGGAACATGTTTGAACCAAGCGACGTTCCTGTGTCAAGAGCTGTGTTTAATGATGCAACAAAGCTGGTGTGTTGGGCTATGGTGCTGAGGCTTCCCGTGCACTGGCCTAAAACATGCATCCGGGGCGTGGGGTAACACTTGCCTCTGAGGGTTGGGGCACCAAGGGGCGGCTAATGTAAATGTGATTTCTGGAACTGCCCATGCAGATCTTGTCCCGAGATGGATTTACGCCCTTCCGTGACCGTCTCAGATACGGAGATGGAGCAATCCGGGGGGTACGTTCCAGAACGCAAGGAGACTGATATGCGTATATGCATGTATTTGTGCACTCGGAGCTTGGAGTACCCTCGAAAATGGACGAGGAGCTCCGAGCATTGCGAGACATGCCAATCAGTTTCGACTGACCTGACTGGCTCGTTACCATCTTGTTGCAATAAACAACGATATGATTCCGTGTTAATCAAAGAGGAAGCTAACCGAATTTTGCACAAAAGACTGTGATTGGCCCAAGAAGCTCAGGGCCGACGGCGAAGTGACCACAAGGTACCCTACCGTTATAATGTTAATGTAGCTTCTTGCTTCGGTGTTCACATCGTCAGGCCGAATGTTTCATGAACTTCTGAGCGCTTCAGTCAGATAAGTGTAATGTGTCCAGTACATGTATTATTGCAACAGATATACAAGTGCTACTCACAACGGAACGACGATGCAATACGACAACGAGAAAACATCGAAGACCAAAAATATAAAGTCATAAGAAAATCAGACAAACAATTATGATGGCCCGAGAATGTACCCCAACAACAAAACTCGACCGAAAGACAGAAGACCAATTAGTCCAGTGCCGTAGAATAATGCGTACAGTAAATGCGCAAATCTTGATGTTACACCATGTACGGGCCCAGAAAAAAAAGAAAAAGCAGGAAAGGTATACACACAATACAATGTTATGGTACAAATCATTATTGAACTTTTGATATCGACGCGCGATCACGGTATTAGGCAGAGAGTGAGGTGGCAGCGGCGGTGGGATTCAGCAGAGTCGACAACGCGATCGTTAAATGGGAATGTTTGTGAATTGCGTGTGGTCATGATGCGATGAGAGATGCCGGTAAAGAATCGATAAAGTAATGGGTATGCGTCGTGAACGTGGCGGTATGGCCGTCGGCGAGCCGAGACCTTGCGAATACAGGGTATGATGGAATGCTCGGGAAACTGACAAGACCGGGACTGGCTGTGGGTGCCACTCATGACCGTCCCACAGGAACAGTTTCTTTGCCAGGGAACAGGAAGAGGCGCTTCAAGGGTTGGACAACTTCGACCTCAACTTCGACCTCCTTGATCTCGCCATCAACCATGTGATGCTCGATGCGTTTCTCCTTCTTCGCAGGAGGCATCATCACAGGGTAGGTCTTGATGTTATCGTATGACCATGTGCGAGCTAGAGATACAATTGGTCACACAATTAAACACATGGTAATAGTGAGACATACTTTGTGGTGCAGGTCGGTTAGCGGGACCGAGTGATTCAGACGTGCAGTCGCTCGAAATGCTGTCTTCACTGGCTTCGCTGGGATGCCGGTCCATAGGTTTGGAAAATTGCTGCGATAGTAAACCCATGCTCGAGTTGTTTCGGGTGAGTACGACTTCAGGAACGAGTAATCGACCCTCCGCGCCTCTCTTGATCAGAGGCTGTTCACGACGACGTCTCGAGGACGAAGATGTGGAAGTAGGAGAAAGCGGAGGTGAATGGGTGGAGGACGACGTCGACGGACGGAAGAGTGACATGCGCGATTCTGATCTGCGAGAAAGAGGAAGGGAATATTTGGTGTACAACTCGTCACTGTACGACTGACTCGAGCGAGGAGGAGGCAGGTTGGAAGCAGGACGCGGCGGGGCAAGAGCACTAGATGAGTTTGACTGGGACAGGGTCGAAGTCCAATTGACACCACGATGGGATGATGCTGCAAATGAAGTTTGTGCTTTCTCGGATCCAACAGATGCATTGTCCGGGCGTTTGGAGTATCCGCCATAGACTGATTGACGCCACTCACTACCGCCGTCGGTCCAGCCAGGAACTGGTTTCCTAGGCTGAGGTAGTTCATTGTATAACGAAGAAGGCTTGGGACGTGGCGGGCATAATACCTCCTTGATACGCTTGCTTGCCATCATCGTTCCACCCTGGTAATCATTGCGATACTCGGGCTCCGATGAGGACATGCTATCGACTGATGACAGAATGGGTGGTGCAGGAGGCAAGGGAGGGAAGTTATAGAGTGCGGCCAGGGTGGCCATACTACGAGAGACGGTGATGGTTGGTGAGGAACACGAGAACCCTGAATCCAGGGATGATCCGGAAGCACTGGTGGATTCATCTTCTGACTCGCAATAGCGTCCCTCGAAGGAATTATGAGGCACGCGAGGAAGAGGCGGTGACGAACGATCAGGGTGGTAATTCAAGGGATAAGCACCATCGAGTCTTGCCAAGTCTTGAAGACGACATTCATCTGAACAGTAAAGAGGGATAGGACCCTGGTCAATGATTGTGCGGTGCTTGACAGGTGCGACGGGTTGTTGGGGTTGAGGTGGCGTGGCACGGGCCTTGTTCGCCACTGTTGTTGAGTCCGATCGCTTGATAGCACCATTAGGCTTGACGCGACCGGTGCCTTGCAAAAGACCATTCTTTGCACGAACGGCACCTGTTTTCGTTCGTGTAGTGCGTGCGGTAGAGTCACTCTGTTGGTTTTTCGACGCTGAAAAAAAGGATGTTGAGGAAGGTGAAAGACGACAATTGACTCGACTTACGAGATGACGATGTTGGCGATGGAGTGGGGACAGGTATAGGTTCTTGAGGTTGTGGGAGAACGGGGACTGTATATCGCTTAGGCATGATTTGCCTGTCACAGACTGGACACCAAGATTCGTCGAAGTGGATATCCATTGGGTGGTTGTTTAAGAGAAGTGCGGGGAAGGGGAAGGGCCTTAAATGCAGTTAAACAAAGAAGCTAGCAGGCGGTGCGGAAGATGTCTAGATGTGGACAAAAGGTGAAACGCCAACAAAGGTAAACGGTCTAGACCAGATTGTAATGGAACGATGAACGGACCTGTGTGGAGTGTGGCACTCCTAGGTTAACGGAGTATTGATTGAGGTTGTCGACGTTGAGGACGACGACGAGGGCGATGAGTGGATGGGATGGAGTGAGATATGGGAGGATAGGATTGGACGAAGAAAAGAGTGAAAGGTTCGGGGTTTTATTATTTGATTGGTGATTCGCATATACGCCAAATGGACTACCCAATTGGGGATTGCAATCGCACCGAATGCCGAATAATTCAGGATTGAAAATATTTGAAATTGAGTTATTACTAGTTATTACTCTTCAAGTATGTTTCGGCTACCTCGGATCCTCGGCTATACTTGCACACACCCCCCGCATTGGGAAGTCGCATGCTGTCACGCTAAATGCGCTACCCCGTGTTACACAGCGTGGAACCCTGTGCACGTGGCAATGGTACACAGTCCCTAGACCTTCCCATCGGCCCGTACACCTTCTAGACGACTCCCTACGCCGTACTCCAGACCCTTATCGAATGTCGTCACAAATTTATATCTCCTGTAGTCCCAATAAATTATTTTTTTTGAATAGACGACGACCGACGCCACCGGTAAGCCCCGTGTTACATACCTCCTCGGCAAATACCGTCATCTGTAGGCTCAAATTTTGCTACTAGATAGCACCGTTACTGTATCGTATCTCCGTCAGTATCAATTGACACCTCAAGTTGCGACATGTTCCATGTGTAAACCGTGTAACATGTAGGTACATGTAGGTACCATTTACCGTACACAACTGTACACAGCGCTTCACGACTCTCATTGGTCCAACCACTGAAACTGTGGCAACCGCCCTGTGAGCGATCCGTCATTCACCTAATCTTGTCTCACCTGCCTCAGTGTCCAAACAATTTCAAATCCACCTTTGATAGACTACTCGGCTTTCCCCGTTCCCGGAACGCTCTTCCTTTCAGTCCGACTTTCACGCCATTCTTATTTCTTTGGCAAGTCCTGGCCCCCTTCCGGAACTCCACCAGTCAATGGGCCTCAAAACCTCGATGTCATCGTGAAGTAAAGCTCTGGGCCATTCGCGTCGGGCGCCCCTCTCATCTCACAAGTACTCCCCTTGACCATTTCAGGTCAAACCGAACTGCTCGGATTCCTGGTCAGACGGCCTTCGGGCGATGCCTTTGCTACATGGAGAAATCCACATCCACTTCCCCGAGGTTTACGTTCTCTCCTCAACATACTAACCACGCGATCCTTGATATTCGGCGTTCATCAAATGCACCGCGCCAAAACTATAGTAGTGCAAGTCACTGCCATCATCAATCTTGTTCCGTTTAATCATTGGTCCCATCTGTTGCCCTCCCCGCGGGGCCCACCGCCGTTGAACCATACTCTTATGGGGGTCCCACAACGGGCTGTAACCATATATCATTCATTTGCGCCCGGAAATATAAAAAGGCACGCACGTCGCGGCAACTTGACATATATTTTCAGACAGCCAAAGGTACCACCAATAATTGCGATCGAAAATTAGGCACCTGCTGTGTTGACTGAGGTGCTACCGTGAGTCTTCTCCTCCATGTTTCTCTTACTTAGGCTTTTGGAGATTGTATTTGAGTACCCGCACAATATCTTACGTTGTAGGCACTCATTGATGGGGCATAGTCCACGGTGATATCTTATCCGCGACCATCGCATAGATCTTTCCATCCCTATTCGCTCGCGAATTTCATCAAACTGACCTGAACAAGGATCGCTCTTCGGTCACGCGACTCGCGCCGTTTCAGCCAACAGAAAAAGTATGAGCCCGCGACATCATGTTCATATGATATCGTCACAGAGGCACAATATTGAATTCTTCGCGCAACTTTGGAAGACCTGCATCTCGCCTTTGCATCATGTTGAGATCTCAGAAGCACACAAAAGTATGATGTTCGGCACGCTTTGTAAGGTAAATCGATTTCGAAGATCTGGATTTTCTCAACGCGAAGAACGCCTATCGGCCTCTATCGGTATACGAACATGTCAAGCCAGTGCAAGAGACACGCTTTTCATGTGAGGTAAGCGACTGCATAAGCGAGTACAGGCTGGCCCTCGGATCCGTGTTCTATGCGAAGATTAGACGTACTTCTTTCAACACCGCGACGTAGAAGCACACCCCACACGGTCCGACCACCACTCACGTCGACTCACACTAGTGGCACACAGCAGTTCCCAGCACGTCACCCGAGGCTCCAGTGTCGCCTTCCATATCGCCTAGTACGACACTTTAGCCGCTCGAATGCACTTTTTAAACTCTCCATGATATGCGCGCTTGTATGGGGTTATATTACACTCCATCCTCAAAACAGCCACCAAACCAGATCGAAACAACATCTACGCAGCCAGATCACTGGCGAGTCGCCGCGTCGTTCAAGGTTGGCCGCGGAGGTATGGAACGTTAACTGAGGGGTTCAAACCTCCATCTCGGCTCGTAGCACCAGATTGAGCCTAGTAGCTTTCTTGCCGGATTGTCACTTGTTCGTTTCGATTGGATCTTGCAAGGTTGCAGCCTATCGCGCAATCCGCTTTCTAGCCATTGCCCAATTACTTATCAGACACTAGTAAGGGCGAATGCGGTTACCCCTTCGAAGGCGGAGGTACGCGCACATTCCGACATGCCGCCACTGTATTATAAAAGCTACTCAATCTACTTATGTAGGGTAGGTTTCGGTAGGACCCGCGCCAATCATGTGCATGGTCCGTGTAGGCACATAGCCATAGTCATGATATCTGATAACATTGTTCATAGTAGTAAATTGGAGTAAATTGGCCGTCGTCATCGCGCTGCTAAAGCGCCGGGTTGCACTCCTGCTTTCGCCCTCCGCAGTCCTTCATGTTGTTGGCTGTGTACACCACATGCACTCGACAGAGCTTCCAGGCCCAATCTCATAAAGGAGCTTGAAAGCTCCGTTGAAGCTCCAGACCTCAAAAATGCAAAACATCTTCCTATACATTTCATTTCAACACTTTACATATCCAGATTCGGATCTACGACAAACCCCAGGAATGAAATGTCAATATTCTAGATCAAGGGGGTTTCTACGACAAACCCCAGAAATGCAAGCAGGAATGAAAATGTCCAAAAATTCTAGGTCAAGAGGGTCTCGACCACACACGACTCCAGGCATGCGGGAGGCTCAACCCCGCCCAGACCAGTATGGCATCCCGCCAGTGCGTGGCAACTCTCCCTTCAGCTGGGCCGCCATGGTTGGGCCTGGTGACAACCGAATTCAAGCGGAAAATGTGATTTGCCTCGGCTTGCGAACGAGTACGCTCGTGTGGCATCGTTGCAAGCATTTAGGCACTTTCATTTCGTGGGCTTTGGGCCAATGGCATGCAAGCGCCACGATTATTTCCCCTCGAGGACATATCTTCCTATGACGTCGCAGCATATCACAGGTCAGAGCCAATGCATGTGCGACCCAACGAACTGTACTGCCTCCGGGAAGGACTCGGATGGGCATCGGGCTTGACATTACTATTGTCGAGTTCCTTGTCACGCCACGAAGTTGTGCTGGCTCCCTTTTGTGTCGACCGGTAACCTGGCTTGCCCGACAGCAAGGAGAGCAAACCCGTGGCAGGTGCAAAAGCCTCCGTTCGTGCCTCTCCAGCGTTTCTTCGCAGCGGACGCAATATGTCTTGTGGTCAACATTTGACCACCGTGTGCGTGTATTCCTGAGTCTCAGCAACGGCCGCATCACACGCTGCCTCGACAATATCTAAAGGTGCAGGATATTGCGTCAAACATACTTGTCTGTCGTCATTTCACTCACCAATCACGCGCAGATGATACATCCTTTGTCATATTGTTGATTTCTCACAATCGACTTGTGTTGAACATTGCTCGACTGTGATAATACACATGTTTGTGCCCCTCAGCGCTCATGTAATGATAAGTGGATAAGGCTTGGACTGCAGACCAGGCTGGCCCATCAGTGGCGTCGGTGGACGAGACCTGTGCTTGACACTTGGACAGAAGAGGTCCACGGAAGAATTAGATATACATCCCCGCGAGCCTTGGGCTCGATCACAATTTCCTACAAAACGTATAGGGGTTGACGTTCACGACTTTGAATTTGAGGTTTTGTGCACGTACGTTTAACAGCACTGCTGCCGCGCAGAAACTCACACGTCGGTGCTAGATGCGAATATCACTGCTTTCGTGCAAGAAGTTGACCACATTTGGACCAAGACTCCTGCTATTGAAGCCCTCGATCGGAGGGCAAGCCAAAATGCTTGACTGTTCGCATGCTTTTCCACGTAAGATATGCTCCACACGAATGAAAAACACGGCGGACGCCTTTGGAATATCTGCGGTCTTAGGGCGCTGAGCAATTCAGTCTGATAAGATATGAGTTACCACGATTTAGTAAGAGGGATCACATGCCAATTGGGCAAGCGAAAACTAAAGCCTAAATGACTTCTTTATCATCTTCATGGAGCTACCATTTTTCTCTGCTCGGGCCAACGTTCGTCCAAGAAGGGAGTTTCGCGCCTTCATCTCCGCATCGACTAGAAGATTCTGACATGCTGACATCTTCCCCGAAGAAACGTCGAAACATTCTCATTAATCGTTAATGAACGAAGCACAGCCAGAGGCAGATTACTGTATCAATATGCTTCGAACGTGCTTGCGTGCATCCGGACACTATCGCGTTATATATCTTTTAAGCAGCGTCATGATGCATGTAATAGTGCAAGGAGTAATACATACTTTCATTCGCATTATCTGTGGCAATTCCCCGTGTCATCCACCTCTGCCGTATAGGACTGTCATGCTCTCCCTGATAGCTTCGTGATGCGAGACTCGCATGCCCACTTTTGCGTTCTGGAATAGATCTGATGTTCGACACGGCTCAATCACAAACGTCAAAGCCTACCTAAAGGCAATCAGCCGAACCACGACAATCGTAATTCCGCAATATGTCCTCACGTCCTTCCCGCTGACCTGCGAACTGCAAATCTTCCGTCTGATAGAAAAATGCTCATGCCATGATTAAAATCGCGAAAGGTGTGTATTTTGGCTCGGATGATCGGTGTGTGACTTGATCACCAGCCAAGTGGTAAGATAGATCAGAATAGGGAACTTGTTGTTTGCCAAGCGCGAAGTTAGCATATAGCTGTCGTCTTCATGTGAGCTGGTTATAAATGAACTGATACACTCACTATCATTGCCCAATACGGACTGCACGCGGTGGTAAGTGCAACTGGACGTCAAATGGATTTTGGGATCCGGGTTGGAGATAACTTGACAACGGCAATGGGTATGGACTGCCTCAGTGTATGCGAAAGCGGAAAATAGAGCCAATGCACATACAAAGCATTTGACATGATAGATCTGGAGGTTCCACAATAAAAGGTAGAAGACATGAATTTAATAGCTACAAACCCATGGATGCGTGTGCTGCTGCACGAGGTTAAATGGTCTTTTACCTCGTGCTAATTATCGGCATGATGCCGGACGAACGCGACTCGGCGAAGTCGAAGGACCCATAGACGAAATTGTATGGGAATGTTGCTGAGGCAGCTGGCCAATACGATGGTAGACAGTATTTGTTGGAGACAGCGTCAGTGGATGGTAGAATATTGGTTATGTAAGTGGTTGAGTTTGAGTATTTGTCCGAACTTGATTGCCAAATCGGGTCTGTGGTGATCCTCGATTAAATTTTAATCCGTAAAGTCACATTAATGACCATAATTTGCAAAATTCAAACCCACAACCTACCATGATAAAACGGCCATTCCACAGAGGTCTGCCGCCCTCAGCAGCACACCATTGCACAAGGGGTGGATTATACAGTGATTTATTCTCGTCTGGATAGCCAGAGAACCGGCCCCAACCAGGCAATTCCAGGACTTTTGAGTTGAGACACCGGGCGCGTAGATAAGATAGTGTTTTTTGACTTCCTATTTTGGTGCAAGATTCTTGTCTTGTCCTTCACCGGCACCTTTTCACAGAATCCCCTGGGTGATCTCAGGTTATAAAACCCCGTTCTATGTCACTTCCGCGAGATATTCGCGCTTTTCTCTCTCATTACCACGGTCAAACGGATGACCCCCAAGCTCTACAAAATCTGCTATTTTACAAAAATCAACTGCGCTGCCAGCCAGATGATCTTTTGATCAGCGAGATCCACCAAAGGAATGACACCGTTATTCAATGTCGAGTTGAAGCATTATAATAAAGTTTCATAGCTGGCGCAAGGATTATATCCAACTGGAGCACAATCATGGTTACATTCAATGGCTGTAAGTCGAGCGACATACCCGGCGATTATCGCATGAATCATGATGTGCACAGCTTCCCCATCCGGGAGAATGGCATGAATTTCGAGGCCCAAGCTCTGCAGTCACACGAGGTTGCGGCAATGAAGGAAGATCCTCGTGTCATTGAACGTATCAAGGCGTCTTATGAGTTGATGTTGGACTTCTACGGCATGTCCCTGCTGGACTTCGAGACTGGTCTCGTTGGACGCTCAGAAGGCTACAGAGCTCGATACAGAAACTTCTTGCGTGGGTGAAGCGCCAGATCACACATTCATGCTTACGAACTTGGATAAACTATTTAGAAGCTCCTCACAACAACCTTCGCATCACTCGGATTTTCAAGTGTCTATCGGAAATGGGCATGGAGCATCTCAACGCCGGGTTCCTCCTACATGTCCTCAATGAACAGAGCGAACATAACCAGTTAAATACCGGTCTGCTCCGGGACAGCATGGATAGGTGGTGGGCTAACTGCTTGAGGAATGAAGCAGATCGGAAGTGGATCGGACTTACAATCAAGAAGGCGAGAAACGGCGAGAATTTCAATAGGGAGCAATACGAATCTAGTCTGCAGAGGCGAAAGGAATCGGGATCTCTCGCAGAACCACAATGTGCCGATGCGTAGCAGCTGCAGGTACTTGGCTACTTTTGCACTGGGCAGAATGACACGAGTGTTTTCAGACTGGGGCAGGCACGTCAGAAAAAAATAGTTCCAAACTTGCAAGTGGTACTACCAGACTGTCTATAGTACTGGAGAACAAAGCTTGTTTGTAAGCCTCTGGAAACACGGTAACGACAACGAACAAAAATATGCGTCACACTATACATTAGTACAAAAATACTACAAATATGCTGCCAAGATGTCAGCAGGATACGATGATCCGGGCAACAAAGGGACTAACTTTAGGGCCACTGAATATTGCGATCTTGAGCAACGATTCATGATAGGCTTCGCAGGCGCGAAAATAAAGCCTCTCTCCTCCTTCCTTCGTATGCTGTACTGACGGACTGCAAGAGTCCCTCAATAGATTCGAAGATCTGATCCCCATCAAGCTAAAAGAAATTTTAGTGGATGTTAAATAGATGTACGCTATTCATACCTGATAGCCACGAGCAGTTAGGGTTATGCGAATAGTTCTGCCCTCAATGAGAGTGACAGATGCAGTGGCCTCGTGAGGCGACGAGCTTCTGAATATGTCAAACCGAGCCAACCCGAAGGCTTGTTCGGAAAGGGCCCTGTTAAGCTCGGTGTGATAGAACGAAGGTGACATGATCTTTGGCAACGTGAGTTTCCATGTGTATTGATGAATCCCGGCGTTATATAGTTTTGAAAACCAGGGAGGGGTAGACATCGCATGAAGCTCCTGTCTGAAAGAACTCCACGACGTCAACTTTAGCGAGATGTCAACTCCAGCGCTTCAAAAAATGATCATGGTTATTTGCTTGACCCTGGTGCAATTTGAAGTTCGGTAGTGCTAGGAATTCCTGTTGCTGTTCGAAGAGGGGCTTGACGTAGTGGAGCGGGTGAGACTGAATGAAGAGCAAGGTTGAGAAAAGAAATCGGTAGTTACCGCGATGACGGTCAGGAGTACAACGCATTCCTGAGGTCAACGACCAATCTGTTGTCTTATTTTTACTTGGCTCTCAGTCATGAGGTACGGTTACAAGGAAATAGCTCTCGGCCAGATCTAAAATCGCGATCACGCCTCCACGCTCGTTGAATCAATAAGCTCTCAGTAGATGTTCTCCACAGAGGATTGACCACTATATCGGGATGGAGGAGCAAATTAGTTCCGTCGACGAGACAACCGGAGCACATGGTTGGAGTGCACGAGATATGGAACTTGTAAATTGGCGGTCTTGTGGTCAGGGTTGCACGGAGGGCAACGGAAAGTTAAAACAACGTGTAATCAATGATAGTGAACGAAACGAAAACCTTCACTGGGTAGGTGGACATGACGGGAACTTGTCCAACGGGCTGAACTTTACGTTAAGTGCATCTGAAGATCATGTCCGCCAGTGGCTTGATCAAAGGTTACTGGAGAGAGACCTTTAAGGAATAGCTCAAGGAACATGCCGTGTCTAACCACAACCGAAGTATCGCTTCATCGTCAACGTAAAAGTCAGCTTCAAGACGATTACCAGGCAAGCCAGGGAAAGTCTCGCTACCGCTTTAAAATTATTGGGCAGAAACCACGCATCACGTTAGTACTACAGGGTTATCGCACACGTCCACCAAGTTGATCGAGACGCATCGGAGTACACACGTTATAGTGTATCAGGACTGCCGCCACCAATGAAATTCACATTGACGTTCATTTTCCGACGCTTAGGATGCACCCCGTGCCTGGTCTCCGCCGGACTAGAAGATTCAATATTCACTGGCGGATATTCATGCAGGGTGGCGAGAAAGGGGGGACACGGTTTGAGCTGCTTGACAGGCGTCGGACGTGACGACCACATGGGCCCAGAATTACCTAGCAAACCGTCATTATCTTGGTCCGCTAGCGCTCGAACTTGTTCACGTAGATCCGGGGTGCAACTGGAAACAATTTTACATGTGCAAATGTTTAACCTTTTTATCCTGTTCCCGTTTAGGAAACTGCATTCGACCGATGGGGAGACTCGCTCGTGACACGCTACCCATGCCACACGGAGCGCTCATCAACTACTAAGCTGTTCGCTGCCAGTCTTAACACTTACTGACGTGAATCACAACGTAGTTCACGCTACATACTCATCGAACACTGCTGTGCCACCCAGCTGAACCTGAAGTCGTCATTCAGCCATGGACGTGGTCAAGGCAGTGGAGACGTACATCACCAAGTTGGTGTCTACGCCCTCTGCAATGAAAGTCCTGCTGCTTGACACCCACACGGTACGTCTTCTTCTTACTACTGTGTAATAACTCAGCTCCATCTTCGCAATCACAGACACCCATCGTTTCACTCGCCTCCACCCAATCTACTCTACTTTCACATCAGGTTTACCTGACCGATCGTATTGATAACAAGAAACGGGACCGCATGTCCCACATGAAATGTGTCTGTTTTCTGCAACCAAGCGAAGACAGTCTTGATGCCCTTTCCGCTGAGCTAAGGGAACCCAAATACGGGGAATACTATTTGTGTCAGTGCGTGACTACCAGGGGTAGAATAGGAGACGGTCAGCTCATATCAATTGTATATTTCAGATTTCAGCAGCATATTGAGCAAACCTGCCATTGAACGTTTGGCCGATGTGGATGAATTCGAGGTCGTCAGGGAGGTGCAGGTAAGTGGGAATTATTCCAGACCGAATTTTTACCCAAGTCTCCCGACTAGGAATACTTTGCTGATTATGCACCCCTGTTGCCCTGCCTGTTTTCTCTTAATCATACACCGACGTCAGAGAAACCTCTGTATGGTTCCTCACCAAATGTATGGGATCCCCTTGCGCTTGAGCGCTCTGTGCAGGGTATTACAGCGGTCCTTCTCAGCTTGAAAAAGAAGCCTGTGATTCGGTACGAGAAAATAAGCGGGATGGCAAAAAAACTGGCGAGTGAAGTGCAGGTAATTGCCAGACTAGCGAGCTCCCATGTATAACACTCACAAGGATCACAGCATCGTATCCAAGCGGAGTCGACGTTGTTCGATTTTCGCCTGACGCAAGTAGCTCCACTGCTACTGATTCTCGACCGGCGAAACGACCCTGTCACCCCTCTACTATCGCAGTGGACCTATCAAGCCATGGTGCACGAGTTGTTGGGCATTCATAATGGTCGCGTAAATCTCAGCATGGTTCCTGATATTCGTCCAGAGCTTTCTGTGTGTCTCTTTAAGTTTTGCGTTGCTCATTTTCTAATGCCAGGCATAGGAAATAACCTTGACAACGACTACCGACCCTTTCTTTCAAGCTCATTATCTGGCGACGTTTGGAGACCTTGGCACTTCCCTGAAGACTTATGTCCAATCATATCAGTCGCGTTCCCTCGCCCAATCACCTTCATCCATCAACTCAATTTTTGACATGAAGCGCTTTGTAGAAGAATACCCAGAATTTCGGAAGCTGGGTGGGAACGTTAGCAAACACGTCGCTTTGGTAGGCGAACTTAGTAGGTTGGTAGATCGCGACAGGTTACTTGATGTGGGGGAGGTAGAGCAAGGGCTGGCCACGAGTTCGGGTTCAGACTTTAAGGTTTGCATTCTGAAGTCGATGTCATTCTTTGACGCTTACGACACAGGGTAGAACGTGCAGGCTGTGGTCAACAACCCGGTCGTGCCGGCCTGGAACAAGTTGCGGGTCGTCATTCTCTACGCACTACGTTATCAAAAGACACAGACGAGCAACATTGCTGCTTTAATCAATTTGCTGCTCTCCAATGGCGTGTCTCGTGAAGAGGCTCGGGTAAGTTGAGAATTGCACCAATGGACCTGTGCTCATTCCATTTCAGCTGGTTTACGTGTTTCTGAATGTGGCTGGATCAGATCAGCGACAGGATGATTTATTCTCGACAGAATCTTTGTTAGCCAAGGGCAGATCTGCTCTCAAAGGACTTAAGGTATTCTAAACACAGCATTACATCGCGTGCCATACTAATAATGCGCAGGGTGTCGAGAACGTGTATACTCAACACACGCCACATCTATCTCAAACTTTAGAAAATATCTTCAAGGGCCGATTGAAGGACACCACCTACCCTTTCTTGGACGGATCTGGTACTCACATGGGATTGCAGAGGTGAGAAATTCGTATCCCTGAGCAACGTCCGAGCTCAGATCTCCTCAGGCCTCAAGATATCATCATTTTCATGATCGGCGGTACTACTTATGAAGAAGCAAGGACAGTTGCACTCCTGAACCAAGAAGCAGGTAATTCTCTGACAGGGACAAGACTTCTTCTTGGCGGCACTTGTGTACACAACTCATCCAGGTGCGTATTATCTTCGGAAAAATGAGGATGCGGCCTATTTACTATCCTTATCAGTTACGTTGAGATGATTCGTGCAGCTGCAGAGAAATTTCCCGTGTCAGTTTACGAGCCACCTCCAGAATCCGCAACCACCGCTCCATCTTTGAACCTCAACCTTGGCGGTGTCAACGTCAGTCTTGGAGGTTCGGCTGGTACGGGTGTATACAGAACAAGCTCTGACAATGTCGGTGTACAAGCCGAGGGCATCAAAGACGGTGTGCGCAATTTCATCGGACGGGTGAAGCAAGGTGTAGATAAAATTGGATTGCAGTAGTAGCTGTACATTACGACTAGCTCTAGTCTCCCCTAGCCAAACCCGTTATAGACACATGGTCATTCATTCTTCAGGTTCTAATAAAGGACTAGCTCGGATAAACGGGTTTCCCTCTCTACGGAGTCGGCGAACTCAAGTGACACGTAGCTCATTCATAACGTCCACGTGGTCGAAACCCCAGTATACTCTAGACCAACCATTTCCAGCTTTTCTCTCCTCTCATACTTTCTTCTGCTTCAAATATTGTGTTCGCTGGTCGTTGAAGGTCATAAATGGCCAAGGGTTTTCTATCTGGTTTCAAAGGCATAGACGCCTTCGGGAAGGTGAGAACCGATTCCGTTGAAGTGGGAACGGGCAAGGACTGACCACGTATGTGTCGCGCACATCCAGACAACGGAGGATGTCAAAGTTAAAACGCGTACCGGGGCTCTGCGTAAGTTACTGTCCGGAACCACCACGATGAAGTGATATTGATAGCGGGTCGTCTAGTGACCCTCATATCTGCATGTATCATTTTGGCATTTACAACAATGGAGTTTTTCGATTACCGCCGTCTTAACGTTGACACATCGATAGTAGTCGACCGGAGCCGGGGGCAGAAGCTGAGTGTGCGGTTGAACGTCACCTTCCCCCATGTTCCGTGTTACTGTGAGCCCAATTCCCGTGTATTGCTGACTGTACAATCTCACTATGGCTGACCTTATCTTTGACTCATGCAGTGCTCAGTCTGGATGTAATGGACATCTCTGGCGAGCAACAACGCGATGTTTCACATAATATTCTCAAGAAGCGGATCACTCCGACTGGTGTGGACATGCCTGCACAGAAGGGCGGTGACCTCCGCAATGAGATCGACAAGCTTGCTGAACGACGTGCGAGTGGGTATTGTGGCTCGTGCTATGGTGGACAGCCACCCGAGAGTGGGTGCTGTAACTCGTGCGAAGAGGTTCGACAGTCATATACAGACAAGGGGTGGAGTTTCGGTAATCCCGACGGTATTGAACAGGTGAGGTTAACCTAAGTTCCTTGTAACAGCTTGCTAAGGAATCTATGACAGTGTGTTGAGGAAGGATGGTCAGAAAAGCTCAAGGACCAGGCAGATGAGGGATGCAATGTATCTGGACGTATTCGGGTGAACAAAGTCATCGGAAGCATCCAAGTTTCGCCAGGACGATCCTACCAGGCAGGCTCGCGTACCTTCCAGGATCTGGTGCCATACCTCCGCGACGATGGTAACCCACACGATTTCAGCCACATCATCCACGAGTTTTTCTTCATGGCAGACGACGAGTATAACCCTAACAAGGCGAAGATCGGGAAGGATATGAAGGAACGTATGGGGATTGCGGACAATCCATTAGATGGTGTTGAAGCGAAGGTAAAATCAAGTGTGCAGGGTTCTTAATACTTCTACTCACACGATTGCAGACGACCAAGGCCGCATACATGTATCAGTATTTCCTCAAAGTCGTATCAACCCAATTCCGCACGCTGGAAGGCAAACTTGTGAGTCCATGTCATCAAGCTGGTGACACAAATTCATGGCCTGAACAATGCAGATCAACACGCACCAATACAGTTCGACGCAATTTGAGCGCGATTTGACCAAGTTCAATGAAGGCGAGAACAAGCAAGGCGTGTTCACTCAACACGGCGCTGCGGGTGCACCGGGTACGTAAAATTTGAAGAGCGTGGATGATCTATCAATATTTAAACTCCTGTCAGGCGCATACTTCAACTTTGAAATTTCACCGATTCTTGTCGTGCACTCTGAAATGAGGCAGTCGTTTGCGCACTTCCTCACTTCGTGAGTAACATTATATCTTGCCTAGCATTTCTCTTACTTCATGCTGTCTGTAGGACTTGCGCTATCGTCGGAGGCGTTCTCACCGTGGCTGGACTACTGGACAGCATCCTATTTGCCACAGGACGCAAGCTGAGGAAAGGTGGTGACGGGAACGTGAAGCTCATGTAAAACCGTGTACAATAGCAAGTCATTCAACTTGAGCACACCCTTTGAGTATTTATCACATCTCGCATAACTTTACACAATGGGGACTACGAGTTAGCTAACTCCGTGCTTCAGCCCGAGAAAACACATACGCGTCTGCGCTGTTTAGAATCACTGATGCAATGAGGATTCGCAGACAATCTCACCATGAACGTCTGCTTTGACCCAGTGTCCTCATGTCCTGACGTCTCTACCTCCACGGCTAGGGCTTGAATGTGCCCTCTTTCTCGCCAAATTTACTATTTCTGTCGGCTCCAGGGAAATGTTCTATGAACGACACTTGCAGTTAGCACTCCTGACGCGAACATGATGTCACGACCGCGTACTTCAGGGGGATGCTTTATATAATCGTCATGGATATTGTGGTTCGTGGTGGGTGGCCGGACAACGGTCTGGAAGGGCTTCTTGAAGGTCAAGGCTTCGTCTGTGGTACCGCTGCCTTCCTTCCGCGCCAGCTTCTCAAGCTCATGGCGGTCGATGCCGGGTATTTTGTTCAGCGTTATAAGATACGGTGGTGTCATGGTGTAAGGAATGCTGCCACTGGTGAATGGGTGAAGAGCTGAACATGACATCACTCTGACGACACGTTAAATATACTCCTCGTCGAACAACAAACCACAATCCTAGTACACAATACCAGTAGCACTGAGCACAGATGTAGCCACTGAGTATTGTTGGGGGATCTTCGCAGAATGTTGCTGCAGAAATTTCACGGTGGCGATTCAGGCTGATTTCATGACACCATATATATAACCACATGAAATGTATGTTGAAAGACGAATTAATTAGCACCGTGACAAAATGCTCTAGCCAAAGGTCCAAAATGCTCTACGCCGCTATATCTACTATTTAATGATTGTACCGCCCACAAGGCCTAGGTGCGATCTGATGCAAGGAATAAAGTCTGGTTCAAGGTGCGTTTGGTCCGCTAACGTGAATCGTTGAGTAGGTACCTTCCACCATACTTTCTGAATAACAAACCGCAACGTATGTCTGAGATGCCCCACTCATAAACGCTCCAGATATTGTTCGATGCTCAAAAATTCCTAGGACCTTCTACGAGACTCGACATTGAGTCAGTGCGCAAGTCATGCTGAACATCAAGGAGAACACACCTGCCTCTACATGCCGCACCTGGCATCAGGAACCCGAAGGGCTCTGGCTCTAACTTTACCGATCTCGAACCCAGTCCCTTCAGTCAACTCATCGAATGCCTGCGGTGAGATGTTGTACGTGAAAGCATTATCAACGGCGGTGACGTAGACAGTAGTCTGGTTGCCACTGGGCGTGGTGTACTTGAGGCTCCAGCAGGAACCACATAAGGTGGAGTTCCAGATCGTACCTGGCATACCTCCGATGTTGGGGAATGAGGGGAGGGAGCTGAAGGTGGTGTAACCCTTGGCCAACAGACCATTCTTGCCGTCAGAGCAGGAGACGATATTGAGGGATGCGTCAGGGTTGCTGTACGTACCATCCCATGTGACATCCGCGGGTATTGCGAATGCCGGGAGGGTGAGGGCAGAGAGAAGAGAAACGATGAGTGTGAACTTCATTGTGTAAGAGCTGTTTGATGTGAATATTGTGCAGCAACTTGGAGATAACAGAATTCCGAGATTTTCTGCTCACTTTTATACGGCAAGGTGGAGTAGCAGACGCCAGAGCAGGCCCCACTGGTGCACATGGGTAGGGGCTCAGGCGACCCGCATTCGACATTTTTATTTCTTACTTCGACCTCCCTTGACTGCGATCGAGACATAAGTATATGTCTGAGCTGAAAGTAGCACATGACCAAATTCAGTATTCTTATTCCCGGGCCAGCGGAAAGCCACTTGTGCAAGGAGGGCCGGCGCGAGTGCAGCGGAAACAAGATAACGCCAAGAGATAAGTCAGCTGCAAATGTCAAGGTGAAAAATGATCTCCGAAACCTTGCAGGGAAGTAGATATCATCCATGAAAGAAGTCTCCTGGAACAGTGTCGGAAATTCTGACGATACAACGGCTCAGTGAACGACGGACGATGATGAAAGAAATTCTTACTTCTTCCTACGTTCAGATAGACACCAAGAAAACTGGCCATATACCGCCCCCACAAAAGTCAAGCACATTGCATCGGCCGACGAGCACGGAATTCAAGGGTCCGATCCTACCCTAAGTTCCCATTGGCGGCGAGTGAGCCACTGCCAGCCGACGCCCTAGCTGGGCCTAGCTTCCGAAGCCTCCGGGACTTTTCCGTGCCTGAGTCTGTGCGTAATACTGCCAGCATAACTGGCCTACCGCTCCCCGAAGGTCAAAAGGAACGAACGCAAAATGTGTGCGTTATGAGCAACGATAGCACACGCAGAAATAAGCAGTTCTACGACCACAGTCTTGACGCGATGCGCACTATGTTGTGCTTTGACAAAATGTTGGGCTCTCCAGAAATCAACCACGAATATGAACGACTGAGTTCCTTCGATTTAGTGCATAGGGGAACCATAACAAGTGGTATATCCAAGTGTGAGAGGCAACAGTCCAGTTTTCCAATTTAAGTGGGACGGATGGAGATAACATATGATGCGAAATCTGTAGGGAGGACCGATGGCTAAATTTTTATTTCAGACAGTGACCAGCGTGCCTGCCATACTGACCCATCCATAGGGAAGATGGAGCAGTTCAGCCAGCCAGAGTGGTGGAATACAAATATAGTGATGGGTTCGTCCATCCGAGAGTCGCCCAGAGGTGACATGCTTGTCATTGAATGCGAAGACGACGAGGGTACCAGCAGAGCTCAAACAGGCTCAAACACCAATCTTGAATATTGGCAGTGTGGCAGCGCTACAGATCGATATAGGTGACACCTGCCAGGTCGATGGATCGGTGGGATTGCGATTAGAGCCTGCTGAGAGGTCTAGTGGTGCGCTCATCCGAGTCGGGCATCCACGCAGAGGTGACTGTGCAACTTGAAGAAGTATTTCCTATTGGATCGCTGGGTTAGCTCCTTCCGGCCTGGATGCCAAATTTGGATATTCAGGTCAATGTCGCGATGGCAAGATGTTCGCGAGCTGCTGCCAGCCTGGAGTCTAGACAGAAAGACTTTTTGTTCCACAGCTTCGTCGCGTTGAATTCAAGGACTTGCGTCACATTTTTATAACAAATAACCACTATGGAGACGGTGTGCCAAGGCGGCAAGTTCGTAAGTACTGTCAAGCCAAATGCAGAGCTAGCGTAGGCCCCAACCAAGTTGGGCTCCGTTAAGTTTACTATTTGGTTTATACCATACGGAGCTGTCCGTCGAGCATCGACTTTCCCAAAAACATTGCATAGCGCATACTTTCTGAATAACAGACAACAACGTACAAGCCACAACATACAAGCTGCCCCACCCATGAACCAAAGACTCAAGAGCCTTATTCGATACTAACAACCGTTCCGAGCACCAAAACCCTCCAGCATAATATCCTAGACCCACGCTGATTCAGAGCTCGAGTCTCGCAGAACATAAAGGATGAGCATACCTCCTACATGCCACAGTTACTGGCAGCGACCTGGGTGACATCGACAGCAACTTTGCCGGTGTCGAAGCCAGTGCAGTTTGTCAACTTGCTGAACGTCAGCGGGGAGACATTGTACGTGATAGCTGCATCGACAGCGGTCATAAAGATGGTGGTAAAGCCGCCGCCGGGCGCGGTGTACTTGACACTCCAGCAGGTGCCGCACAACGGGGAGTTCCAGGTAGCACCTGGGATAGCTCCGATGTTGGGGAATGAAGGGATAGAGCCGAAGGTGGTATACCCCTTGGTCAAAAGACCGTTCGCGCCGTTAGAACATGAGACAGTGGAGAGGGACGTTCCAGCATTGCTATACACAGGGTCGTATGTGGCAAACCCGGGTACTGCGAACGCCGGGAGGGCTAAGGCAGAGAGAAGAGCAACAACGAGTGTGAACTTCATTGTGTAAAAGCTGATTGATGTGAATATTGTGCAACGACTTGAGATGCAGAATTTCAAGATTTTTTACTCACTTTTATATGTCGAGGCGACACGTTAGACCACAGAGCGAGACCTACTCAATACACATGGGCAGGTGGACAGCAGCAGGTCGACAACGACATATGACCTCCCTTGATTGCCACCGAGTCATTGAGTACACATCTGAGCTGAAAGGAGCGTAGGTGGCTAAACATGGTATCCTCATTCCAATCAGGGCAGAGGCGGTGTGTGCAAAAGTGGCCTGCGCGGGTGCAACAAAACCAAGAGAAAGGTCAACAGAAACTCCGACTTTCGAAGGGAAAGATACTTTCCGTCTTAATTGCAAAGAGAACATCTGACAAGGAAAGGTTCAGTGAACAGCGGACCATGATGGAGGAAGTACTTACCTATTTCCAAGTTCAAATATTCACATGTTGGGGCCACCAAACTAGCATGGACCACCGTCACAACAGTTTAGGGTGTGCGCTGATTCTCAAAGTCACCCGCAAATTCAGGTGGGCTATATAGGAGTCATTCCTCCTAATAAGAATTAGTTATGCTCCGCGTGACGAAAGACTAGCGACCGGAGGTGGTACTCAAATAAAGATGGTCATGACGCAGCTTGAAGCAGAGGCAAAAACACCATTTGACAGTTATCACTGACTGAGCTCCATACATATTTTCTACCATAGAAACATATCTTAGTGCGACGATGATCGGGATCAACAGAAGAAACACACCCATCTGGAAATGTTACACTGTAGCGTTCGAGGAATGTCACCAGACACTTTGGGTGACGGCCCGTTTCAAGTTCCGGCCTCTCCTCGTGGTGCTGCGCAAATAAGCTCCAAGCGGCTAGAGATTCTACCGCGACTATTTTCCCTTGCGACATAGGAACTTGAGGCGTCCAGCAGGAAATGAATTAAAAAGGATGAGGAGAAAGAGACGTGAATACAAGGTGAATGAACTAATGAAGGTGTGATGCGTTGACGTATGTACATAAAAGATGTGTACTTGGGAGGAAAGTGAATTGTGCTGCTGGGGTAGGCAGCATACCAGTAAGGACATGGATAATATGATAGACCCGGCGGAAGGAGGAGAGTTCATGAAAATCGGAAAGATTCAGAGACACAATTGGTATACACACTCACTTTCGAATCAAATGCTTGAGTTTGGTGCGTCGAGTTCTGGGGATGTGGCGTCTTGTACATTTAAGGCTTCACCTGGTTGTCTCTGTCGATCTAGTCACGTACTTGGTCGGAGAAGACTTTCAGTGCCATGAATATCATGACTTTGCGTGTCTTGACGCTATCTCAATGCCAAGTGTGAAGGCGTGAAGACACGCAAAGAAACGGACCTATATCTGTCAGGAATATGACGAGAGCTACGCCCGTCGCAAATCGCGAGAAACTGGAATGCGCAGTCAAGGCATCGAGCAAAGATCGGTTGAACAACGGTTGAGGCATCCACGACATTCGGCTAAAGCCGAACGTCTGGATCAAACCCCCCAACGGACGAAACTCATATCAAGATTCAAGACCTCCAACTACACAGCGTTACCAATATAGTCTCTGTCTCCATATTAAGCGTGGCTGAAGAAATAGTAGCCTCGTAGTATTATTTTGTGGTTCGGCGTCCTCAACTTCGAATTCTGGTAGTAAGCTCGAGCACTGGATTCAGCTCCTTGCCTGGCCAATTTTGGATATTCCACAATATTGTGGCGAGGACAATATGTGCGACAGCTGAGTCCAGACCGTATTGCACCACAATCCTCGTACTAGTATCAGCCAGAATTTTTTGTTCCGAAGCTTTGTCGCGCAGCGCTTGAGTCAAGGGCTCAAGCTCGCGCCACATTTTTTTGATCAGGCAATAATAACCACTACGATGTCTGGAATATTTTGCCGAGGCGGCAAGCATCGCTAGGAAGTATAGCTCGTACCGCTAAGCCAAACGCACCGGAGCCCGAACCACCATAAGCCCCAGCCAAGAAGTTTACAAACTACCATCTGGTTTGTAATACACGGTGCGAGCTGAACATGCTTCCAAAGGAAACCACAATGATGAACGTAAACATTTAACAAACCACAACATACAAGCTGCCCCGCCCCGCCCATGAACCAAAGACTCAAGAGCCTTATTCAATACTAACAACCGTTCCGAGTACATCAAAACCCTCCAGCATAATAGCCTAGACCCACGCTGAATCAGAGCTCGAGTCTCGCAGAACATAAAGGATGGACATACCTGCCACTACATGCCACAGTAACTGGCAGCTACCTGGGTGGCTTCGACAGCAAATTTACCATACCCGAGGCCAGTCAACTCATAGAACGTCAGCGGGGAGACATTGTACGTAGTAGCTGCATCGACAGCGGTCATAAAGATGGTGGTAGTGCCGCCGCCGGGCGCGGTGTACTTGATGCGCCAGCAGGTGCCGCACAACGGGGAGTTCCAGGTAGCACCTGGGATAGCTCCGATGTTGGGGAATGAAGGGATAGAACCGAAAGTGGTATACCCCTTGGTCAAAAGACCGTTCGCGCCGTCAGAACATGAGACGGTAGTGAGGGACGTTCCAGCGTTGCTATACACAGGGTCGTATGTGACATACCCGGGTACTGCGAACGCCGGGAGGACTAGGGCAGAGAGAAGAGTAACAAGTGTAAACTTCATTTCGAAAGAGCTGTTTGATGTCAATATTGTGCAGAGGCTTGAGATGCAGAATTTCAAGATTTTTTACTCACTTTTATATGTCGAGGCAACACGTTAGACCACAGAGCGAGACCTACTCAATACATATGTGCAGGTGAACGGCAGCAGGTCGGTGACATCTGCATGACCTCCCTTGATTGCCACCGAGTTATTGAGTACACACCTGAGCTGAAAGGAGCGTATGTGGCCAAACATGGCATTCTCATTCCAATCAGGCCAAAGGCGGTGTGTGCAAAAGTGGCCTGCGCGGGTGCAACAAAACCAAGAGAAAGGTCAACAGCAGATGTCAAGATGGAATAGAAACTCCGGCTTTCGAAGGGAAAGATACTTTCCGTCTTGATTGCAAAGAGAACATCTGATAAAGAAAGGTTCAGTGAACAGCGGACCATGATGGAGGAAGTGCTTACCTATTTCCAAGTTCAATATTCACATGTTGGAGCCGCCAAACTGGCATAGACCACCGTCACAATAGTTTGGGGTGTGCGTTGATTCTCAAAGTCACCCGCAAATTCAGGTCAGCTACATTCTCTCCCTAAGGAGTTATTCCTCCTAATATGAATTAGTTATGCTCCGCGTGACGAAAGACTACGACCGGAGGTGGTACTCAAATAAAGATGGTCATGATGCATCTTGAAGCAGAGGTAAAAACACCATATAACAGTTAACACTGACTGCGCTCCGTATACATTTTCTATCATAGAAACATATCTTAGTGCGACGATGATCGGGATCAACAGAAGAAACTATATGTGCATACCCATCTGAAAATGTAATGCTGTATCGTTCGAGGAATGTCACCAGACACTTTGGGTGACGGCCCGTTTCAAGTTCCGGCCTCTCCTCGTGGTGCTGCGCAAAAAAGCTCCAAACGGCTTGAGATTCTACCGCGACTATTTTCCCTTGCGACATAGGAACCTGGAGCGTCCAGCAGGAAATGAACCAAAAAGGATGAGGAGAAAGAGACGTGAATACAAGGTGAATGAACTAATGAAGGTATGATGCGTTGACGTATGTACATAAAGGATGTGTACCTGGGAGGAAAGTGAATTATGCTGCTGCAGAAGGCCGCATACCAGCAAGGATGTGGATAATATGGTAGACCTGGTGAAAGGAGGAGAGTACATGAAAATCGGAAAAATTCAGAGACACAATTGGTATACACACTCACTTTCCGAGTATCTAGAATCAAACGCTTGAGTCTAGCGCGCCGAATTCTGAAGATCTGACGTCTTGTACATTTAAGGCTTCACCTGGTTGTCGCTGTCGATCTAGTGACTCTAGTCACGTACTTGGTCGGAGAAGACTTTCAGTGCCATCAATATTGTGACGTTGCGTGTCCTGACGCTATCTCAATATCGAGAACCAGTAAGAAGCGGTCCTAATATAAGATATCTGCCAGGAATATGTCGAGAGTTACGCAAATCGCGAAAAAAAACTGAAATGCGCAGTTAAGGCATCGAGCAAAGACCGGTTGAACAACGGTTGAGGCATCCACGACATTCGGCTAAAGCCGAACGCCTGGACCAAACCCCCCAACGGACGAAACTCATATCAAGATTCAAGACCTCCAACTACACAGTGTTATCAATATAGTCTCTGTCTCCACGTTAAGCGTGGCTGAGAAAATCGTAGCCTTGTAGTAATATTTTGTGGTTCGGTGTCCTCAACTTCGAATTCTGGTAGTAAGCTCGAGCACTGGATTCAGCTCCTTGCCTGGCCAATTTTGGATATTCCACAATATTGTTGCGAACCACTATAAGCCTCAGCCAAGAATTTACAAACTACTGTCTGGTTTATAATACACGGTGAGAACTGAACATGCTTTCAAAGGAAACCACAATGAACATACGTAACAAAGGTGTCCGTCGAGCACCCAAAAACATTCAACAAACCACAACATACAAGCTGCCTCGCCCCGCCCATAAATCAACGAATAAAAAGAACCTTGTTCGATAATGACAACCGTTCCCAGCACTCCCAGCAGGATAGCCTACACTCGCGTTAAATCAGAGTTCAAGCCTCGCAGAATTTAAAGGATGGACATACCTGCCACTACATCCCACAGTTGCTGGCAGGGACACGAGTGACTCCGGCAGCAACTTTACCGTACCCGAGGCCAGTCAACTCATAGAACGTCCGCGGGGAGAAATTGTATGTAGTAGCTGCATCGATAGCGGTGATGAAGATGGTAGTTTGAACACCGTCGGGGGCTGTGTACTTGACACTCCAGCAGGTGCCGCACAAGTCAGAATTCCAGGTGGCACCTGGGATAGCTCCGATGTTTGGGAATGAAGGGATAGAGCCGAAGGTGGTATACCCCCTGGTCAAAAGACCGTTCGCACCGTTAGAACAAGAGACGGTGGCGAGGGACGCACTAGCGTTGCTATACACAAAGTCGTATGTAACATACCCGAGTATTGGGAATGCGAACGCTAGGGGGGTGATGACAGAGAGAAGAGCAACGACGAGCGTAAACTTCATCTTGAAAGAGCTGTTGTGATGCAAATATTGTGCAGTGACTTGAGATGTAGGATTTCAAGAATTTTTACTTACTTTATATGTCGAGGCGAAGCGTTAGATACTAGAGCAAGCTCCACTTGGACAGGTGGTTGGCAGCAGGTCACCGATATTTGCTTGACCTCTCTTGTTTGCCACCGAGATATTGAGTACACCCCTGACTGAAAGTAGTGTCGATGGCCAAACGTAGTATTCCCATTCCCTTCATCGTACAGGTGCGGGTGCGCAATGGTGACTGGCGCGGGTGCAACGGAACCAAGACATGACCAATGAACGAGTCAACAGCAATCAAGATACCATAACACCCCCAGATGCTTGAAGGGAATGGTACCTCCGTTTTGACTGTAGAGGGAAGAATTTTGAGGACTGTCATCTGACATAGAAAGGATCATTGAATAGGGGACGATGATGAAATAATTACCAACTTATGTCCCACACGTCAGGGCCACCAAACTGGCATTAACCACCCTCATAGTAGTTTAGGGTGCGCACTGATTTTTCAGTCACTCGCAAATCCAGTTCAACTATGCATATGCGACACTGGCGACATTTGATTTCGGTGCACGTGGCACTCAAATAAGGATGGCTATGACGCATCTTTGGAAGAAGCAGAGGCAAAACATCATATGACAGTTATAGTGGACAATATGTGCGGCGGTCAATGACCCACCCAGTCACTGAGCGATGAGTGACATGCGTAGTACACACCAAAAATGTATGTAGCGTTCCGGGAATGTCACCAGACGTTTTGGGTGACGGCCTGTTTCAAGTTCCGGCCCCTCCTCGTGGTGCTGCGCAAATAAGTTTCAAATGGCTAGAGATTACACCGCAACTCACCATGTTCTTCTGCGAGTGGAGTGATCTAGGCACCTGAGGGCGCCCAACAGACAATGAACTAAAAAAGACGAGGAAAAAGAGAAGTGTATACTGAACTAATTTAGATGCGATGTGCTGAGGTGTGTACCCAAAATATGGGTGGTTGAAAGAGTGGACTGTGCTACTGGACCAGTAGCCCACATGCTATAGCTAGTAGTAGCAAGGATGTGGATATTGCGAATATAGACCTGGCGAAAGGAGGATGGTCGTCGGAATGACACAATTGTGCTCAGGGACAGGCACTTGTAGGAAACACAAAGACAACAGGTGGCAGTCTCTGCGTGGCATTGCAGGCTACATAAATAGTTGAAAAACCGTTGGCCGCCAGTGGTTTCTTGACGTTGTGGTGTCTTCAGTGTCACGGCACACTTGCAAGTGGCACTGGCACGTGTTGAACGACGCTTTCTGAATCGGGAACTGCCGAAAGCGCGTCTTGCTCTCTCACCAGATTGGCAACAAGATGGCAACAAACTCCCCACCGTCCGTCATACTTACGGACGCACTCGCATCTCTGAATAAGGCAGTAAACATCGCAGTAAGTTTAACGTCCTCAATGCTCTTCGAGATTCATTGACCTTGCATAGTTCACGAGCATACAAGACCAAACACGTCTAGAAGTCACACAAGCAAGTGCTGAAGCACGGGAAGCGCGTCGTGAACGGGATGAAGCCATTAAAGCTCTCCATGAGCTTAGGCTTGATGAGCAGGCATGGAGGCAAGAGGCTAATGCCCGACAATCTGCTGTATGTCTCCCACTCGGTCCCTGTACATTTACCATATGTAACCTTCCCCCCTGACACAGGTCGAGCAAGCCGAGTTGACTGTACGCCCATTGCTTTGATGACGTAGAAGTACTGAAATTTGCGCGCAGATAAAACACCAGGCAGATACGATCGCTCAGCTTCGCTATGAGTCCGAGCAGTGGAAACAACAGTGTCTCCGTCTCGAAGACACGTCGCGACAGGAAGCCACCAGCTGGAAGGAGCAGTTCCTACGCGTTGAGCAAGAGCGCTATAAGCTCGCAACGCGTGTGAATGAGCTCATTGAAGAACAGCATTCTGTACGATCCACTCTCATTTCTCGAATTTTGAATCTGACATCCACGCAACAGCATACTGTCCAAACACACGCGTCCATCACCCCATTCACGACAATGCTCCGTCACCCCAATGCAACCGCAAGCACAAGCCTTAGCGACCCATCCGCATCTACGCGCCCTCGTTTTCCTCCCTATACCTCCGAACTTCCTGACGAATCCATATCCGCATCGACATCCAGAGCATCCAAACCTATATCCACACAACAACTGCCCACTCCCATTTCTGCGAACCGCAGGGCCTCCGGAGATAAGTCAAAGCAGTACCTAATCCGACGCGTCCAAGCTGTGATCGAGGTGCCCGTAAAGGAGGAGAGTGTGGAGAACACCATGTCTGATGAAGCACCGTCTGCTTCAACTTCTTCTGCATCATCATCAAGCTCGGGTTCAGCATCAAGAGTACCAGGACCTAGTAGACCAACTTCAACCTTCTCAAGTAAACCTATACCGAAGCCCAGCAAACCTACCAGTGTCCCTAACAAAACTGGACAGGGCCATGACAAGGTTGTATCAGCCACCAGCAAATCCATACCACTGCACAACAAGCCTACATCGGCACCAGCACCGTCGAAATCCACAGCAAAACCTAGTAAACTCACACTCACCGGGACTGGCAACAAACCACCATCCAATCCTGCTACCAACAAACCTACCTCGTCCCGTCCCGTCCGCAAAGTGAGCACTAAGCGGCAGTATGTTGAGATCGAGGATGAAGAAGATAAGATGGCGGAGCAGTCCAAGTCAGGTAGTGATGCGACTATCGGAGACGAAGTTGATTCTTCAGAAGAGGAAGACGACGAGCTGACGCTTGGCGCCGAGGTACATTCCCTCTATTACGAGAATTTGGCTCAGCATGCTGACGCCAGCGCTCGCTAGGAAAACCGTCGCGAAGTTTACGGCACCAAGCGCATTCGAGTCGCATTAACGAGCGGTATGAAGGCCGTCTCGCACGCGCCGGCGAAAAAGAGGAAGCTGATTCCAAGCACGACTGCAATAGCGAGCGGTAAGAAGCCTCCTGCGAAAAGTGCGCGTGGGTGAAAGCCCCTCTAATTGCCCTCTAACGTTTGTGATATCCACGTGACTTGTGCTTTTTATTCTTTGCAACACCTGTTCTTCTAGCCACGGAATCTCCATATCAATTATCGCTATCTACTATGCTCGTGCGAGTGTATATCTCGTTTTGTATGATTACGATGCCACCAAATCCAAGGCGCTTACAAGATACCAATACATAAATGCCCATGAATCCCTGGATGAGATAGTTTCCACCATCACATTACATTGGCCCTCACTCGTCTCCCAAAGTACAGCTGCGCCCACAACAAGACAGACCTATCATGATGATGCAACTGATGGGGAGACTGTGGTACCTCATAACACGGTAAATGATTCATAAACGGATTTGATGATAACCCTGAGATGTCCTTTGAAAGGACCAGGAGTACTGACGACGTCGAGGTTCCAACTTCTCCTGCCCGCCAATCGACTGAGACACCGAACGAGAACCCACAAGATGATCTCGCCAATCGACATTCCACCGAGCAAGCTACTTCAAGCACTAGGGAGCCTCTCTTTGCTGTTGTTCTCCGAGAGATCGCCGCAGATCGAGCGCGAGCTGCTCTCAATGGTGCCAGTGCCGAGAGAGAGCCTATTTTCGGTTATCCTGCCCGAGAGGCCACTGCGGACCAAGTGCGCCTGGCATTGGTATGTTCTCTCAATAGCAAAGCTACATCGAGGCTGAGCGACTCGTGGATTCCCTTAGGAACACGATATAAACCCGTTCACAAAGCAGCCCCGTACTGCGCAGTATAAAAAGATCCTTGAAGACCGCAAAAAACTCCCCGTGTTTACACATATGGCCGAGTTCTACGAGATAGTAAGCCCCGCTCTATCTCACTTCATTCACACAGACTGACGTTCACAGTTCAACAAACACCAAATTATCATCATGGTCGGCGAGACTGGCTCAGGCAAGACCACGCAGTAAGTTGTCACCCCCCTGACGAATATTCTTTCTTGTCAATTCCGAACAATCGCTTATAGACTCTTTTCGTCCCTGCTAGAATACCCCAGTTCGTCGCCTACTCAGATCTTCCGCATACCACGAACAAGATTGTGGCATGCACCCAGACTCGCAGAGTCGCCACCATGTCTGTGGCGGAGCGCGTCGCGGATGAGATGGACGGTCTGTTTGTTTTGCTCCTCGTTCTGACCACATTCTGAGCTCACTTCATCTCCTAGTCCAACTTGGTAAACAAGTCGGTTACTCGATACGTTTCGAAGACATGACCGAGCCCGGCACAACCTTTCTCAAATACATGACCGACGGAATACTCCTCCGCGAAGCCATGAACGACCCCGATCTCAACCGCTACTCCACTATCATCATCGACGACGCCCACGAACGTACACTCGCTACTGACATCCTCATGGGTGTTCTAAAGTCCCTCGCTCGCCGTCGCCCAGACCTCAAACTCATCATCATGTCCGCCACTCTCGATGCCCTTAAGTTCCAGAAATACTTCGCTGGTTCGGATGACGCCCTTGCCCCGCTTTTTAAGGTCCCTGGCCGTATCCACCCCGTCGAGGTGTTCTACGCCCAGGAGCCGGAGCCGGACTATGTCAAGGCCGCCATCCGCACTGTGCTCACTATCCATTGTACAGAGGAACCAGGTGATATCTTGGTATTTCTGACCGGTGAAGAGGAAATCGAGAAGGTGTGCCGTAGCATCAAGTTATCTGTGGACAACTTCATCAAAATCGACTCAGAGTCCGTAGGCCCTGTCGTGTGCATCCCGTTGTACTCCTGGCTACCGCCTCAACAACAGCAACGCATCTTCGAACCGCCGCCCGAAGCAGGCAGCTCAAACGGCCCCCCGGGCCGCAAGGTCATCGTGAGCACGAATATCGCGGAGTCGTCGCTGACGATCGATGGGATTGTGTATGTCGTTGACCCGGGGTTTTCCAAGCAGAAAGCGTACAACCCGCGCACCCGCGTAGAGAGCTTACTCGTTAGCCGGATATCTAAGGCGTCGGCACAACAGCGTGCGGGCCGTGCCGGACGAACGAGGCCAGGCAAATGCTACAGATTATACACGGAGGAGTTCTTCATGTCGCAGCTCGAGGAGGAGACGCGGCCAGAAATCTTGAAGAGCAATTTAGTGAGCACGGTGCTAATGCTTGTCAAGGCAGGAGTTAAGGTGGGCGTAATGTAGGGGGTGATGTCTTTTGAGCTGGGCTGATGTCTGTGTAGGATCTTGTCACGTTTGATTATTTGGATGCGCCAGCGCCGGAGTCGTTGATGAGGGCACTAGAGATATTGAATTACCTTGCGGCGTTGGATGATGATGGAACCCTCACGTCGCTTGGGAGTCTCATGGCTCAATTTCCTCTGGATCCGCAGGTAGGCGATTGTTCTGGTGGCGGGTTTGGTTCTGATGGTTCTGACGCATGTCAGCTCGCAAAGCTGCTGATCGTCAGTCCAGAATTCAAATGTAGCGACGAGATCTTGACGATCACTGCGATGTTGTCAGGTGTGCACACTCAGCCTTGAGGTTTGTTCCCATCTGACGCCCTTGCAGTACCAAATGTATGGCTACGGCCGAGTAACAAGCGAAAAGAGGCGGATGCTGCAAAGGCGCTGCTTACCGTTCCCGGTGGCGACCACCTAATGCTTCTGAACGTGTACAACAAGTACATTCAAAGTAAGCCTCCTCTTCCTACATACACATGATCACTCACAACTACCCCCCAGACCAACACGACAAAACCTGGACATGGACGAACTACGTCTCCTCTAGTGCGTTGTTGGAAGCAGAAAAGGTGCGCGAGCAGCTGAAGTGGATGATGGAGCGGTATGAGGTGGAGCTCGTAAGCATGCAAGATCAGAGGAAGATGTCTTTGGCAATACGGCAGGCGTTGTGTTGTGGCTATTTCATGCAAGTTGCACACAAGGTGGGAGGGAGGGGGAATTATGTGACTTTGAAGGATAATCAGGTGTATTATCTTGGTTTTGGGTTGTGGTTGGCGTGCTGATAGCTGTTTTTTCGTGGTAGGCCGTGGTGCTGCATCCGTCGTGCAGTATTGATACCGTGACACAACCGGAGTGGGTGATTTTCAATGAGTTTGTGCTCACGACGAGACCGTACATACGGACCGTCACGGATGTCCGACCAGAGTGGTACGTACGTCTTAGCACTGTAGTTGTGCATACTGACGCGGATTTGTACAATAACGTTCTGACAGGCTCCTCGAGTACGCGCACTTGTACTTTGATTTGAAGAATTGGCCAAACTGCGACACAAAGCGTGCGTTGGTGAGGGTTGCGAACAAACGCGCGCGGTCAGGGTTAGGGGCGGTTTGACAAGGCAGCGCGACGCTGGTGAAAGTGGTGGAGAGGTTGAGGGGGCATATCTTTTCGTTGTCGTTGTCGTTCGCGTTCGTGCACAGTGCACTTGGCTTTGCTTACTTTCGACCCAGTCTTCGCATTCGGTCCCTTCTTGGTCTTGCTTTGATTCTTGCTGGAATCGCCCATGAACTGCTTCTCGCTAGTCTTCTAACCGTACCTCCAACATGATGAAGATACCAATCATTTGTACTTGCATTGTATATAGGCCTAGTCTTGCAAAGATATGCACAGGTGACCGATCAAACAATTCATTTTTGCACGTTACCCTAATATAGTTAATATCTTACAAATGCCCCGATTCGTCTCCAAAACATATCCTTCAGTTCAACCGATTTTCAAAACCCTCGAGCCAGAAAGTCAGGGAATTGGACACTCTGGGGTCAAAGTCTGGGACGGACTCTGGGGCCAGAGTCTGGGGCTCATCGGCAAGTCCGGCAGAGACCAGCTGAGGTTAAATTTCATCGCTCACGAAGCCTTGCATCATGACAAGTACTATTTGCAGGTACTGGCTAGGGCTGCACTAACTTGAACTAGCATATTCTGACTGACAAGCAATCTTGCCGCTTGGTTCATCGATCGCGATAACAACACCATTGGACTTGCACTATGGGTAGCCATCAACAACAATATTCAATACTACGCCAGGACCTCGGTTGGGCTGGAGCCAAGTCGACCCTACCATGTTTGCGAACGACAAGGACGTGATGCAGGCAGTCATCAATGAACGAGTTTGGTTGGCTCTTGTCGGTAAGTCACTTCTCTGTGCGTGATGCATCTTTGGGCATTCATATTCCCTAGTTGAGACGAACACTTCTGATAAACTGGCTGTCGCGAGGCAAACTGGCAGCTCAAGCGCTCATTGTCCACTATGCTACTGTGTGTAGTGTCAACCCACGCATGACACACGGCCGCTACACGTATGTCTATAGGCTCGTCATGAAGTCACGATCGGCATTGCCGTCACTCCAATCTACAGCAGCCTCCTTGGGGAGATTTCGGCGAAAAAGAGGAAGCTGATTCCAAGCACGACTGCAATAGCGAGCGGTAAGAAGCCTCCTGCGAAGAGTGCGCGTGGGGGAAAGCCCCTGGTGCAGATTGCCTGCGTCTAACGTTTGTAATATCCACGTGACTTATGCTTTTTATTCTTTGCAACACAGCCTCTGTTCTTCTAGCCACGGAATCTCCATATCAATTATCGCTATCTACTATGCTCGTGCGAGTGTATATCTCGTTTTGTATGATTACGATGCCACCAAATCCAAAGCGCTTACAAGATACCAATACATGAATGCCCATCACATTACATTGGCCCTCACTCGTCTCCCAAAGTACAGCTGCGCCCACAACGAGACAGACCTCTTATGATGATGCAACTGATGAGGAGACTGTGGTACCGCATAACACGGTAAATGATTCATAAACGGATTTGATGATCACCCTGAGATGTCCTTTGAAAGGGCCAGGAGTACTGACGACGTCGAGGTTCCAACTTCCCCTGCCCGCCAAAAGACTGAGACACCGAAAGAGAACCCACATGATGATCTCGCCAATCGACATCCCACCAAGCAAGCTACTTCAAGCACTAGGGAGCCTCTCTTTTCTGTTGTTCTCCGAGAGATCGCCGCAGATCGAGCGCGAGCTGCTTCAAGCACTCTCAATGGTGCCAGTGCCGAGAGAGAGTCCATTTTTGGTTATCCTGCCCGAGAGGTCACCGCAGACCAAGTGCGCCTGGCATTGGTATGTCCTCTCAATAGCAAAGCTACGTCGAGGCTGAGCGACTCGTGGATTCCCTTAGGAACACGATACAAACCCGTTCACAAAGCAGCCCCGTACTGCGCAATACAAAAAGATCCTTGAAGCCCGCAAAAAACTCCCCGTGTTTACACATATGGCCGAGTTCTACGAGATAGTAAGCCCCCCTCCATCTCACTCCATTCACCTAGACTGACGTTCACAGTTCAACAAACACCAAATTATCATCATGGTCGGCGAGACTGGCTCAGGCAAGACCACGCAGTAAGTTGTCACCCCCCTGACGAATAATCTTCCTTGTCAATTCCAAACAGTCGCTTATAGACTCTTTTCGTCACTGATAGAATACCCCAGTTCGTCGCCTACTCAGATCTTCCTCATACCACGAACAAGATTGTGGCATGCACCCAGACCCGCAGAGTCGCCACCATGTCTGTGGCGGAGCGTGTCGCGGATGAGATGGATGGTCTGTTTGTTTTGCTCCTCGTTCTGACCACATTCTGAGCTCACTTCATCTCCTAGTCCAACTTGGTAAACAGGTCGGTTACTCGATACGTTTCGAAGACATGACTGAGCCCGGCACAACCTTTCTCAAATACATGACCGACGGAATACTCCTCCGCGAAGCCATGAACGACCCCGATCTCAACCGCTACTCCACTATCATCATCGACGACGCCCACGAACGCACACTCGCTACTGACATGCTCATGGGTGTTCTAAAAACCCTCGCTCGCCGTCGCCCAGACCTCAAGCTCATCATCATGTCCGCCACTCTCAACGCCCTTAAGTTCCAGAAATACTTCGCTGGTTCGGATGACGCCCTTGCCCCGCTTTTTAAGGTCCCTGGCCGTACCCACCCCGTCGAGGTGTTCTACACCCAGGAGCCGGAGCCGGACTATGTCGAGGCTGCCATCCGCACCGTGCTCACTATCCATTGTACAGATGAACCAGGTGATATCTTGGTATTTCTGACTGGTGAAGAGGAAATCGAGGACGTGTGCCGTAGCATCAAGCTCGCTGTGGACGACTTCATCAAATTCGACTCCGAGTCCGTAGGCCCTGTCGTGTGCATCCCGTTGTACTCCTGGCTACCGCCTCAACAACAGCAACGCATCTTCGAACCGCCGCCCGAAGCAGGCAGTTCAAACGGCCCCCCGGGACGCAAGGTCATCGTGAGCACGAATATCGCGGAGTCGTCGCTGACGATCGATGGGATTGTGTATGTCGTTGACCCGGGGTTTTCCAAGCAGAAAGTATACAACCCGCGCATCCGCGTAGAGAACTTACTCGTCAGCCCGATATCTAAGGCGTCGGCACAACAGCGTGCGGGCCGTGCAGGGCGAACGAGGCCAGGCAAATGCTACAGATTATACACGGAGGAGGACTTCATGTCGGAGCTCGAGGAGGAGACGCGGCCAGAAATTTTGAGGAGCAATTTAGCGAGCACGGTGCTAATACTTGTCAAGGCAGGGATTAAGGTGAGCGTAATGCAGGGGATGTCTTTTGGGCCGGGCTGATGTCTGTAGGATCTTGTCATGTTTGATTATTTGGATGCGCCAGCGCCGGAGTCGTTGATGAGGGCACTGGAGCTATTGAATTATCTTGCGGCGTTGGATTATGATGGAACCCTCACGTCGCTTGGGAGTCTCATGGCCCAATTTCCTCTGGATCCGCAGGTAGGCGATTGTTCTGGTGGCGGGTTTGGTTCTGACGGTTCTGACGCATGTCAGCTCTCAAAGATGCTGATCGTCAGTCCAGAATTCAAATGTAGCAACGAGATCTTGACGATCACTGCGATGTTGTCAGGTGCACACTCAGCCTTGAGGTTTGTTCCCATCTGACGCCCTTGCAGTACCAAATGTATGGCTACGGCCGAGTAACAAGCGACAAGAGGCGGATGCTGCAAAGGCGCTGCTTACCGTCCCCGGTGGCGACCACCTAATGCTTCTGAACGTGTACAACAAGTACATTCAAAGTAAGTCTCCTCTTCCTACATACACATTATCATTCACAACTACCCCCCAGACCAACACGACAAAACCTGGACATGGACAAACTACGTCTCCGCTAGTGCGTTGTTGGAAGCAGAAAAGGTGCGCGAGCAGCTGAAATGGATGATGGAGCGGTTTGAGGTGGAGCTCGTAAGCATGCAAGATCAGAGGGAGATGTCTTTGGCAATACGACAGGCGTTGTGTTGTGGCTATTTCATGCAAGTTGCACATAAGGTGGGAGGGAAGGGGAATTATGTGACCTTGAAGGATGATCAGGTGTATTATCTTGGCTTTGGGTTGTGGTCGGCGTGCTGATAGTTTTTTTTCGTGGTAGGCCGTGATGCTGCATCCATCGTGCAGACTGGATACACAGCCGGAGTGGGTGATTTTTAATGAGTTCGTGCTCACGACCAGACCGTACTTACGGACCGTCACGGATGTCCGACCAGAATGGTGTGTATGTCTTAGCACTGTAGTTGTGCATACTGACGCGGATTTGTACATTAACGTTCTGGCAGGCTCCTCGAGTACGCGCCCTTGTACTTTGATTTGAAGAATTGGCCAAATTCCGACGCAAAGCGTGCGTTGACGAGGGTTGCGAGCACACTGCGCGCCAGGTTAGGAGCGGTTTGACAAGGCAGCGCGCGCTGGTGAAAGCGGTGGAGAGGTTGAGGGGGCATGCCTTTTCGTTGTCGTTGTCGTTGTCGTTCGCGTTCGTGCCCTTGGCTTTGCTTACTTTCGACCCAGTCTTCGCATTCGGTCCCTTCTTGGTCTTGCTTTGATTCTTGCTGGAATCACCCGTGAACTCCTTCTCGCTAGTCTTCTAACCGTACCTACAACATGATGAAGATACCAATCATTTGTAATGCACGGGTGACAGATCAAACAATTCATTTTTGCACGTTACCCAAATATAGTTATATCTTACAAACATTTTGCCCCGATTCGTCTCCAAAACATATTGAAACATATCCTTCAGTTCTTCCGATTTTCAAAAAAGGGCCCCTCAAGCACTCTTATGCCTGACGAACTGATTAAACCACCTAAACACCTCGTGGTGCCATTTCAAACTGTCCCAGTCAAAGCATCAGCTCATGTCCAGTGAGTGGAACTGCATACGCACCTATTCCCAGCATTTAACACCCAATGGTTTTCGTCGGGGAAGATCAGAAGGCGGCTCGGGACGCCCAGCCTATATGCGTGTCGATCAGTAAGAACCACCAAACGAAAAGAAAAGAAAAACGCACTGCTGCAACGCATGGAAAGCCGCAATGCCATCTCCCTCAGGAAGCCTGTAATCCTTGCTGCTATGTATCGTCAGCTGCGGGGTGGACCACTTGGCAACGGTGTACGCGGGGCTGTATTTCCGCGATGCTTCGAATGCGGCGGGTTCCCATGGGCGTCCTCCCCATTCGTGGTTGAACTGCGGTGCTTTTAGTGATCAGGGTTGAATAGTAGGTATGGGAGACGCACAAAGAACAGTTCATCAGTGGCATAGCCATTGTAAGTTGTGTCGAATACCTGTTTCATGCCGATGGTCAGTACCTTTCCTTTCGCTCTTTCATGTAGCTCGAGTGAGGAATACGCACACCATCGTGGCAGACTAATGCCTTGAACCCAAATCCGAGCTCAGGGTTGCCTTGAATCCAGCTATGAAGAGCGCAAATCAGGATGCAAGATGATGTTAAGGACAAGAGGAAGAGAACACGCACTTGATCGCATACCCGCCATAGCTTGCACCAGCAGCTACCGTGCGACTTTGGTCAATCTACGCGAAGGAGCTGACGTCAGGATGCGTTGAGTGAGGAAGACGTGGCGCAGAACCTCACCTCTGGGTATTCTTGAAGGATATACTTCCACCCCATCAATAAGTCCTGGATCGGGCGACCTCCCCATTCTTTATTGATACCATCTGTGAAGTCTACGATACTGCGTCAGCACAAGAGCAGACAAGAGAAGAGAGTATCACACACTCTGTCCGAATGAAGTTGATCCCGTTGGATTGATAGCAATGACCACATATCCCTGGCTCGCAAAGACTATAGCAGACGTAGCACAACATTAGCCCACCCCGTGTAACCCAACGAAAGAAAAAAATGTGTACCATTTGGATTCCACCGCGTCGACCACTGATCAAACCATGCGCTCTCCGGGCCCCCATGGATCAACATCACAGCAGGCCACTTCCCATTGACCCCACGTTGGAATCCAGGTGGAGTAATCACATAACCGTGCGTGTCCTGCCCCTTTGCCGTACCTTTGAACCAGAAATCCTTCCCCGGGGAAAGATCTTTGCCCTGGAGCCCTGCGGTAGCAAATGAAGTAAGGCGTTTAAGAATCGTCGCCTCTACATCTGCCTTTCTTCCTGCTAAGAGATCCTGCTCGGTGACATCAAGCCCACTAAGCTCATACACTTCGTTCGGGGAGGTCAGGCTCGAAAGCGCAAAGGTGGCCCTGCCGCCTGGGATCGGCGTGAAGCCAGATATAGAACCGCTGGAGGTGAGCGCTGTGGGTTGAGTGGTGTATGTGGTGTTAGAGGGAGGTGTTGGCGGAATTGCCAGGGCGAAGACCTTGACGCGGGCATGATCGCCCGTTGTGGCGTAAATGAGGGCAGAGGAAGGGGAAAACTAGGATTGGATTAGTTGGCTAGTACGACAACAGAAGTATGTAAAGAAGGTGTATAACGCGTGAAGGAATTATAGAGAATCACAACAACTGGATAAGACTCACGATGATAGAATCAGGGGAACGATCCCAGTCCTCCGTGATGGTGAACTGGACATCCTTGTTGAGGTCGTAGATCACCACTCTAGCGCTGTACACGTGACGTCGACAACGTAAGAAGAAGAAGCGGAGCGGAAGCGAGTGTGTGAGCGGGTGAGAGGTACATGCGTGAATTCAAGTCAAAATAGCACACGGATAGACTGCATAACCCACCGATCACTCTCATGCCCATCAAGAGGAAGTTCCAGCCACGCGACTTTATCGCCAGAGGGGCTGAAGACGGGGGAATGCGTCGCACCTTGGATGCCCGAGGTGAGTTGCCTGAGGTTTGTTCCGTCATGTGCAACAAGGTAAATCTATCTGGCGTGTTAGTATAGAAGGGTCAAAAGAGGTAGTGCACGCACATTTTGCCTGGTGTGCATGGCCTTGGGGAGTTGTGGATCCTTTGCAGTGAAGATGATATGTGTTTGGGAAATATCATAGTCATCCGCCTCACCAAATGGTTCCACGGGGGAAGACTAGTTCAATTCAATTTCGTCACCAGCCCAAAGAGCTGGATCAAGCACTCACGAGTCCCGTCCCCTTCAGCGCGTTCACGTAGGCTTCCCCCAGCACCCACTTTGTACCTGTTTTCGCCAAACTGACCCCAATGAGAGCCTTGCTCTTGGGACCGACCCACGTATCCCATTGGCGTTCAAATGTCTGATCATACACCAGGGCAGTATTGCCCCGATTCTCATATGCCGTGTCCTGCTCTTTTACGGTCTCGACGAGGCCATCAGGATGCACGTATGCGGAGAACACGAGACGCTGAGCGCTAGGACTGTAACGGAAAGCGCTTGCGGTGGTGATGGGGAAGGATCCTACGAGGGAGGAGGTGTCGGAGGTGAGAGGTGAAGTGGTGATGGGAATGGTATAGAGACTCTGTGTGTCATCTTTTGTCACGACGTGTGCGATGGTGCGAGAATCAAGCCAGAAGGCATCACCACCGTCGGGCAAAGGAATGTCATAGATATCGCCATCGCCGAGAGCGACGATGGAGAGTGACTTGTGTGACCTAATGGCCAGACAGTGTTACGACTATAGGAACAAGAAAAAAGGGGGAGCGTACTTGCGATCTTGGAAAGAGTAGGTGCTGATTGGTACGATAGCAAGATCGCCGATGTCGTTTGGCAAGGGAGCACCAGGCCGAGGAAGGGTGAGCATATCTTGCGGGGAGAGTGCATTTGCGCCTTCGCTGAGGGTAAAGTCTGTAGCCATCTGAGGAATTTGCGGAGCAGAAGCTGATGAAATGGAACTGGAATATAATGGCACCTGAGCAGCAAAGCCCAGCTGCAAGAAAGGAAGTATACGCATGGTGCAATTAAGGCGTCTCAAACTGTTTGTATACGCTATTCGTTTACGGTCCAGGCCTAGCTAGTTCAACACGAGGTGGTCAATTTTATTGTTTGCTGTCACTCACCACCGCGTGCAACACACTGGTCAACGATAGACGTCACGGTCGTCGTGCGACTAAACAACCGGCACCGCGTGTTCTCGTGGGTAACGATCACATCAGCTCCCACACTTGTAGATATTCATGCAGACTCAAAATTTACCGCGACCCTCAGCATCACCTGCGGTTTACCAATGTTCTTGGCCAGTTCCACACTCAGATCCATAAAAACAAGCACTTATCTTCCATGTCATATGATTAAAGCAGGGAAGTAATGTGATGTATGAACGCCCTTACTAACTACTAGAGCATGTTGCAGTCCACGATTCACTTAAACTCCGTGTTGATGTTGACGTTCTACGGACTCAACTGCGAACTTCAGCAGCTTCGGAACTATTGTGCACAGTTGAAACCGCCAACGCGGCCCACGCGATGAATCCTTGCCGAACGTAGTAACTAACCGCCAGTGTGAATGACACTGTAGGAGCAAGACGAAGCACCATGCAGGTCAGTCCTTCTATTCTCGTCAGTCTATGTGACACTGACGCTCATGAGTGCTTTCCCTCGTCAATGGAGGTCAGTCCGGGCCCCGCCGATAATCCTCTCACCGTGATCGGTGAATATGCTGCTTCCTGGTAGTGACATCACATGATTAACCTCATATCTTATCAAAAAAAAGAGCGGTATTCGGAATATGCCGTTAGTTGCAAGGTGTCCGCACCAGGAATGGCCACGAGGCTTGAACCCGATCTCGATGGACTGATGTCAACAATGCAATTTCCGCGTTGCACAGAAGAACACTGCTTTTCCAACGCGTCAGTGCTTCCCTTACGGTCCGTCTCCTCGTTTGGTTTATTCGAAGACGGAAAATAATGAAAGACCGCGAAGAATGATTGTCATCCTTTACGAGGTTTTTTTGGTTTATGGTAAGTGTACCGTCGCATGTCAGGTAGTACTGTATCGTGTCGACGATACGAGACTTGAATCGACCGTTTCGTTGTCCTTTTTATACAATTGGAATGTGCCGCGATCTCTCACTGATCACCACGGGGTCGCTGTGGAGACCACTTCTGGTCCTGTGCGTGTGCTGACCGTTGAACGTTGATGGATGGTATCATTCCCGACAGACGTTTCGTTCTGCCTATCTCAACGGATGCGATGTCGAGCTTGGCTGTGATTGGCTCGCATTTGTTCATGCAAAATTCGATGGCTCCCGATTCCGACGACCTTCCTCTGAAGGTACGCGAACTCGATTTTTCTTCAAATGAGTCGTTCTCTGATTTTTCATAGATAACAAAATTTCTTCGTTTGTTGTTACGGACGAAGAAGTTTCAGTTGCCCAAGCGGGTTCATCTAATGCTGTCTTCCATTTGCTGCCAAATACTATTATCTGTATTGACGATACGAGACTCGAATCGACCGATTACGATGACCTTCCGACATGGATGTCGCGCACCTTTCTGCTGGTCACAGTTGGATCGTCCAGCCTGAAGGTACGTATACGAGTCATTCTTTGATTTTTATAGAGCACACAATTTCTTTAGTACCTGTTATAGACGAAGAAGTTGTTTCAATTGCCCAGAGGGGGTTCACGTGTAGCTACCCAAGTGAGTTCATCTAATGCTGCCCAAGCGAGGATATCTCCCTTGCAGGAGACAACATTTATTGCGCACATCCTTCAGGCAGCAACCCCGCGGTATTGGAAACGGTACCCGCAGATTCTCGAACAACTCGAGGTAATCTCGTGTTGGTGATGGCGCAACTTGATTAAAAAACAATTTCGCTGACTGCTTGTACATCCGGGATTGAAATTTCTTTTCATGACTTCCAAGGTCATCACCAATGTCAGAATCGATTTCGCAGTGGGGATGCCCTTCCTTGATGTATTCGTAACACACATTTGAATCGAGTACAATTGCGATAGCAAAATCAAGACCGATAATGATTGCAGGAAGCGAACCGTAGCAGGCTCTGCCGCGAGCGGCCCTGTGCGTTATTTTAAAATTGAGTGCTGCAGACAAAATCACGAAATAGTGGACCATCACGAATTGAGCGGCCCTCTGCGTTATTTCAAAATTGAGTATTGCAGACAAAATCACCGAATAGTGGACCATCGCGAATAGAGCGGCCCTCTGCGTTATTTTAAAACTGAGTGCTGCAGACATCACGAAATAGTGGACCGTCACGAATAGAGCGTAACCCATAGTAAACGTTAGCAAGGCCCCTGCCAACAAAGTTTGACCCTTTCCTCTATATCTAGTTTAAGGTGACCAGCCCGTCTATCGCCGGTTTGCCGTTAGTTATCGATGGTTTGCTTCATTGGATGGGCTGGAAACCAGTCTAGGCATATATAGGGTATTGAGGAGATTTGGTAATTGTGAAGGAGATGAGAAGAATGTGAATATGAGAGCGTGTTCTCTACCTAGACCCCGCGGGAACCTTTGGTCTCTTATCACCCGTGACTCTGCCCTTTGCCTTATCCATTCTCTGCCATCGTCCCTGTGGGACATCCCGTTTAAGCGCTCCTACATCAAAGTTGTCGCGCGCCACGGGAGGGTCGAGGATGCTATAAAGGTAGGCTTCTAACTCGAGCTATAGACTCAATATTGTGCGATTGCAAATATGCAGCTCTACCAGGGTGCGCAAGGCTACCAGCAACCTGCGAAGCAAAGTAAAATCGCATCGCAGAGGCAGTACCGAGTCAAACAGGGTGACGGGTTCCAGGAACTCCGCGAAGTTATTGGTTCAGTGACAGGAGAAGCTCCCCGGACCAGGCGCGAAACCTTGAAGAAAGGTTTACAAATTTGTTCTGAAATACTATTTGCTTGCATGCTTGCTCATCCCCTTCACAGCTGCAGAACTGCTGCGGCAGTTGTCTAGAGAAAATGGGGCAAATTCCAGGCATGAGTCACTCCCACTCTTGGAGCCCTCGTCAGCAGCGCCCAATGAAGTTGACCAAGGATCTCACATGTTTTATGGTACGCATCTTTGGGTCGTCGGCGACAGGTCCTCACAGTGTATTCTTAGAACCTCTTGTCATCCCCAACGAGACTTGGACAAACACTATTGCACCGTGGATAATGAACAGTAGCCAAATGCCAGACACATTGGCAACGAGCTCGATGCCAGAGTATCATGGCTATCCTCAGGAAGAGATCCACCATACAGGTCATGGGGGGGATTGGAATTTGGCTCCACAACCACCTTCATAATTTCGACGGTCCTCATTCTCTGCGCAGTAGAACGACCTGTCGCTCATCCACTCGAACGTAGAAAAGGTGGGAGAGAATTAGACTGCATCTCGGAATTCGAGGAATCCCTGATACTTAGTTGTAGTATATACCTAACTTGATCATGATCTTGCGGATTCACGTACCTTGTACTTGTAGCTTCTACGGGTATTGTTTTTGCATATTTGCTGGACCTATAAAGTGTATGGTGACTTGTGATCATACCCAACGAGATGGCGAGTGAGAGAAGCACGATCGTTCGACATCCTGGTTGTTCTATGGCAAAATATGCAAGTCAGCGAGGTCACCAGGCTGGGGTGGTACTGGGGGTATGTACTCGCAATCAGTCGCAATATCTAATTCGTTAGAAGTCAGCGGTGTTCAAGTTGTTTTACAAACTCCGCTTCCCAGAAGCTCAAGAGGTTTTACATAACATCTTTGGGGGCCACTACTGGACAAAATTAATTTGTGACCTGATTGTGAGTAAGAATGATGAATCACAGTGAATAACGGTGTATGACTCTAACCTAGGCGCAGTCAACAACTTACAAAGAAAACCAAATGCAGGAACCTTAACGCAAGACCACCGTGGGCCATGTCCAAGGACAAGTTAAACACGTTTTTACGTATCTGGATATTAGTTTTGGAAGGTACCACTCTGTTTTTGGTTTGATCAGACTTCTTTTGCTTTTGTCTTCCGCTTTGATTACGCACTCGACTTTGCACGTTACTGAGTCAATGGACGCTAACGCTGGCAGTGGCACCCGCCGCAAATACATGTGATACCAATCCAAACTATTCGCACTGCTTACACCGGAATTGGCCAACGGGTGAATATTGCCCTTCGCTCACAAGTCGGTGATGCCGCTTGCCTGGGGGCGCAGCGAAATGAGTGTTCGACACAGAGGATTCCTCCATGCCAAGATGGGTGACGAGAACCTGAGCGACCACCACAATTGAGAGACGACACATAGATAATTTGATGCAAGTACCTTCGAAGCATGTTCTCTGGCTGGACCTTTTTATATCTGGAGGACGCAAGGTTGGTAGACAACTTGGATCAGCGCCATACTGTTCTATCCTCACTTTGCATTTTCTGCAGTGGCTGGACCAGCACGAAAAAACTTCATCACTGAGAGATTTTGCACCCGTCGCACTTAATTAGCAAGGGGGGAGGATCATCGTCCACGACTGACTCATCACTCATCATGGTACCGCCAAGCTAAATAACCAGCAACTGAAGATACGCCCTACTTTCTGTAAAAATACACTTTGCAATTTGAACAAGGCGTAGTGAGCAAAGGGAGATCGTTCGTCCGGGACGAGCTCATCATAGTACCATTTGAAAAGTCAGTCTAAAAGAAAAAAAAACACAACCGACCGCTTCCGTGCTCTCCAGTATTGATCTGCCCTGCTGCGGGTGGTCGTTGTGAATCGGGATTTGGAGGAGAAACATAGTCTTCGTCACGAATCCATTCATTGTCTTTGGCGGGAGCATCGGCTGAAGCATTCCGCTGTAAACGGATGCGTGAGATCCAGCAAACAGGAGGGACCTCGACAATAGCCGGTGATGCCCGACCTGTCCGAATGGGCCACCAGGATTGGGTAGTGGGCGGTACTGGTGGGGGCCGGGACTAGAAAATGAAATATAAGTCAAATATGTGAATATGGCAATCCCTACTTACGTCCTCATGGAGATTTATATGTGAATGAGGTAGGGACGCTATAGCGGGGAACTGCAAGCGGACCGTCGAGTCAATTGTACATGAAGCAAACAGATAAAGGAAACGTACGTCCAGGGGATTACGAAGCCCGTCCGTTTTTTGTAAAGAGGAAGACCGTCTCGAGATGACGAGCAGTGCTATCAGTGCGGATTAGTAGATCTTGAGAGAACATGGTGAGTATCTTCTGAATGCCCAATTTGAACGAATCTGCACGACCGGCAACATAGTGTCCCTTAGAGATGTCGACAATTTGACGACCGACGCTCAATCTTTGAAGCTATCCAGCTGACATAAATGACCTGCCTGCAGTTTTAATGCCATGAAATTATATACTAGCATGACACGTATTACAAATACGAGCATTTGACTAGCGGCACGAGTATTTAAAGCTTCACCTGAACAATAAGATCGCACACGACGTACCTCGAACCCAACGTAGCATTTCTTCATAATTAGCACGGCGTACAGAGCATACCATGCCCTTTTCACAGTACTCTGCAAGACCTCTAAACTTAAGTGTCAGCCAGTTTTTTGTGCATTTACGTTTAAAAACCGCGATCGTCGATTGTTCGTGCGCAATTTTGCATCCAAATCTCGCATGTCCTTGCATGAAATGGTCCACGAACACCTTAGTATGATTCATCCGGGTGAGCTTTTTCTTGATGCTCTCTAAGGACGCTGCAGTACACCACCGGCGCCGTTGAAGGTCATGAAGGGATTCTTCACGCGTACGTACGGCCTTCATATTGTCTCGAACGACGTTTTGAATAGAGCTGTGGCGGTTGAGCGCCCCTGAAAAGCAAGACAAGGTCAAGACTTGCGGAGAGGAGATGACACAATGGTAACTGAAAAGAGGACCCGCGAGGACTTGGCAAGCGCTCAATTAATGGCTGGAGCCCTGGAAGATCTGAATAGATGACATTCAGTGCGTGCTCGTAAAACAATCAACATGTCCTTGCGAGAATTGTCAACGACCTATAGCCAGGTGAAGACACAGGTACATGAGTGGGTTCAGGAAGTGGAATTCGAGGCTGTCTTCAAAAAAAACATGATTTCCGCCGAGTGGTCAACATTGCTCCGGTTCATCTCAGAGTATACTAGCTAGCCTGAATGTCAGCAGCATAGATAAAGACACATAAGAAGACTCACTCACGTTGATCAACGGCGTAATGCCAGTCGCTGCCAAGCAATGTCAAGAAGAAAATCAAGGTGAACCTGTGAATAAGCTAAAACGGGACTTCGTAGCCAAAAGTGAAGATGAATTTGTTTGTCGCGCTTTGGTCTTGACTTAGTCTTCCACATTGCCACTTCAGGATAAGACCTCGCTCACGGGGATTCACAGTGATTGATGTAAAGTTGAATCCTTAGCCAAAACCATTATACATTTTCAAAGTCGTATGTTTTTGTCCAATACGGTCCCCCATAAACATCGCGGTCTTTCTCCCAAGGATGGGCTTATGGTCCCAGATCAGAGAGCGACCTTCCCCTCCCACTTGGAGATTTCGGGGGGCATTTCCTGCCGCATCGCCAATCAACTTTCGCGTTCGACTTATTGACTTTGGAATGCTGGCTGCGTCCTATCGCCGACAGGCGGATTGAAGGCACAGAGGCACATGCAAGCATTCATCTCTGAGGCTTTGAGATTCAGACCACCCTTGCCTAACGGTAGTGGGTATCTTCCTTTTGGTTTTGTCTCTGAAATTTAAAACATTGGCTCTGCAGCATTGGCTCACCGAACAATCCACGACGTGATATGGGCAAGTGACCCTTAACAGCTTTTCGAATGATGAACTGGCCCATCAGGAAAACTATTGCATTCCAGCTGGGACCACGTTGTTCAGCAACCATTGGTAAGCATCGTGCCTCAAGATACCAAGGATCTAACGGTCACTGCCTTAGGTCGATCTCTTAAGATCCAGACATCTACCCGGAGCCCTACGCGTCCAAGCCTCAGCGCCGGATCGACGACCAAGAGAGACGATTTAAAATTCTTCGTTTATGGATTTGTTCGGCGGTAAGCACCGCCTTTCAGTTACATATTCATTCTTTGGATGTATTGCGGTGACTTTGGCGTATGCCCCGCTGAACATGAACATGTCGTGAATAGGTAAAGCTACTCTTGCATGCACATCGTTTTTCGAACTCACTCTGACCAACACAGTTTTGTGTTCATCAACTCGCTCCTTATTATATGAGCCTTCCAACTCACTCTATATGATATCCTACGAATCCGTTGGATGTCATGGGATTCCTGAACGAGGCGACCTCCATTGTCCCGCCATGCGCAATTGAGTTTGAGAGCAGGATTCCAGACTCGGAGCTCAGGAGTATGATGCAACATTATCCTTAGATTGCATGAGAAGCTTTTCTGCCTGGATGGGTCAGGGACAGAACGAAGAACTGGTTCCCAACGCATCACCAATATCGGTGCACCCCTCCGTAGGGTGATTTCGCAAAACAGGTAGACAAAACTAATTCCTACCCTGGTGTTCTGTCAGGGCTCACTTCGAGTACTCGAGTGGTACATATCGGTGTTTTTGACAATAAGCGCCCTCGTTGGCCTTGTTCTTAGAACCTTCCAGCTCTGAATCCTTTTTACAAGAAAAATCTCGAAGGTGGCCTTTGATGTAGACAATAGCAGATTCCGCTGCAGCGAATCTCGAAATTTACACTTGTGTACATGCCCTATGATAGCACATCAAATCTAGCCTGATACTTCAGTAATATTATCTGCAACTGCTGGCAAGCGCCGATGATATACAAGCTGTATTGATCTGAGACGCTGTTGTTCTTCGAGAACATTCGTGGACCCTCAAGTTGCCAACCTTGCTGTATCACCAAGTCCTGACTCGGACTCCAACCTGACTCTTCATCTTCCTTTTGACCAGTACTAGTTCTACTCGTAATGCCGCTTAACTACTCCAAGTGGGATCAGCTCGAGCTCTCTGACGATTCCGATATCGAAGGCCACCCGAACGTTGACAAGCGTTCTCTCATCAGATGGAAGCAACGCGACATTCATGAGAAGCGCGAAACTCGCAAACTCAAGATAACAGCCCTCCGTGCAGAGATCGCATGCAATGGCGTCCTTTCCCCCCGTCTTCACAGTGCCCGCGCTACATTGGGCAGCGCAGACGGCGGGTTGAAGTTCTTCCAACAGTTGGTAGAGAAATTGCAAACACAGCCATCTCCAGAGGCGCCGCCGACGAATGCCAAAGATCAACCGACCTACGACGCAATGATGTTGTCTTTGCTTCTGCAGGTTTGGGATGGCGCCAAGAGCCTTCCTGCAGATGAGCAGGAGGCTGCCGTAATCAGTGGTCTCGATAAGCACATCAAACAACTTGCAGATCACACAAAGAATCTGGAGAAGGATCTTGTTGAGGAGGAGAATGAACAAAGGAAGCACATCACAAGTGAAGATATCCACGAAGGATTCGAGAGCAAGGTGAGAACAGTATTCCATTATCCTTCATTGATGGTATTCATGACACTCCCGATAGTATACTCCCGCGAAACCTCCACCTCCACCCGTAAAGAATGCTAAAATCGACGCGCCAACAAAGACTACGACAGCCAAAACCACTGAGTTCGAGGTGCTCAACCCTGCTGCCTCGAGTTCTAAAGCACCACCTCCATCGGCTCCGAAGTCTTCTCCACACACCGAGGAGGAAGATGAAACTGAGGAGGAGCTACCAGAACTCACACCTTCTCTTGAACGATTCTCCCGTTTATCGTTATGGGATTACGAAAAATCTTTCACCTTTATCCAAGCAAATCGCGACGTCGTTGTTCCCGGTGCATCCGACGCTTTACTCGTTGCGGCTTTCCGTGCAGAGTCAAAGAGCCGGTTCGAATACGCAAAGCAATGCGTGCATCAAAGCTTACTTCTGCAATACTGCGAGAAGCTAGGCAAAGATGGCGTCCGGCTATTTTTCCAGAAGCAAGTGCCTGATTCCTGCATAAGCCAATGTACAGATGCTAATTTGACCATTTCATAGGATGATCACAGGCGACCAGCGCGCTGTCTCTGTCTTCGTCAAGGACGTCGAAGGCACATATTCTCACCTCAAGACGCGTGCAAAAGCAGCAGCAACGGAGACTTCTGATACGCAGAAGGAGCAGATACAACTTGTGCCCGAGAACCCATCTGCATCCATTTCGTTCAACGTGCCTGATGGTCCTCCGCCTGAGGACTTGCGACTCGAGGGTCCAGGGACGGAGGACCTGGAAGTCGAACAAGTTCGCGAAGCATTGCAGATGCGGTGGGATGTTTTCGAGAGCTTCCCCGATGACCTCAAGGCGGCGCTCAAGGTTGGGACTCTGGAGGAGGTCAACAAAGTGCTGGGTAGTATGGACGTTACTGTTGCGGAAGACGTAGTGGAAAAGCTTGATATGGCTGGTATTATGAGCTTCGTGTCCGGAGGTGTTCGGGACGAGACTGGGGATGCAGACGAGGAAGAAAACGAAGAGAATGCTGAGTAAATCGAAGGAGTACATGTTTCTGGTTGATCTTGTTGAAACGCGTACATATTGCTATGTTGTATAACTGCTTTCGAAAGAAGAGTCTGATGCTAATGTACACCTTTGGTCTATAAATGTCTTTCTCACCGACTCACTTAAACTTGTAATTTCGTTCCAATTGTTTCATATGAAAATATGCTCAAGCCTTGGTTTTTTCGTACTACCAGTGGAGCGCAATACAAGGTGGTGGTATGCCACCTAACTGTGAGTGCTCAGTGAGGAGTGGCAGGAAGCTTTGAAGTTGGAGTGTCAAAACGGGTACTGGTTTGGACGGGACGAGTCTATGCGACTAGTCGCATAAAACAGTTGTGGGCACGAAAACCTCCCAGCCGTGCATCCAGTTCTTCACTACTGCCTCTCGAGTTAGCGGCATTCATTGCGTGCTATTGGCGCGTACCTTTGAACTAGAATTTCCATCGAGCCCATAAACCAAACCTAAAGCTACTCTAGCAGCTGCCCTCTTACGTTCCTGCGAGTCAGGCATCCCCGCAATTTCCTCCTTGAGACCCTGAAGCGCACTCAGCATACTTTGCAGATCGAAACGCTCGAGGTCTGCCTCTAATGGGTCAGCGACTTCGACTTCGGACGGCAGGGGAAGATTTTCTTGCAGCGAACGGGTGTCATTTCCTTCAGTGGGAGAGAAAGCAAGGGGTATTGCGCCAAAGATACGCTCTGAGGTGGCAGCAATCTCAGCATTCGAGGGCAAATCGTCACCGGAATCTTCGTGTTTGTGGGATTCCTCTGCCTCTGGGTCTCCAAAATCGGAAACTGACCCTAAAGACCTATAAGATACACCAAGATCCGCATGTAAGCGAGAAGAGTCGTGCTCATCATTTGCTGGCGTCGATCGTCCAGAGCTATCGGAACCAGAGTCGAAGGAGAACGTCGAGCTGAAGCTTAACGAAGGAAGAGGAGGTACTCGTCTCTCAGATGATGTTTGTGCAGACTGAGTTTCAACATCCACCACTGACGCTGAAGCAGACAGGAATGCGGTAAAATCGTCGTCAAAGGCGTTATTGTGGGGGCCCTGGGTAGAAGAATCCTCTGTGGGTGACAAGCTACCAGTCGTGGCTGCGGCACTCCACGGATCATTGCTTATGGTTTTCTCACTTGCATCAAAATGACCATCAGAATGATCTTCGTCGAGCCACCGCTCTAACTCTTCCAGTTCTTGTTGCATGCGATCACGCCCTCCTGGGGTGTGTGTAGCCACGAGGCTGCTGAGGTCTTCTCCCGTATCACGAGTCGTCGCCAAGAGGCCAAGACCCCTTCCTTTGGAGGAGGTTTGTATCATGGACGGCCACATGATTGTGCTCAAGGCATCTATGGCCCGGGCAACCCCTGAGGTGACGAAACTCTTCAGGACGAGTATCTCCTCGTTTCAGAACTGGATACGCTTACCGCCATGATCATGATGAGCGGAAGATGTTGCTGATTTTTGCGCATCGATGAATTCAAACCCCAGTGATCCAAGAAATGTGTCTATTTCATCGTCTTCGGCTCCTTCGTCTTCGGCCGTAGTAGATGGGAGTCGAATGGCCAGAGATACTTCAAAATCATGATGTGATAGGCGTTGTGATATCATCTGGGCATTCTCCCTGTATGGCTGCTCAAAAGTCAGACGCATACAAAAACGATGCCAAGCCTTCGAGCACTCACCTCTCCAGCATTCCATGTATATATCACGGCAGGCACGCTTTCCAACTCATGGTTGTTCGGTATCCAATCTGGGAGCTTATGGACTTCGAAGTGCACACCAGCAGTGTAGTACTTGTTCGCAATAGTCCAAGGGATGATGGTAGACGAATTGTCGGTTGCTATCGGAAGGTCGCCCTGTACCAGTCCTGTATCGGCTCGTCAATGCAAGGAATGACTGCACTGCAGCGACAAACGTGCTTTGCAGAAACTGCAAGGTGTCGTCCTTCGAAGACGATAGAGTGAGGATGCGACAAGAACAGTCTGCCATTCGTTCGGCGGGAATATATAGAGATCAGCCTGAGCTGCAGATGTAAATTCAAATGATTTCCCAGAAAGCCATATGCGAAGCACACGGGGTTACCTGAAGCTATATGTCAAAAGTTCAAGTTGTGGACCGTGGTAAGTGATGAGGAAAGGAAAGACTTGTGGGCTAGCTGAAGAATTGGCGCAATTTAAGTCACAGAAGAGTTCCCACTTGAATTTCGGTTCAACTACGAATTGGCTTGCCAGGCCATTGCTCAATGGCCAGCCGCCACATGGATTCATAGAGGATATACTGCAGGCTGGCATCGTACAGCGACAAGACCACTGTGGTTTTCTGCTTCTCATAATAGGAAACTTCGCGTATCATGATGTACTAGTACTACCAGTAGTATACCGGTACTTGCCATACCTGGTGCCGGGGTCTTGTTGCAGTGGCTGGAGTCTTGGCTCGTGGGGTGCCTTGTGTAAGCCGACTGCTTACCACTTGCTTACGATGTCGCGCGTCATGTGATCCATCCCCTTATATTCAACGATTCTTGTACCGTTCTAATTAGACTCGGGTCTCCTACCTACCATCACATATCCATTAGTACAAAGATCCAAGAATCCACAGTTTCGTCCTGTTATCTCGCTCGATCTGCTTAGTGTTCCTTGTCATTTCCCGGACAAGGTTCCACTTTTTTTTTAACAGAAACGAAACTCGTGTTGTTTCTCTAAACGACTACCCCTCAACCCGCCGGGCTACCCGCCCACTACCTGACCCGTCAAACTGTCTTCCAAAAGAAGAAAACCCACTGTTCCCACTTCCCTGACCACGCGACAACGTGCAAAGAAACAAAGACAACCATCTCCCCCTGAACCGTCTCCACACCCTGAACCATCATCATCACCCTTGACCCCAATCATCTCAAACGCTACGTCTGAAATACGCCACGCTCCCAAGAAGACATATAGCGACTCGTCGTCAGATTCCGAACCAAACCACAAGCATACATCCATCATCCGTTCTCACACCATGGCTAAAACAGCTGCTGTGGAACAATCCGCTCCCAACAAACCGCCGAAACTTACTGCAGGCGAGATTACACCGCAGGTCGCCCATGATTGGGAGAACGCCTGCGAGACATACTTCCTACATAAATCAGTGGAGGCAGCTGACCAAGTCAAAATGATAGCATTCGGCATGTTAGATCCACGCCTACACACCTGGTATTTGACACAGCGAGCCACCCTCGACGCGGGCACGTTTCAAAACTACATGAAGGCTCTTAGAGACGCTTGGTTAGAAAGTCACTGGGCGAACAAGCTACGCAAGAAAGTTCTCGGCTCGCGCCAAGGTACTCGCCCATTCTACGAGTGGGCACTAGACGTGCAAAACCAAAATGCGCTACTCTACGGGAATCCAACGTACCTCGACGAGACTCAGCTCCGTAATCAACTTGAGGCCAACATCTGCGACGAGCTTACCATTCCGGTATTCAGAGCGAAACTCGCTGACGACCTTTCTCTTAAGGATTGGATTGAGGAGGTGAAGCACCTCGACGACGAACGTCTCGAGGATCTAGCCTCCCACAAGAAGATCGCCGAAGAATTACATAGGTCGTCTAGACGAAACGTAACATCCACCATCTCCAACAAACCCTCTTCCACCTACCCGAAAACCTACAACTCATCCTCCCCACGCTTGGGCTCACTAACAGAGGCCGAACGCACCTTATTGGTAAATCATAAAGGGTGCTTCAAATGCCGAAGGTTCTACGTGTCACATCAATCAAAGGACTGCACAAGCGGCGCGCCAGAAGCTTCTTCTTACAAGACGTTAACCAAAGCGGACGCCATCGCAGCAAAACCAAAACAAAAGACCGTGGCCGCTGTTGGACCTGTGGGAGCTGTGATGCCGTCTTCAGTTCTCGAAGACGGGTCCGACTCTGAGGATGATATGTGCGTAGCCCCTTTCGAAACCGCCCACCTTATGTGGCCTTGTCTCTTGACGGGCCCCTCTTCCACCTCTTTTGAACGTGTCGACGCATTGATTGACCACGGGTCACATTTAGTTCTGATTGACGAAAACGTCGTCGAACGACTGGGATTGCGTAGACGCAAACTGCATACAAAGATAGAAGCAAATTCTGCATTCATGGACTCGTCTTCTTCTCCTTTTTCATTCTCTGAATACGTTCTTTTGTCCCCCTCGTCCATTAATCATGATTGGACTTCTCGCACGATACGCGCAATCATTGCGCCTCATCTCACAGTTCCGCTCCTCCTCGGAGGACCCTTCTTATCACATAATTGTCTTGTTATAGATCACGAAACTCGAACTTGTATTGTCAAAGAGTCCAACTACGATCTCTTAAACGCCCCAGTGCAAACCGAGCACATCAAGGCTAAAACTCCCACCACACGCGAGATCAATCTACTACGCAAAAGAGAAGTTCGCGAAGTGAATCAACTACGCAAACGAGTGGTTAAAGAACTCAAAACAGTACTTGCAAATCGCTTCGAGAATGACAACGTCGTAACCGAAGCTCCGAACGTCGTCGCCTTACTACGCAAACGCATCGATTCACTGGCGTTCATCGAAGCCAATAAGGAACACCTCGAGCGTCTCGATAAGGAGATGCGCCGGAAATATGAAGACAGGTTTCCCGATGATATACCACACATTGACCATCTGCCAACAGATATTGTACATCGAATAACGTTGAAGGATCCGAACACCATCATACAATGTAGGCGCTACAACACGCCAAGAAAATATCGAGAAGCATGGGACACATTACTCAATCAACACATAGCCGCAGGTCAACTTCGACCTTCGTCTAGTTCCTTCGTCTCACCCGCTTTTTTAATTCCAAAAAAAGACCCAACGGCTCTCCCACGTTGGGTGAATGATTATCGCGCTTTGAATGCTAATACCGTTCCAGATAATCACCCATTACCACGGATCGACGAAATCTTACGAGACTGCGCGAAAGGTAAAATATTCGGAAAAATCGACATGACAAACTCGTTCTTCCAAACTCACATTCACCCAGACGATATCAAATACACGGCTATAGATACTCCTAAAGGACTCCACGAATGGACTGTCATGCCACAGGGCGGACGAAACGCACCCGCGACACATCAACGACGCATGTTCATCGCACTTCGGGGACTTATTGGAAAGATCTGTCACGCATATCTTGATGACATCATTATATGGTCTCAAACGGTTGCGGAACACGCCAAAAACGTCAAACTCGTCCTCGACGCATTACGAAAAGCGTCCTTGTTCTGTTCCCCTAAGAAAACGTCTCTATTTTGCACTGAAATTGATTTCTTAGGACATAGAATTTCCGCATCGGGGATAGAAGCAGACGCCTCCAAGGCTAAACGCATCCTCGATTGGCCCATGCCGAAGTCAACCGGCGACGTAAGGTCATTCCTAGGCCTCGTAAGGTACCTCGATCAGTTCCTCCCCAGCCTCGCCGACCATACTCGACTATTAACACCCTTAACGACGAAAACAAGCGAACAAGAGTGGCCAGGGTGGACGGACGAGCATCAAAGTGCCTTCGACGCTATAAAACAACTAGTGGTAAGTCGAGATTGCCTCACCACAATCGATCACGACAACCTCGGCGAGAACAAAATATTCGTGACCTGCGATGCCAGTGACTGGAGAGTGGGTGCGATGCTAAGCGTTGGTCCAACACCGCAGACGGCCCGGCCGGTTGCATTCGACTCAATGCAACTTAGAGGCGCGCAACTGAATTACCCTGTTCATGAAAAGGAATTATTAGCCATCGTGCGCGCACTTAAAAAGTGGAGGATAGAGCTCCTCGGGACTCCTTTCACAGTATACACTGACCATAGAACATTGGAGAACTTCCTGACTCAACGCGAGCTGTCACGACGACAGGCTCGTTGGCAGGAATTTTTTGGACAGTACGACTTTGACATACACTATATCCGCGGCGAGGACAACACGGTCGCGGACGCTCTTTCAAGACTTCCACCTGACGAAGAACTACCTTCATACGTGAATCAATCAGTCAACATGCCACAAAACGTGCAAAAACACATACCCGCTATCGCTCTTGTTTTGTCGATAACACCGGACAAGTCACTCTATACCGACATTAAGGAAGGCTACACCACAGACCCGTGGTGCGTTAAGCTCGAAAGGTTGGTAGATTCCCTCCCGGGACTTCAACGACGAGATGGCCTACTATATCTGAATGATCGTCTGATCATCCCTCGCGTAACCCACCTTCGAGAAACCATCTTCCGGCTCGCACACGACCAGTTGGGCCACTTCGGAATCGACAAATCCTACGCAACGATCAGAGAATCTTATTATTGGCCCAACATGCGACGCGATCTGGAAGAAAGCTACATACCTGCTTGCCCCGAGTGCGCGCGCAACAAAAGTCGAACGACAAAGCCAACGGGCCCACTACATCCACTGCCTGTACCAGACCACCGAGGCGATTCCGTCGCCATCGATTTCATCGGCCCATTACCGACCGAGCGCGGATTCGACGGCATCATGACGATAACCGACCGACTCGGTGCCGACGTTCGCCTTGTTCCTTGCAGGATGAACATGAATGCGCGAGAGGTCGCGAATCTATTCTTCGACCATTGGTACTGTGAAAATGGACTACCATTAAGTATAATCTCAGACCGCGACAAAGTATTCACCAGCAAGTTCTGGAAAGCACTGCATCGTCTCACTGGTGTAAAACTAAAAATGTCAACTGCTTATCATCCACAGACAGATGGAGCTAGTGAACGTACTAACAAGACCGTCGATCAAGCACTTCGTTACTTCGTGGACCGGCACCAATCGGGTTGGGTCAACACCCTACCTCGCGTACGATTCAACATCATGTGTACAAAGAATGCTTCGACCGGTTACGCACCTTTTCACCTTCATATCGGAAGAATGCCACGCCTGCTACCTCCTCTAACACCGGAACACGTCAACGAAATACGAATCGACTTCCCTAACGATGTCGCCAACGCGCTGGACGCCATTATGGCACTGAAAACAGATGTCGCTGATGCACACGACGCCCTGTTAGCCTCTCGTGTAGCGCAGGCGAACGCTGCAAACACACACCGCGGTACAGATCCATGCTTCAAAGTCGGTGATTTCGTATACCTCTCCACGGCCCACAGACGACGAGAGTATTTGACCGGTGACAACAAGCGCGTAGCGAAGTTTATGCCGCGGTTCGATGGACCCTACGCCGTAGTGTCTGCGAACCCTGAGTCGTCCACTTATACTCTTGACTTACCAGAACATACTAACGTATATCCTACCTTTCATGCTTCCGAACTCAAACGTCACGTCCCAAACGATGCGGAACTCTTCCCATCTCGTGAACTCCAAAGACCAGGGCCCATCGTGACACAAGCAGGGACAGAGGAGTGGGAAATAGAACGTATCCTCGACAACAGAACACGCGGACGTGGACGCCAATATCTCGTCCGATGGCGGGGATATGGCCCTGAGGCAGACGTCTGGATACCGGGAAAAGAGCTTGAAGACACGGACGTCCTACATCAATATCAACAATCTCATCCATCAATCATCGTCCATATCAACAACAAACAAGATCCATCACACTTACCAGTGACTGAAGAAGACACCGTGAACTGATGAACAAAAGCCGCAACGATGCGCATACGCATCGTGACCTGATGAAGAAAAGACGCAACGATGCGCCCGCAAAACGTAGAAGAACACATCTGAAGAACGGAAGCAATGTTTCAAAGGCTGAGAGGGTGTAAGCCGACTGCTTACCACTTGCTTACGATGTCGCGCGTCATGTGATCCATCCCCTTATATTCAACGATTCTTGTACCGTTCTAATTAGACTCGGGTCTCCTACCTACCATCACATATCCATTAGTACAAAGATCCAAGAATCCACAGTTTCGTCCTGTTATCTCGCTCGATCTGCTTAGTGTTCCTTGTCATTTCCCGGACAAGGTTCCACCTTGGTCCACTAGACTTAAACTTAGTAGACCAACTGACGCCTGGACCAGCGTTAGCGACCATCTAGAACTGCAGAACCCGCAACAAGACTTTTCCCCCAGAAGTTCTCGAATCTCGAGGTTTCTAAAATTTCACCCGTCTGCGTCATGATGCACCATGTCACAGTACCCCCCATCACTCTGAGCTCCTCACCAAGCGCAGCCGCGTAGGGTCTCGCGACCATAGCCACGCGGCAATCGCGTTACAGCATGTGTTGTGTTGATGTGATGTACTCAACCCATCAATCGAGCGCCAATCACTGAACTTCCGGGCGCGGCTAGAGTCACGTCTCAACGTTCAACTTTCAGGTCCAGGGTGTGCGGCCATCACCTGATCCTGAATTCATTGCAAATGATGCAGGGCCGATTGGCGCGTCAACTGCTTATCAAGAAGAAATCCTTTTATATGGCCTGGCTATGTAGGCCCAGAGACATACGTCAACGGAACACCGGATAGTCTAACGTTTGCTTAGTGAGTTTTGTCAGCATCACAGTTTGAGAAACCAGTTCGCTAACCTTACTGCATTTTTCGCCAAGGATGGCGAGGACCCAGGGTGCATTGGAATGAAAATAGACTGCTTGACAATGAAAATATTTATTCGAGCTTTTCTATGATAATTGATTCATGTCTTACTAGGTGACTATGTACCTGATTTCACTGATGGGCCGAACTCATAGAATAATGGCAAGTGCATAGAGCAAGAAACTCGAGGACAGCATGGGACAGAAATATCCCAATTGCGGTGTTTAGACCCCAAATCCATCGTGACAACTCATATCCATTACTAAAGTCATCAGAAATTCATCCACACCATACGGGCATTCGGCAGCGAAAGCGATGGATATATATCTACCGCCATTATAATACGTCTATCAAGCTCACCACTCACCGAACCAATCCCTTGA